AGAGATTTAGATTCTGTCATATCAACTGCTTGGCTGAGACCAGTGAGAGGCACTTCCAATGGACCCATTCACAAGTGAATCCTAAAGGCAGTTCTTTCAATAGCATGAAGGATCACATATGATTGGACTCAAGGGGGATGTTAGAAATTAATGTTAGAGCTGACAAAATGCAGATAAATGTACATTTAGGATCCACTTCTGAATGGATTCATTAGGAGTGCATCTAACTGGCCTTAGCCAAGCAGTTGATGCAACAGAATCCAAATCTGTCTGCGTGGGTTCAAAACCTGCTAAAGATGAAATTGATCAAGTGATCATCAGAGTCAAAATCTGTTTCTCTTGGACCGCGTAGGTTTGAAACCTGCCAGTGATAACATTTTTATTTTATGAAATCGCACCTTGACATTGACTCATGTGTACTTTCACATTGTAGCTTGTACTCCCAAACAACTGCTTCATATGAAGCAGAAGAGCAGATTACGCATCAAACTTTCAAGTTTGATCCTGGCTGGGGTGACGGTGCCCTAAGACACCAATTCTATAACGGACTTCCAGCTCATATCATAGATGAAATCAGTTGCATGGGTACACCTTCCACCCTTTCTGGATACAAGATTCTTGCCCAGACTATCAAATCTCGATACTGGGAACAGAAGGGAGAAGTTGCCTGAGAAACTATACCCACCACCTCCATTCCACCTAAACAACCCACATCTGACTGGATGGGTTCCAACCCATTCAAATCCTTGAGGTACAAATCCGACAAACCTGCTACTTCTGCATCATTTTCTGCTTCTAAAGCTCTGGATCTTACCTCCAAGTTAGGAAAAGACAGAAAGCTCACTTCCAAAGAGCGTAAGAGGCTGATGGATAATAAACTCTGTCTATTCTGCGGTGGACCCAGCCATTCGGCTTGGGATTGCACCAAGTCTACTTCGTGCACTGCTAAAGGCTGTGCTGCAGTAGTCACTCTGGAAGACAAACCGGAGGCCTCAGATGAGGCAAAAATCATAGTCTGCAACCCTCCTGACTCCACGCGGGGTGAGGGTTGTATTGGCTCTACCCATGCAATGGAGCTACATCTCAACACTGTTTCTCTTTCCAATCCAAAATCCTTTGTGTGTCTGTCTTTTATTTGCTTTGTGTGAAGGGTGAGAATGATGTGAGCCTAGTATTTAGGGATTTACTAATGGTTTTCCAGGACAACATATGTGGGAAATATTTTTCACAGTCACCTGACATGTGTGGAATTTTGCCTGAGTCATCACCATGGCTGACTAAGCAACACTCATCGCAGAATTAAATGTACTAAAATATTCAGGCTGCTGGCATGCAGACTTGAAAAATAAAAAGAGAGGCAAAAAATATTCCCCTAGCCTTAGTCTGACTTCAAATGAAAGGAAAAGAGTTTCATAGTGGTATTTCAGGGTATAAGACTCATAGGAGAGTATTAGTTGTCCATGCACCGAACCAGTTTGGTGCAGGTCAGCGCTGTCTTCTTAGATAGATGATCTATAGATAAACACCTACAAAAACAAATATCTCCACAGTCAGCAACTCAGACAAATACCAATGACTGATAATGTGGTTGTTCGTGGGTGGCTGTTTACACCTCTCCAAGCTACGCTCAGACAAAAGCACTTCTGGGAGGTCAGAACCGAAATGCAATCACTCCAACAGTATGGCAGTGATTAAAGACAAAGAGAAAATCAGCCCGACAGTATGGTACTGATGAAAAAAAAACAGAATGATAAAAGAAACCCTTCCTTCAGCAACAATGCTTTTCATAATAAACTTATTACAGAAAGTCGTGCGAAGTTATAACAATCACCCCCTCAGCCCAAACAGGTAGAATCAAAGGTCAGGACTACTCAATGTTTGGTAGAACTCTTAGTTCACTATTGAACCTGCTGCCAAGGAACTCATGATGAGTATTAAACAGAATCAGGAATGGACGTCCTTGGCTTTCAGTACCAAGTCCCCTATTCAACAACTAAAGTCTAGCAGACAAAGAAAACCCTGGCTCAGTATCGCTACTCCGATGAGTGAGGTCAAGTGTCACTATCAACTCCTGAAGTCTTCCCACTAAGCCTCTTGCTTAGATGGTCGTAAAGACAACACGGAAATCCCAAAACAAATTCAAAACAATAACACCTAAACTTCAAGGAAGTGAAAAGAAAAAAAAGACAAACACAGAAAAAGAAAGAAAGAAAGAAAGCTAAAGATTCACCAGTAGAAAGTCAAAGAAAAAGCTTGCTCGCTGTTGAGCACAGTGAGCTCAAAGTATTCTTCAGTAGTTGATGATGATCTAAGGGTATTGCTGGCTGTTGTTCACGATGACCTCTCAGTTAGTTGCTTAACAGCTCTTGTCACTGTTGCTGACACTGATCACACTTCACACTTAGTTCTATGCTTTTTAAAGTGGGGCCTCTCTTTATTATGAGCAAAAATTGGGGTCTTATATAGACAAAAGGTGGTGGCTGTGCTACTATTTCCCACATTCCTATGAGGAATGGGCTTATTCGGACTGTGCCAGTAACTATTTACATGAGTCATGTGTATCATGATTGTGTCATTAGTCCTTAGTCATTTCAAGATATGCCTTTGTCATAATTTGGTGTTAGGTCATAGGTCACCTGACTGTTAGGATTTATAAGGCTTAGTCTCATGTGATCAAAGATCGTGTGATAAGCTGATTATATCATGCAGAAGAAATATTCAAGATTTTGTTGGTTGGTGCCTTGTTCTGATGTTACATTGTTACCTGTAGAAATGACGTGAGCCGTGTATTTAGGGTTTTAAAGGAGTTCTCACAATGTGAGTTATGTGAGAATTATTTTTCATAGTTGCCTGACATGCGTGGGATTTATTCTGAGTCATCATTGAAGGTGACTAATTGAGTTCTTATCACAAGAATTAAATGTACAAAAATATTCAGCCCATCTTAGTCTTAGTGAAGTGGAATATTATCTAAGCTGCCTTGTAACTTCAGAATAGAGAGAAATTGTTTCATAATGATTTCTTGGGTATTTAGGCTCATGAGAGAGCATTGGTTATTCATGCATCAAACCAGTTTGGTGCAGGTCAGCGCTTGAACACCCTATAGCGCCAGCCATCCAGAAGCATCCATCCACTGTCCACCAAGCTCTCTAGTGCATATATTTCCATTTCCCTTATTTGCATATCGTTCCACTTTTATTATTATCATGGACCCTTACTTACATATATCTTTACATACTTACTTGGTAGCACTTCAGCTCCACATGACAGCGCTTAGGCACCATACTTAAGTGCCAGCATTACATACTATTATTGACTTCACCTTACTTTACTTTGCACCTCCCAATTACCTGTTACTACCCACTTACTACTTAGCAGAACATAGTAGAAATCTATTCCTTTACATCTTGCACTCTCACATCTCTTATCTTGCATCATATTATCACTTAAGTCTAGTCTCTCTATCATTTCCGCATATGCGCATGCACTTTCCCGTGCTTCATGCTAATACGTGCGCATGTTCCCATGCCTTCCGCACACCTGCACTTTCTTGCGCATCACTTCAGCACTTACCTCTAGATCTTCACTGCACTCGCTTCCCCTTTAGGGTCGAACACACTTGTTGTCTCAAGTATAGCAGACTAGGCAACGCACGACCTACAACATTTTTAGATACAGTCAGGAGCCTTGTTCGTGCCTCGCAGTATTGTTGTTTCTACAGCGGCATGCAGGATCTTTGATTTCTGAAATATGAGCATGCTCGGTCACATCTGCAGACCACTGAATGAGAGCACCGACATTGTGTGTGCCAGAAGTGATACTCTGGAGGAGTTCTATTTTAGGAATATACCAATTATCAATAGGCTTCTTGGCTCCCATTCATGCGCCTGATGTCAGAATAATATCTTTATGTTCGTGGAAGGTCAAAAGAGCCTGGTCAATACTTGCCAGTAAGTCATCATCAGGAGTAGGGGATTGCGCCAAATATTGAACATCCATGAGGGCACAAACTGCAATGATGAAATGACAAAGGGCTGCACCAGATATCAGGCCAACAATGTAGTGTTGGATGTCATGGTGACCTCTGCCAGTGACTTGTTTGAGCCTTGAGATTCCACCAGTGAAGTGACAGTAACCTGTGATGGGCTGTAGGATTAAGAACCGGAAATCAAGTTCTGAGGTGCCCACAATTGTTAGACACCACTGGCAGTCATGGTCGAAAAACTCCTTGTGCCAATGATGCAGAGGTTCTGACATCAGAAAGATTGAGGGATCAGTGAGTGGCCAGTTCATCCAGAATGGTGTGCAAACACTGTTTAGTCGGTATTCAGCACAGGCATCAAAATACGCCTCGAGATTATTGGGATCGACTGTAATGCTGTCAAGCTGATCAAGTGTGATAGAGCGAGTATGAGAGGGATGCCGAAAAATATCCCCGAACTGCAGATAAGAAGCCATGGTAAATGGAGAGGTCTTCCTGCATACACAGGCAAGCATAGCTGCCTCTGGGGTGTTGACAATGTACGCTGCGAGAGGAGTAAAACAGTGCCAAACATTTCCAACCAGATCAGACATCATGATTCCAACCTTGGCTGCTTTCATCAATGGCTGGAGAACAATTGAAAGACATTGGTGTATAAGGCGATCTTCAAGCATGCCTTGCATGTGTTTATTAGGGTGTAGGTAATTTGGGATAGGGAGAAGAGCCATAAGTAGGAAAGCTTTTGATGAAAGTTTTGTGCGAGTACACATGCATATGTTGGTGAGTCCCAGAAGAAGCGGATGAGTGATTCTAGCACCAGTCATGGTAGTTATATTGGTTTTGTCGGATGACAGTACCGTGCCAAGAACTGTAGCGCCTCTGGGAAACTGAGTCTACAAGAGGTGTGCTGAGATTTTGTTTTCTAAAAAAAACAAATACTGCACATACCTGCATTTCCCAAGCAGCATCACCCGTCATCCATTCTGAGTACACCCGCATAAGATGTTCTGCTGTTGTGTAAACATGACAAGGAACAAAATCAAGCTTGTCATGGAAGAGAGGGTTGGTGAAAAGACTTTCCAAGCATTCAATAGGGTCCCTCCAAAACAATCAAATCAGATATTTTGTGGGATGGGTCGAGGGGATGATCTGACACTTCCAGCTTGGTCCACTAGGAAGCATCTCTGCACAGCTTCGTAATTCCCTAGCATTGCTGAACAAAAGGTGTAATTTTTGAATCTGAACAGGGAGTAAAGGTTAGAATCAATTCTGCAGAGTGCCAAGACTGGTACTTGCCAGGGGAAGCTTCAGAAATACATCAATTGCTGCTATACTAAGGGATGAACGAAGAAGAAAATCACTGATTTCCCACTCTTCCTTGGATGTGAAAGGGTAGAAAATGTTGTCCTTCCTATACTCTGCATATTCATTGGTGTCAAAGACATCCAAAAAGATCTGGCCATCCTGAGAGTAACACATCCCGGCACCCTCATACCGCTCCTCCAATGATCCTTCAGCCACTCTAAAGCCATCATTGATAAAATTGAAGTCAGTGTCAAAGTTGGCATGCACCTGGTTGTCTTAATTGTGCATACTATCAGCCTGTTCCTCTGGATTAGCTTGAGGTGAAGCATAGCGCAATGGCAGTTCTACTTAGGGAATGACGTGGGTATACCCATGGGTATTTGTGGTGATACCCCCACCCACATCCACACTGGTGGGTGTGGGTTTATTCATGGGTACCAGGGATGGCTACCCATACCCACACTCGTAGAGGGTATACCCATGGGTATGACATGAACAACTGGTACTACACACTTAGATATCCTAATGAATGTTGTAGTAGTACTAGAGACAAATATACTGCTAGTCTCACCTTGTTAATGGGCAGTCATTTGAGAGAGATAAAGCTTTGTAATACTAGTTGAGACAAGCCTGTTGTGAGTCTTATTTTGTTAATCAGTAGTAATTTGAGCAAAATAAACATACATATTGATGAGTTTGGCCAAACACAAGTTGTTATTATCATTATGTATCTTGATGAAAATTGTAGTGCTATTTAAGGTGAGTCTATGGCTAGTTTATCTTATTAATTAGCTGACATATCAGTAACATAGGGATTGAACACTACTGAACCAAAGTTCAAAGTTGTGTTTCTATAGTTTACATGTAACATGATAAATGGAATCAACATAGATGACAAAGATAGTATTATTGAAAATGAAGTTGTTGGCTATTCAACCTAGGCATACCCATTTACTGAGACCACTACTAGCATATTTGACAAAGTTGAATCACATATCACAGTGCAAAGATGAATTTGTTGCCTATACACCCACTGTGTGGGTGTGGGTATCCCAAGTGCCTACCCCCACCCATACCCCTGGGTACCCACACCCACGACCCACAGTGGGTGCTGGATACCCATGACATTGCCTAGTTTCGGTGCTCGGTCTCAGTACTTAATGCACACCTGAAACAAGCCAATGGATTTATAGCCCACAAGCATTGTTGTTTGTGATCTAGCATCATTTCTTTTCATGTCAGCCTACGAGTCTATCAAATATGTATTATATAATTATCTATAACAAGTGCTTGCCACTGCATGGCTCGCACTATCCTTGAAGCTTCAAAGCTTGACATGGATGACCTGACATTTAGTGCATAATGTCGCACCACCAAGACCATGTTCCACACAACATAATCTGCAAAGTTACCTGAAGTTACCCAGTTTACCGAGAAAGCACACTACTCATCCTATCACTGTCAGTCACATCCATTATCCAGTACAGCTTCACATATCCTGCCTACAAAGTCCAAAGTCTAAAGCTCAAGTTCACGAACTGTTTACTGGCTTTGTCGGGGACACATGATTTTTGAGAATGCCTACACGTGGTTTCATCAAAGCTTGATGATCATCGCTTGTCAGTGTACTGGGAGAGGCACCTGATGTGGAGAATGCCAGTGGGCTGCAACTTGCAATGTTTGCAAGTCTCATGAGTCGCAACTTATGAGCTGTGACACCAATGAAATAGTAAGCACTCAGCACTATGCACAATGAATTTGGGACATACCAGGAATTCACATGGATCAATCATCATGTTGACCCAACAACATATATGAAGAAGCCGGTCGGGAGATGTTGCCAGGCAGGAAAGGACCTGAAGAGAAAGTAGAATATTAGCCAGCAGGAAAAGCTCATGTAATATTGAATCTCCGGAGGGTGCTAAAATTTCATGACGGACTGGGGTTTATATCTTGTGGCAAATATCTGTACCTCATGATGATATGTCGGAAATCTCCAGGGGTGCCTTGCAAGTGTTCCTTATTGGGACATTAATTTGATGCCTGACAACTACATTGTGTCCGTATTCCCATAGGATGTGAGTTATTTTTGGGTGCTTGAAAGGAAGCACGTATCGCTTACAAGTATTTTTGGCACTTCCAAGTTGCTTCCAAGCGGTGCATATGATTCAAACTGAGTTCGTCGGAAGTTGCCATTATTACACAGTAGCTGTCATGTTACAGTTACAGTGAATGATGCTAACATCGAGTCGACAAACCTGACTTATAATATTTGTTGCCTCTACTATCTTCTCAGTGTCATCTCCTCCCTTTCTGTATCTGTATTTTTAACAACACTCCTGTATGGTGCCAAGCAGAAGCATCACAAATGGTCCAGCCAGGGGACGCAAGTATACTGCCAATGTACTAAATATACCCTCGACCTCCAACAACCAGATTCATTGTCAATACTGCAATAAGTCATTCTCGTCTCACGGGATATGGTCTCACAAGCAAAGTTGTTTGAGAAGGCAAGAGAAAAAGAAGGATGATGAGTTTGCAATGCTCACAGCGCAGGCGGTTGAGGAGCAAATTAAAATCAAAAGGAAAGGTATGTGGTGAATTGTCCTTCTATCAACTCAAAACAATAGTACTAATATCTCTTATCACACAATCATCAGAGGCACGTCGAGAGAGAAAGCATCTTCTCAAGGAACAAGCGGCCACAATGCATAATATTGGCTCTCCATCGTCAGACCCTTCAATGTCACTTCAGGATCGCACAGAGAATATGCCTGATGAATTTATCGTGGGCCTGTCATTTGAAATGGTACCAGATGTTGATGTGATGAGCATCAGTGGAGACTCACAGCAATGTATGTACTTTGACTGATCACAATGCACTCTTTATCCATTTTTTTCATGATCTAGGTGCAGATTCAGACTCCAGCATGGCATCTCACACTCCCACACCCCTTCCTCTATCCTCGCTTTCAGCGGTACCTTTGGTTCACTCCAATCTCGATACATTTAAGACAGAGTATCACCCAAAATCTGGTCATGCAACCTCCATCAAGACTTTCCCTATGTTCGGATGCAAGCAAGATCAGCAGCTGCCTATTGTTGAAGAAGAACCTTGGCAGCCATTCAGCTGTCGTGCAGACTTTGAATTTGCCGAACTTGTGCACAATGCTGCCCTTAATAAGGACCACACAGATGCACTATTACAGCTCATCTGGAGAATCGTTGATGGTCAAGCAAATATTACCTTCAAGTCCCACCACAATGTTTCTGTAGCCTGGGATAGGCGGCCAGCCAGATGATACCTGTAAGAGGAGAATACCACATCTCCCTTTTGTAGCTATCAATACCTTTACAGTTCGAGAAGCATACTATCACGACCCAGCATAAATGGAAAGACCTCATGTTTGATGTATATACACTGCCCATTGTGGAACTGGGCTTTGGACTTATTACAGGACCCATTGCTGGCGCCACACTTCGTTTGGGATGCGCAGCAGGTATATAAACATGATGGGACACATTATGAGCACTTTTACCATGAACCTTGGACTGGGGATCATTGGTGGAATGTTCAAGTATGACTTATTTTTTGTACTATCATTCATATGGTTCTATTAAGTGATACCCTTTCTTGCATGTATTACAGTCATCTTTACCTGAAAACACTGTCCCTTTCGCATTCATTCTGTATGCAGACAAGACGCACCTTTCTTCCGCTGGTATAGTCAAAGCTTATCCAGTCTTCGCTCATTGTGGAAACTTGCCAATTCACATCAGAAACACTGACAGGCTTGGTGGTGGGCGGATGGTTGGTTGGTTACCAATAGTATGTCTTTGAATTTAGGAACTGAAACCAGTCTCGTTACTCCTGAGTTTTTTCACACAGGTTCCCGAAGATTCTGAAGAGGACGGCAAGCTGTCACACGTGAATCTTAAATGTGTTGTATGGCATGAAGGGTTTTTCAAGCTACTTGAAACCATTATACTCTATGCCAAGACAGGGTATGTGCATCTCTGTTATGATGGTATTGTTAGGTGGTTATATGCATTCATTTTGCTCTTATCCGCTGACTATGAGGAACAGTATGTTGTATACTAATTTCTGTAGACAAATTTCTGATCAGTTTTAACAATAGATGTGTCATGGTGCTGATATGGAGGACGAATTGTTGTTGCCCATGTCCTATTTGCCTTGTCCCATCCGATAAGCTGTATGACAATGCTTTGACTTATCCAATCTGAACACCTGAAGACACACAAGCTTGCATAGAACTATGGAATAGGGACAAAACAGCTGGAGAAGAGGCATTAAAAAAATGGGGCCTTCGGCCAGTTATGGCTGGTACTCATTATTATATCCTTGATTGAATCTGACTTTCTCCATTGTAGAATGTCTTTTGGCGGCTCCCAACTTCCAACCCACACAAAACAATCTCGCAGGACCACCTTCACATGTATCATATAGGAGAATGGGGGAAACATTTATTTGGTCAGCTTAAATGACATGCAGCAGCTCTGGGATGTGCTACTGAGAAAAATATTGATGACCAGTGAGTTGATTTATCGTACTAATCTGCTCCATCTGAATCTGACTATTCAATTGCCCATAGATTCACTGCCTTCACATGATGGTGCAATTTGAATTATTTTGATTGAGTTACTAACATTACCTACAGCGATGGTAATAAACTTAGGGACATTTCCATTTCTAAGGTACGACATGTTGATTTGACATTGACAGACCACTTAAATTTGATTTCGACAGCAAATTTTATATACCACCCAAAATGTACTGATGCGCATGGATGATGAAGCTGGCTATGCACTTTTATGGTGCATAGCGAGTTATCTCCATATTGACATGTATGTATCTCTTGATGTGCACACAGAGAGCACAATCAAAGCAGGAAAAGCCAAGGTTTTAGAGTTTCAGATGCATTTAGAAGTATGTCACATTGATTCCATGTCTTCTGTCAATGTAGTGTACTGACAATAGCATTATATCATAGGAATACATCGCAATCGTCGATGAGACTGATCCAGATGCAACCAAGAACTGGAATTTCCCCAAAATGCACGCCTCAAGGCACATATTTGACGACATCATAGTGAAAGGTGCCGCTCACAACTTCAGTACTCGACCGAATGAGAAGCAGCATGGACCAAGTGTTGGTATCTACAGCAGACTGATCATAAGGACATCGCTAACCAGGTATGACATCGCCTACTCTGGAAGTTTGCTTCCCATCAATAACTTAAACTTCGTGTATACCATAGATTATCGAACTCGATCACAAGAGCTTTGTTGCTGAATTCGTTTGCAGCTGTATCGACTATCTTGATGAGGAACGACGTAAACTTATGCTCTTGCAGGAAGAACTTGAAGAAGACGACAACGACAATGAGCCATTTGAAGCTCACCTGCATATTGGTTTGCCCTTGAGGAATCTTACCAGCCTAGCACAGGTAGAGGAAGAACACAAGTCAAATCGCACCTTCAACCAGTTCAGGAAGAAGCTCACAACATTTTTGAATCTCTGATGCTGTTTTTTTTTCAAAAGATACATGAACATCGCTATCTCAAAGTCCAATATGAGTCGACCACTACCTGGAAGTTAACCACTGACTATCTGCGATGCAATCCAAGTTTTCATGGCCATGAGCATCTGTCACGAGTTCCAAATACAAACCATTATTCGTTCCTTAATTCTAAGTCCTTTAAGCGCCCAGTCACAGCGCCTGTTCCTAAGAATATGTTTACTGTTGAAGAAGTTCCTATTATTGCGTCTATTGTAGAATTACCAGAGTCACGTGATCGATCGGACAATGCCGAAGATGTTGACATCATGCCTCGCGATACTCTTGGAATGTTCCAGAGTCTTACTGCAGCTGCGGCACATGTTATGACATCATAGTTATATATAGAATCGTACGATACCTTTAATTATTCTGATTGGTTAGTTAGTTCATACTCAGTTTCGATCTCAGTTTCAATATGTGTATATAGGTAGCTCGTCGTAGTCAGTAGTTCTTTAGTTCAAACCTCTTGTATCTCCAAGTGAGCAATACCAAGACGTACCTGCTGCCTATTTCCTCTGCGTGATTATTCTTTGTTTGAGTCCTAGTCTCTGCCCAGCGTTAATTCGTTATTGGGTTGTGACATTAGGTTTGAACTATAGGAGACTCCGACTCTCGCGTTACACTCTCGCATCTCTTTCTCTTTCGCCTGGTCGTGTTGGTAGTCACCACACCATCAGCCGAAACAGAACCGTTATACTTTTGCCCGGCCTAAACCGCCGCGACCTTTTGATTTCATCCCTTTGCTCATTTGAGCGCATTTTCCTACCTATCATCTTTCGTAGTTAGTAGTCCTATACCAGGCCCTGTCTTACCGCAGCCGCCAGTATACGGAGGTGTTCACGACATTAGGCGTGTCACTGCAACTTTGAGTGCTGGCCCAAAACCCTGCCTGCTCAATGTTACTATAGTTTCATTTTACCTATTCCTTTCTTCATACGCACGTAGGCATTCGTTTCGAGTCAATAGCGGAACTGTCTAGACGACAAACCGTGCTTTCGACCTACGAGGATTTAGCGACATACCCTAGTGAGACTCGCACTTGTAAGCTTCGGCTGGAAGAGTGATAACTTGTCCTAGGCTTGTACCCTCAGAACGGAGATTGCATTGTCCCTAGTTTTTCCCACTCGATCGAGTATAGTTACATATCTTTTTTAGTTAGTATTAGGGAAGCATCGGTTGGGTTGATTAAAGAACCCTTCGATCCTGAAGTACGTGGTAGATCCGATCAGATATCGGGGACCGCTTCAGTTTTCCATTACATAACTTTCTTCTTTTCACCATCATTCCCTTTTGGAAGAGCCCTTACGAGCAGCTCTTCAACAGACATCAGTGAATCGGGTTCCAGAACACAACTGGCACTATGTCTGAATTACCAAACTCTCCTACACAGTCTGCACCGACAGTGGTGTTACCATCCACTCCACAGGAGGTTGTCGAGTACATTCACATGTCACTTGCAAACCAAGCGGAAAGCTTCAGGGTCAGAATCACAGAACTAGAAGCCAAGAATGCGGCTCTAGAAGAAGCAAACAGACTCCTGGGCGTACGCCTAGAAATGCAAGAAGACGAGACCGTGAAGATACAGTCTCAACAACCATCCTTCGGCTCTGCAGGAGCTAGCCTACTTTCATCAAACTCTTCCCCCTCCATCAAATACTCGAAACCCCAAGACTTCACTGGAGAAAAAGACTCCATAGAACTCATGGTCTGGATATCCCAAGTAGCGCTATACACGGCGCAATGGCCCAACATCCAAGAAGGCCAAAGAATAGGGGTAATGCTTTCCTTCATGAAAGGGACTGCAGCCAAATGGGCGCAACCCTACATTAGCAAACTTGGAAAGACCGGAGACGAGAAGTTGACCATGGAGAAATTCCTGGAAGACTTAGAAGCCATGTGGGGGCAAGAAGATCGTGAAGGAAAAGCGATCAGAGAACTGGAATCCCTTAGACAAGGATCTTCCTCAGTTCCAGAGTACGCGGCCGCTTTCAGACAAAAGGCCGCACACACTTCATTTTCCGACTATGACCAGAGACAGAAGTTCAGAATGGGACTTCAAGACCGTGTCAAGATACAGCTTGCTCATGTCCGTTACGAGGACAAAAACACCATGAAGAAACTGGTGGAACATGCGATCCAAATTGGACGCAACTTCGAAGAGCTAGATGCGGACAAGAAGAAGACGACCTGGTGGACCCCTAAGCAAGGCCCCAGGACCCCAGAATACAGACCTGGCCCTAGTAGGGAAAGCGACGCTATGGACGTCGACGCCAACAAACAGCGAGGTGCTCCAAAACCTCAAGGAAGGACTGGATCCTTCAAATGCTACCGCTGTGGAGGCGAAGGCCATATGGCTAGAAACTGCAAAGACGCAGTCGTACCAAAGGTGCAGGTGAAGGCTACTACAGTGCCAAAAGAAGAAGACCCTATCCCGAGTTGGTTCAAAGCTTGGGTCAGCTCCAAGGAAGGCAAGGGTTTTTAGAGGGGTCGAAGTCAAAGTCTGCGAACTTAGACCCGAACAATCGTTTCTCTATCCTATCTACGTTCTCGGATGTATCAGAAGTATATATTAGATCCAAATCTGAGCATTTTTACATTCCGATCACGTTGAAGGGAAAGAACCGACAAGCAGATGTGAAAGCACTGGTAGATTGCGGTGCATCGACATTATTTATTAGTGAGAAGTTTGTGAAGAAGAACGAAGTCTGGTGCCATAAATTATTAAGGCCCATTCCGGTTAAAAATATTGATGGCTCGTTAAATGCCGCTGGATCGATGACTCATTATGCAGTTCTAGGTCTAAAGATCGGTGACCATGTTGAAGACCAAGCAGCCTTCATGGTTACGGACTTAGGAAGCGATGATGTTATTATTGGCATAGATTGGCTAAGATATCACAACCCGGAGATAGATTGGAACGCTGGACGTTTTGCACTTTCTCGTTGCCCGATTAAATGTATTACTAAAAAAGAACAAAGACAAAAAAATAAAGAAAAAAGAAAAGAACAAAAAAAGATAGAAGAAGTGCCAGATCTGATTCCCACAGAAGAGGATGACGAAGAAGACATGGCGATGAAAAGGGCGACAGTTGAGGAAATAGAAGACGAAGAGTATCCTGGAGAATGGATCAAGTATAAAGCCTCGGTTGCCACGGAGCAGAAGGTTGCAGAAGAAGCAACGAAGGTGAAGAAATCGGTCGAAGAGATGGTTCCCGATTGGCTTCACGAGTACCTGGGAGTTTTCTCAGAAGAAGAATCTAAGCGCTTCCCTGAAAGAAAGAAGTGGGATCATGCGATAGATCTTAAAGATGATGGCGATCTTCCGCCGAATGCGAAACCTTATCCCTTATCACCCAAGGAGATGGACACTTTGAAAGATTGGTTAAAAGCCGAGACTGCACTGGGACGTATAAGAAATTCACAATCTCCAGTGGCAGCACCTTTCTTCTTTGTGGCCAAAAAAGATGGCAAGTTGAGACCAGTAATGGACTATAGAAAGCTCAGTGAGAAGACGGTTAAAAATGCATACCCGCTACCGAGATCTCAAGATTTAATTGATGCTTTAACTGGTGCCACGATGTACTCAAAGATGGATGTAAGATGGGGGTACAATAATATTCGCATGAAAGAAGGAGACGAGTGGAAGGCGGCCTTCAAAACGCCGTTTGGTCACCATGAACCAACCGTAATGTACTTCGGTTTAACAAACTCCCCTGCCACTTTCCAAACCATGATGAACGAGATATTCAGAGATTTAATTGATGGAAAGACCGTAGTTGTCTATATCGATGATATCCTCGTGTTCACGAATGGCAATAGGGAGCAACACCGAAAAGTTGTATGAGAGGTACTGAAACGACTAAAAGAAAATGATCTGTATCTGAAGCCTGAAAAGTGTAACTTCGAACAGACAGAAGTCGAGTTCCTCGGGTTGATAGTGGAGAAGGGTGGTGTTCGAATGGACCCTGTGAAAGTAGAAGGAGTAATGAAATGGCCTGTACCCAAATGCGTCAAAGATATTCAAGCATTTATGGGCTTCGCCAACTTCTACAGAAGATTTATCTTCGGGTTCTCAGACATCGCTAGACCAATGAATGATTTATTACGGAAAGATGTCAAATGGGATTGGACGGAGAAACAGCAAGATGCTTTTGATGAACTGAAGTCAAGGTTTACATCAGCTCCGATCCTAGTAATGCCTGACGTTGAGAAGAAAATGAAAATAGAAACCGATGCTTCTGATTATGCAACTGGAGCGGTTCTATCTCAACTGATGGAAGATGACCTATGGCACCCCGTGGCATATTACTCTAAGTCAATGAACGATGCAGAAAGAAATTATGACATCCATGACAAAGAGTTACTTGCAATCATTCGAGCGTTGGAGGAGTGGAGGCACTATGTGCAGGGAAAACCTCACCATGTGGAGATCTGGACGGATCATAAGAATCTCGAATACTTTATGACGAGCCAAAAGTTGACAAGAAGGCAAGCCAGATGGAGCCTGTTCCTGGCGGAGTATGAATTTACGCTCCAACATAAACCTGGTGTAGTCAACGATAAGGCCGATAAGCTTTCTCGGAGAGAAGACCACAGAGGGGGGGTAGAAAACGACAATTCTGATCGTATTTTGTTAAAACCGGAGTTTTTTACTGTAAAAGCTGCTAAAAGAGGTCAAGTTCTAGTGCAAGGAGAAAAACAATTGCTGAGAAAGATAAGGCAATGCACAGAACGAGAGCCCGAAGTCGCTAAAGCGCTACAAACGCTAAAAGCAGCACCGGTACAATTGCGTAGAGTCGAAGAGTGGAATGTGGAGGATGGATTGGTGTTATTCCGAGGACTGGTTTACGTTCCAAATGATAAGGAAATCCGCCGAGAGATATTGGAGTTGTTTCACGACTCTCCACCGGCTGGACACCCTGGACGTGCCAAAACCTTAGAATTGATTTCCAGAAATTATTGGTGGCCTTCAATGACGAAGTATGTCCACGATTACGTAGATGGCTGTGATAGATGCAGAGCAACGAAGATTCACCCAACGCAACCACATGGTCCGCTTAAACCAAATGAAATACCAGCGGGACCTTGGCAATCAATCACTTGTGATTTGATAGTAGATTTGCCTAAAAACGAAGGGTTCGATTCTATTTTTGTTGTCGTTGATCGATACACGAAACAAACGCACATCATGCCTACGAAAAAGGAAGTTGACGCTCGAGGAATCGCGAAACTTTTCCTAGATAACGTATGGAAACACCATGGAACTCTGAAACAGGTGATATCGGACAGAGGAACACAATTCGTCTCCAAGTTTATGGGACAAGTGTCGAAACGCCTAGGCATAAAATGGAACATGTCAACGGCTTATCATCCTCAGACAGACGGACAAACAGAGAGAATCAACCAAGAAGTAGAGCAATATCTGAGAATGTTCACGTCTTACCGCCAAAATGATTGGGTAGACTGGCTTCCGATAGCAGAATTCGCTCACAATAATTCTGTCACTGTAACGGGTCATAGTCCATTCAAAGTACTCTACGGATACGATCCAGAGTTTACTTTTTCACCAATTTCCAATTCTAAAGTACCTGCAGCTGATGAACGAGTGGATGTAATGAAAGAGGCGAAGGAAGACGCAGAAAGTATGCTGCGAATGGAGAATGAGCGGATGAAGAGATTCTACGATAGAGGAGTAAAAGACGCACCACAATTCAAGAAAGGAGATCTGGTCTGGCTCAATGCCAAAAATATCCGTCAGAAAAGACCAAATAAGAAACTCTCCGATCGACGACTTGGTCCGTTTGAAGTGCTAGAGAAGACGGGTGATGTAAATTACCGCCTGAACCTTCCAGCAAAATATCAGATTCATCCGGTATTCCACGTAGAATTACTCACTCCGCATTCCCCCTCGACCTTAGTCCAAAGACTTCCACATCATCGTCCGCCGCCAGAGATCTTATCAGAAGACGATTCCGAATGGATAGTACGAAAAGTCCTAGACTCGAGACTGCACAGATCAAAACTCCAATACCTAGTAGAGTGGGAAGGATATCCGATAGAAGAAGCGACATGGGAACCTGAGGAAAATCTTGAGAATGCACGGTTGAAAGTTCAAGAATTTCACCGGCAAAATCCGAAGGCATTAAATCCCTGCAAAATTAACAAATCGGTGTTCGAAACCCAAGAGTTTTTGGAATGGCGCAAGAAGTTTATTCGTCCTAGTTTCATTCGCGATGACGCTCATCCTAGAGAGGGGGTAATGTCACGAGTTCCAAATACAAACCATTATTCGTTCCTTAATTCTAAGTCCTTTAAGCGCCCAGTCACAGCGCCTGTTCCTAAGAATATGTTTACTGTTGAAGAAGTTCCTATTATTGCGTCTATTGTAGAATTACCAGAGTCACGTGATCGATCGGACAATGCCGAAGATGTTGACATCATGCCTCGCGATACTCTTGGAATGTTCCAGAGTCTTACTGCAGCTGCGGCACATGTTATGACATCATAGTTATATATAGAATCGTACGATACCTTTAATTATTCTGATTGGTTAGTTAGTTCATACTCAGTTTCGATCTCAGTTTCAATATGTGTATATAGGTAGCTCGTCGTAGTCAGTAGTTCTTTAGTTCAAACCTCTTGTATCTCCAAGTGAGCAATACCAAGACGTACCTGCTGCCTATTTCCTCTGCGTGATTATTCTTTGTTTGAGTCCTAGTCTCTGCCCAGCGTTAATTCGTTATTGGGTTGTGACAGCATCATGACTGTGCTCTAATCCGCGTGCAGGACAAGGATGGCTGCGATAAAAATATCTTTGTCAAATTATTATTCATGTTCAAGCACATTGTCAGCAACCGCACCTTAGATCTTGCTTTGGTTCTTCCCATGGATGCTTCACCACGTCAGCGCCTCCTAGATAGAGACCTGCGACTCACTCGTCTGCGTACACGGCCTGCAGCTTTATCTGAATTCATCACTCTTCATTCAATTATTCATGGTGCTTTACTTGTCCCAGATTTTGACAACAATAGGGATTATTTTCTTGTTGACTATATCGATACTGACATGTTTCTTCATGTCCAAAGGAAACTTATCTAACTTATTATTCCCTCCTCCAGCAGGAATCCTTGGGCCACCATCTCTTCAGTCTGCCTTCATGCTCGCATCCAAGGTCATCTGTGATGATGCAGTCACCATCTTTTCATATCCGCTTTCATGCTCGCATCCAAGGTTATCTGTGACGACACACTCACTGTCTTTTCGTATCTGCTTTCATGCTTGCATCCAAGGCCATCTGTGACAATACAGTCACCATCTTTTCATATCTGCTTTCATGCTCGCATCCATTTCATTGCATATGCTAATGGTTGTGCATCCAGCTCATCACCCATCTCTTTGCTTGTCCAGAGTAATACCCTATTGGCAAGTAAGCTCCCCCATTCCATTGCCTATGCCAACATTGTGCACCTGGTATCAATACCTCCACCCCCATCCAACTCCCACTGATGAGCAAAGCTCCTCATTTCGTCGCATTGCCCTTCCCCACACAAAACTCCAGTCCTCCATCAATTTTTCTGCTCCCACTGCTTGGGCATCTTCAGGTCACCATCTCTTCACATCCACCTTCATGCTCACATCCAAGGTTATCTGTGATGACACATTGGTCACCATCTTTTTGTATCTGCTTTCATGCTCGCATCCAAGGTTATCTGTGACGACACAGTCACCGTCTTTTTGTATCCGCTTTCATGCTTGCATCCAAGGTCATCTGTGACAATACTTACTCCAACCATCCAAGGTCATCTGTGATGACACTTACTCCAACAAATCCTGGAGCAGCTACTTGCTTATCCACGCTCTTTACCGCATCAAATTCCATGCATCTGTCACTACTCTCAATCTCGCCTATTGAACATGCCTTTTATATCAATACCACGTACTCCAGACACCTGCCACTCTCATTCTCCTCTTTTGTCACTGTGCAAGGGTCTTGAAGCACAAGGTTGGTTGGTTCATTAATCATCGCTTCCAAGTGGATATGTGATGGTTATATTATGTTTCTGATAAGGGTGCATGTTTTGCTACCCATCTTATTACATCAACAGGGTCTGACACTACCCAAACAGTGCTGATTTCAAGTGTGTCTGACTAATTCAGATGTTCCCAGCTTGCTCTTCATTACATTCTCTAAACTGCCATGCCTCAGCGCGCCCAAGGCGAAGACTTTACTCAAGATATTCAGAATATAGATAGCAGCTCTGCTGCTGACTCAACAGATTCAGACAGTTGACCAGTCCAACAATGATTTAGATTTGTTGCATTTTTGTACTGCAATTGCACCACCTCCTAGGATCGATCTCACAAGCAAAGAGCGGTGGCTCTCTCTGATGTCAATACAGGATGGCATCAAAGCCGAAATCTTTCTTTTTATTCTGCCAGCAGACCACAACATGATGGCCCATAAGAACTTCAGTTCCCATGTAAGTAGTACATCAGTGTACAAATTGTGAATCATTCCTGCTGATTGTCTTTTAAGTTTGTCAAAGGTGTCAATAGTGTTCATGCTGAAATGGTTTCTGATGTCAAGTCATGCACAGCCACCATTTTCAATCTCAATGCAAAATTCTTCATACAAGTGTATGCACGGGATTTGGAGCCTGCATGTTGTGCCTTGCTCCTTAACCCTCAAGGTGCATACACAAAGTTTGCACTAGTTCTCTTCCCTCGTCCAGATCGTGTCTCCCGAGACGACTTTTTCAAAACATCAAAGCTCGTTTATGTATGTTCTTCCCCTTTCTGACACACACATCCTGAATAGTCTGAGTAGATCTTGAAAGCATCTCTTTTGGGCCAATCCTCACTAGCTGCCAATGCACCTCCAACGCCTAAAACCAAAGCTAAGATATGGGAGTTACGTGCCATAACTCCAGGCCTCATCACAGCAGCAGCAATTGTTGTATGTTTGTTAAATTTATATTGCAGAACATGTACTAAACTAGGCTGCAGGCTATCTTTGTTCTTTCCTGTGACAAAAAGCTAGTCAACGTAGGTGACAAGTCTCGAATCTCATACAAAGAGTACCATAACTACTACCATCAAACTCTGATGACCAGCGGCACCTGGGCAGACAGCGTTTACACCTTCTTCAATAATTCCCTCTTTGCTACTTCTTCCTCTGTAGCTGCGCTGGGCTCAGACTTTGTAGGTGCGAGCAGCAGTCCACACAATACCTGGGAAAAGGATTTTGAGTGCGTGATGGAAACGGAGGGTGATTTGCCAGAAGTTGATGCTCTTCGAGCCATGTCACCACTCACCGACGAAGAAGATACCCCACCATCAGCTGTCTGTGTCGCCAACTTGAATGCACCTATTCTCACATCCGGATCTATATCTGTGGCTATGCAAGCTCTTGCTGTAGTGGATTCACAGGACCGCAAGTTATTACCATCTACCACTGCACTCAATGATTTGGGCTCGCGTCGAGCACCTGGATTGCTTACCAACAATGAAGCAGAGTCTGGTCCAGGTGCTCTCATTCAGAAGCCAAGCCCAAGCCCAAGCCAAGGTGCAAGACCAAGGCTGGAGCCGTCAGGGCCGAGGATTTAATATTAGATGCTGCTGACGAGGACCTGGCATTGGTGCAAAGGTCTGGCTGCTCAAAGAAATAGTATTATTAGTCTAAGACTGACAATGGATGGTCCTTCAATTTGTCGATGATTTGTCATTGATACTTACTATTATGATTGTGACAAATTGCTTACATGTGTCTCGTAATTCACTCTATTTCTCAGAGAGTTTGACTGAAAGAAAAATGATAATTATTATATGCTCTAAGGACTTCTGGACGGTGAGTATGTAGTCTATTCTGATGTCATCAGACATTGACAACAATGACAAACATGTCATTATGTAATATTAATCAGCCGTTGTGAATTATTCTGACAACACTTAGACTTGAACTTGTCTAACCACTGCGTCACAGTTTGATATTATTATGTCGTCAACAACGTCTGAATCGACGTTTATGTTCATTTTGATTCATCCATTGACAGACTCTGACATGATTTATTGACAGATTTAAAGATACTATTACTGAAAGCCTGGACCAAAATTGGTCCAGGCATTCTCAATTAGTTGCAAGTGTCTCACCCCATCTTGTCGGCCTCCCAATGGACCACTCCCAATGTCTCCTCACATATTGATGCTGTACCATCATCTACCTCCACTCCTGTCTCCTGGAGCTCTCTGCACCCCATCATCTACCTCCACTCCTGTCTCCTGGAGGAATCTCTGCACCCTGTCGTCTACCTCCACTCCCGTCTGCTGGAGCTCTCTGCACCCTGTCGTCTACCTCCACTCCTGTCTGCTGGAGCTCTCTGCACCCCGTCATTTACCTTCACCTGAGGCTCTCTGCACCTCATCATCTACCTCCACTCCCATCTCCTGGAGCTCTCTGCACCCTGTCATCTACCTCCACTCCTGTCTTCTGGAGCTCTCTGCACCCCATTGTCTACCTCCACTCCCATTTCCTGGAATTCTTGCACCCCGTTGTCTACCTCCACTTCCATCTCCTGGAGCTCTCTGCACCCTGTCATCTACCTCCACTCCCATTTCCTGGAGCTCTTGCATCCCGTTGTCTACCTCCCCATTGTCTGTATTCGTTTGTCCAAGGTTAGTAAGACTGATCTTCTATCTGTATCATCTCTAACTGAACCCTCCCAACCGGGATTATCATTTCCAGAAAATTATGATTATGAAGGAGACTGCAATTCGACAAGAATTGAGGGGAAATGAGAATGATTGGAATGCGATTGGGGGCATTTTCATATATTATCATTAGTAGTGTTATTATATTAAATAATCAAAATGATCCAAATTTGCTTGAAAGACTTGGCATGATTTTAAGGCCTTGGAAGGACCATTGTCACTTGCAATGATGTCCCAATTAGGGTATATAAGTATTGCTCAAAATTTTGCACCACATTATGGCAGAACGATACATCCTCGTGGCTAACAATCCATTAATTGTGATACATACTTCACTATAGTTGTCCATTCGAGTATATATCCCTCATGTATAGCTATCCACAGTGATTCTCATCTGAGTATTGGATCTCCTCAGGTATAGGGCCGCCAGGTGTCCGCCGGACCTGTATCTATCAGCAATTGAGTGAAGTGATCTAGATCTCCTCAGGTACTAGAACATACCCCACAGAAGTTCCGCCAGATGGCCCAGACCTGTATCTATCAGCAATTGAGTGATCTCATATGAGTATCAGATCTCCTCAGGTACCAGAACATACCCCGCAGACATTCTAAGGCACGAAGGTTGATATTTTTGTAACTTTGATAATGTACATACTATCTACATCATGCGTCCTCGATGTCTTTGCAAGGTGGCTCATCAAGAGATGGTCCATCATCCTCTTCGACAAGTAAGTCATCATCCAAACCTGAGGCAACCAGATCAGGGACTTTCCTCCAGCTTTCTTTGAAGACGGCTGCAAGCCTACGATGGATGTGAGCTTGCCGGCGAGCGTAGGCTACAAATCCCTCCGCGTCCTCCTTCGGCTGCTCGACAGATGATCTTGATGCTTGTGAGTCCCACTGCTCTGCTCGCCAGTCCAAGAATCTCAGAACACATTGCATTTCTTCCAGCAATAGCTGAATTTCTTCCGACCACCTGTTGTGGCGTGCACGGGCCTTGCACCATTCCACATGAAGCACTATCCTCAGGCTAGTTGAGTAATATTTAGAGACAATTAAGTAACATTACTTACAGTCTTGCAATCCCTCGTTGTCATCGGTGGATATACCATGCGTCAACCAAATCCAAGACATGATGGCTGTCCCTTGGGTCTGTCCCCCAAAGTCTCCCATAGGTCTGAGGTGAGCCTTTTTCAAGGGCTGCAGTTTCTGCTCCCAGCCTGCGCAATCCATGTGACAGGAAAGGGAAACCAGCGCATTGTGGGCGCTCACGTACTTTGCGTGACTCAGCATTAAATGTTCTTCGACCGCATCTAGTGTCTTCCATGCGCGTGTGCTTGCTCCTTGTCCGCGCACATGCTGGGTCTTATACTGATATAACTGGTGGCGAACTCGGATGTGTGAACGACACTCATTGAGAGCATCGTTGGCCTGTGCGTGTCACAGGGACCATTCCATCTCAAGCAATTTTTGATTGCATGTCACGATATTACAGAGTTCTGAAGGAAGAAGTAACTGGAAATCTTCTGCATTACCTGAGTTTGGATTTAATGTCAGACAGCCACTATCATCGTTGTCATTGTCATTTGGAGGTATGAGGGATGCAGAGGCACGAAGATTCGGCACCATTGGCATCTAAAGGATTTGAATATCGGTCCACACATCTATATGATGTTGGAGTACAGTCCTTCACATCAGAACCTTGGTTCTCTGAATGTCGGTTGAATGTTGACTGAGTGCGCAGACATCTGCATGTAATCAACATCTGAAAAAATTAGACACACTTCGCCAATGCTGTAGAATCACCTACTGGGTATGTTTGAGGTCGATACCAGTGCTGAGGAACACACTGCAAGTCACCTCAGCGTGAAGTGAGACCACCGATCCATCTTCCAATGCCTTTGCATCTTGCTTGGCCAATTCCAATCGCACAGCTGCTTGTGTCATTGCTAGTGCACATTAATCAGCAGCACATCAAACTCGGCCAATGGCAGGGGACATACTGGCGACTCTGCTCTGGAAAGGGTTGGGCTGTGAATGGTCTATCTCCCAGGCCTCGATCTCTGCCCTCCATATGGAAAGTGAAGCAGCTCCTACTTCTGACTCGGTGATAGAGCCCTGAAAGTCGTGGAGGGCACAGCGATGCTCTTTCTTGCTTGCAACAGCATTGCTGATCTTCCTCAGCAATGCTCTACCTGATGACCAGGGTTTGTGAGCAATTTGTTCAGATGAAACTGAAAACACTAGTACTCACCAAGCGCCGTAACCTTCTTCCAATTAGAATCACCGAAGTGATCATTGAGTGTGTCTCTCCGTGCTCCCGGACCCATCTCCTTTGTGCTGCTGGCCACACGATTCATATTGGCCCAGCCACGTTCGGGGGCTTCACCATCGGTCCTTCCTACACCAGGAGTCCAATTGAATGAGAACTCGGTCTGGCAAACCTCAATGTGCGCAGCAAGGTGGAATTTCGGCACAAGGAACTTGATGACCTTGCCGTCCTGGTTGAAGTGAAGATGTGATGGTAGCATAGACATGCAAGGCCACAACTTCTTGTACCATTGACAAGCCACGTCATATGAAATGTTGATCCTTCGAAGTGCAGAGAAGTTGGAAAGAGCCGAGAAAACTAGATAGTCCATGTTGACATATCTAGAATAGCACGACTCTTAGCTGGGAAGCACAAACTGAAAGAGAAACACATACCTTTCACCTCGTTGCAAGTCGCCAACACCGTTCACAAGTTTCATGTCGTGTCGTGCGCAGTCCACAGTGCCCACCCCAGTAGCAGCTAGACCCTTCCATGACTTGGTATCTGCCATATTCACGGTGTTGTGGCTGACACAGGTACTTTTCTATCATTCGTAAGGCAAACACTGTCAGTCTATAGTCGAGTCCACAAGTCAAGGACATACCTCTTGTGTGATCCCAGTGAGTGAGCTCAAATGACATTTGTAGTCTGTCTCATCTACAAAATAGCCCCATCCTCGGCTAAGACCAGGATCTTTCTCATCACTAGACACCATCCGATGTTTGAGACGAAAATTAGCGTCGACTGCAATGAAAAGTCCATACTTCCACCTAAAAATAATTGTTTGGTTAGCTAGGCTAGACAACGGCTAACACATTGAAACACGCACTGATCAGGTGCAGTCTCCCAGTCATCTGGCAGGTTTTTACCTGGATGAGGATAGGCTGGACACAGCACAGCCAAGTCGCCATCATTCATGAAGTGAACACCATTGGGATCATGTCCACACCCTGAACATTTCAAGGCCTTGCAGTTTCTCCACTCGATAACCATTCGGAGGAACACTGAATAACGATCCTGAATGAGAGTAAGCACGACAGATCAAATGAGATTGAGCAAGATGTAGGTAGACTCACATGAATCAGTGTGATACCAATATTGTCAGTTCATCGAGCCAAACAATGATAGAATTTGTATGCAGAAACTTTTGACTCAAATGAAAGAATATGAAAGAATTCCAAGACCGGAAAAGTTGCTGCTGTTCTTGGGTTGGTCACTGTGGAAGGGAACCAGCGTGCTCGAAGTAACTGCTTGAAATGCGACACCTCATGCTCGCATCCACAAAAGTCGAGAGCAATTTTGTGTATCCTGTGGACATCGATAATGACGAAGTCATTGCTATATGCAGGTTTTGGCCTGCGACAGGTGGTACCCAGGTGGTGACCAAGTTGCACGCGCAAGCCCATAGACTTGAGTGATACAGGATGAAAAAAACCATCCTTCCACTCCTGTGTCTCTTGTAAGTAAAGGAAAGATATTCAAATAAGAGCTACGCACCTTGATTCTGTGGAGCGGCACATTCACATGTGACTGGATGGTACACGAGCAACAGGCAAGCTGAACTGAAAAACAATCTTGACACCTGAAAACTGCATGTTCGGCACCACACTGACATGCGCTGTTTGCATGTTTGCCTCTTCCTTCCAATCTGATGAATTCATGCATGAATGTTTGCCGTTCTGGCAGCCAAAGGGATATAGGATGATCCTAAAAATTCCAAGATAAGATTCGTGTGATGTTTGAAATGTGTAGAGACATACTCGAGCGGTTTTTCAATGCCTTACTTTCAGTGCCTCAGAGCCAAGGTTGGCATCCTCACAGATTACGGGAGTAAAGTGCCCAACTTCGTTCCAGGGATCTGTATCAGCAGGCTCGGGCTGCGCATCAAACAATGTGCTTTCTCCTGGATCATCCAGCATTAAGTTGGGAGGGATGTACGTTGTCCGAAGGGTAATTCGTCCACTGGGCTGCAGGCTGAAAATGCAATGTCTATCATGATGTACTTGATCCGGTGCATCAAGTGAAGCTGTGTGCTTGACCAGTCTTGGCCGCTTGGTTGGTCGCCCTGCACGTTTAGTAGACTGTGACATTCTACAAGTTTCTTCATACAAATCCCGTGTGAGGCTGATACATCCACTTGAAGACTGTTCCATGTGCGTCTGATTGATCCGCTGCGGGCGAATCTTTGCGAAGCTAGTTGTTGACAGGTAGTATCATAGTACACGTACAAACTCCACTTCCTTAATTTGCAATACACTCCTGTCCGCGGCCCTCAAAAAAATTTCAGACACTTTTGGCTACATTCACACTGATAGGTATCGAGGGAACAGCATGCTGGACAGTCAGTGAACTAATTAAAGCCCAGAAGTGGCATAAGACCCATGTAAGACGGAGCTAGTACAGGGTATCATCATTCTGATACATCAACTCTTTGGCCACAAAGGCGCAGGCAAGCTCGCCATAGCTTAGCTCAAGATGCCACAGGATATCCTGCAAATATTCCAACAGACGACGAATGGCGCGACATACTTCATCGGCAGCCCTCCACTCGTCACAAACTCCACACATGTCCCAAATCTTGTCTTGACCATGGTGTGCCTTCTTGTGAATGTTTTCGATAGTCTGAATGGCGTCCTTGATTATAGAAATATCTCCACCATCTCTCCTGTCGGTCAGTGCTTCACCATCGGAGTCATTTGAGACTGATGCAACATATTGGCGGAGAATATGTTCCACGTATGCAACAGGTGTTGCAGCAAGAGTGATTAGCTCATCCTTGGCCTCTCTTACGATCCCTAAACAATCTGAGAGTGTATCACTTAAATCTATACAATTTAGTGTCAGTGCCATCATGTGTGAGGGATTAAAAACTTACGGCGCAGGAGAGAGATCATGCAAAACACCTGACCCAAGTGAATCAGTAGCCTGCGAGTCTGCTTGGCGGGTTGTGGGTGTACAACATGCAGCAAGCTGACATTTCAAATTGATACTGACTTTATTCCTGCGAACATAATTGTTAACGTATTTTGGTTTGAATATTGAAGGAACTGACCTAGCATAATAGTTGTGGCATTTTTCACGTTCAGCTGCACACTTAGCCTCTGGAGTTGTGTAAATAACTGGGCGACCTGCTGGCATGGAGAATGTTGGAGGTGTGAGTGAGAGACGGTGGAGGTGTGAGTGAGAGATGGGAGCTGAATAATTGAAATTTTCAATGGCGAATCTAAGATTACGGTCTGACAGCGAATTATGGTCCAATGGTGAATTATAGTCCAACAGTGAATTAGATGGCTGTCAGACCTAAATGCACACCCATTGAGTCTATCCATCACCACTCTATCAGTTCCATCTCACTTACTTTCAATGTGTCAATCCCCAGTCAAATGTATGTGTATGCTGCAAAAATGAACATGTTAACATATTTCCTGCACAGAATTAGATGGCGCCTCCCAAGTGGACAACAAAAGAACAAGAGGAATGGCTCCAACCGTGGTATGAAAAGTACTCAGGAAAGCAGGGTGAGAAGTGCAGGAACTTCAACAACTTTTTTGCGGACCTGAATGAACAATGGTTTGACGTATTCCCGGAGCCTCGCCCCAACAACTGTACAACAGTTGGACCGTTGACAAAAGAAGAATGGGATGAGGCAATTGACGCACACAAAAATGTACGTGAACTCACTAACCAAACATTTATTGGAGGTTGACATTGCGATAGAAATTGTACACACATTTCAAGAACACCTTTGGTGGGTCAAGGGCTGGATGACAGGCGAAGGCGAAGGCGAAGGCTACCGATGCCTTTGATGCTGTGGTTCGAAGGACAACAGAGTGTGAAAAGCCGACTCGCACACTTCAAGAACATGAGGCTTACTCTAAACTCTACTATGCCGACCGCATCCAACAGTCAGTTCGAGAAACGCTGAAATTGGCAGAAGAGCAACAGCCACTCACCAACGGCCGGCGTGTAGCCCTTCTAAAAAAGGAGACAGCTACTCTCTATGCAGGCGAGTCTGAGGAGGTTAAGAGTAAAGTCAAAGAGTACATCATGGCTCAGAAGAACCAGCGCATGCAAAACCAACCGGAGACTTGGAGTGTTGAAGATCAAAAGCAGTAAGTAGTTTACATCTGAAGCAGTCTTTGAATCAGCTGACTCGCAATATTTGCACAGGAACCTTACAAAGTTGGCTGCAGTTGCGAACCAGTTCCTTAAAGGCCTTGCAGACACCACTGGCCTGGTGTTTAGCCTTCTGGTGGGCGGCCCCTCGGCAGAGTTGGGAGGCCTGATTGATGCGTGGAGGTGAGTTGAAGTTATACATGAAGAACAAAAATTAACGCACCGCAACAGTTTCCATGTTGGACAGACAACACTAGGGAACGATTTCAGTCAAGCATACCCTGACTTCGAAAGCAGGATTGTCGCACCATTTCATGATTACCTGTATCGTGTGTACCGTAAGTATGATGATCTGAAGGATGTTTATGTAGCTTACTATGTTTAAACTTGATAGTGGATGCTGCAGTGTTGAAGAAGGGGGAAACAGGCACCTCCAAGAGCCCAATTGCACATGTGGGTGAGACGATAACACGAGGTGATGGTAGTAGTACGTCATATCTCATCTATTTATCATGTGACAGTATTTTTGACACGGATTTAGCCGAATTTTCTTCGTCTCTCAATGATACTCAGTTTCACTTTGATGTCACTGAGCATGCGGAGCTGGATTGGATGTCTGACAATTACCTCAATAGGTTACAACAAATGTCCATGGGCATTCTGCCAGGTGCATCTGCTGCAGATTTGGCTGACCCTCTCATACATGCACCCATTGTGCCGCCCACCCCTCCAACACCAGCTCCCAGCTCTCCCGGTTTTTCATTTCCCATGGTGTCGCTACCCGCCATGTTGCCCTCCATTGTGTTGCCCCCCATCATATTGTCTCCCATCATGTTGCCCCCCATCATGTTGTCCCCCATTGTGTCACCCCCCATTGTGTTGCCCCCCATCATGTTGCCCCCCATCATGTTGCCCCCCATCATGTTGTCCCCCATTGTGTTGCCCCCCATTGTGTTGCCCCCCATTGTGTCATCCCCCATTGTATCGCCTCCCATCATGTCGTCCCCCATTGTGTCGCCCCCCATAATGCTACTCTCTGAGATGTCAGGTTCTGTGGTACTCTCCCCTGTGCTACCCACTATGGTATCACTTCCTGCTGTGTTGCCTTCCATTGTGTCACCCTCTGTGATTGACAATCACTGCCCTTGATCCTGGCCTTTGTCACGCCATGTGACCCAACTTGTCGAAACGAGTGCAGAAGCTAACAAGGATGCTTACTGTCGCAGCGGACGAGTTTCCATGCACTCCACATGCAATATGGTTGCAAACTCCATTGGACATAATGTCAAGGATAGTTTGCCACCTGCGCCAACTCTTAAACATTTGCGCGAAGCTCAAGCAGCAGGCCATTCGTGTCAACACAAGTAAGTTTATTATTTCTACCAGTATGTCAGGACTTAATGTCAATATAGAAGGGGGAAGTTTTGAGTATTTGCGGTCTTATCTTGTAGGACTACCTATAGTTTGTCGCGTATTATCTTGTTGACTCCTGCTCTTATGTACAAAAAATTGCTTTATTTTTTGTTTAGTTACAGTAATTGACATTAATTGCTTGATCTGAGACGACTTTGTTGATGATTTAGCTCAACCGCCCCATGATGGGTCATATGACAATGTTGAACCTTCAGACTTGCTAGCTCCGGGCAGAATTCAAACACTGCACACCCGCTGGTCGTGGTGGGCGGTAATATCAGTAAATTCTTAAATTGTCTACTCGAGTTACACTTGGTACGAAGAATTCTAGAAATGCATTGAATTTGAATTGCTCTGAGTATAAAATAGTAATAGTTGAACACTAGTAAGTGAAATTTGATTGTAAAACTGAGAAACAAAGGTACAAGACACAACAGTATAAAGTGTAATACACGTGAGACTCGACGAAATGTGCTCGAATGAGCAAAGAAAATGGTTCGGTAGGAGGAAAAGACAAATGTGAGTGACGGAGGCACGAAGGACATGCTCACACGAGGGAAACGTCAGTTAGACAGTTGCGAATCGATTCAACTTGGTTAAATAAGTTTAACATTTAATCATGAATATCGTGATAGAGATGGGTGCGGGAGTACCGGGGAGCTCACACAAGTGGGCAGGAGGTGTTCAAGGAACCAACCAGAAGACCAGAGGTGATGATGAGCATTTGCATGGAGGTTGAGAGATACTACAGGTGTGATCAGCATTTGCGTTCGCCGTAACACAGGTTTGGTTTGAAAATGAAAAACAACCTGTAAGCGAGACACAATTTTTGAAATGAGATGAGGCGAAACACTCACGAGCAACCCTCTTCTCCAAACTCTGATACTCCTCAATAGCCTCTGTATATCCCTGCGCCTCATTATACTACCATTGATTGTTGACCAAGTTGACACAATCACGTGGGGTTCGTCATTGAAAATTTTGGCATCTAAGTATTCAAAGCAGAGTCATAGCACAGCAGTAGTTTCCTATACTCTGATCAATGTGACACTTACACCAGGTAAAGAGAATAAACAACTAAGAAAGCTGTTGTAGGGATTCATTTCTGGCTGGGCTTGTAGAGACTGTTTTTACCTTACCTTATGTTGGCACTTTTGTAGCTTACATAAGCAATCAATCTTTTCACCAGTTACCAGTATGAGTCTGAGTGCTCAGTAGTTTTCTATGATATTTCCTCTCCTCTGAGCCTTGAGCCTGGTCCAGAAACCCTTTAGGGTCGAATAGCAGCTAGGTTCTGCAAGACCCGACATTGTTCAGACTCACCATCTGAATTGTTGTACCTTCACCGTTTGGAAAAAGCTTGCAGCTGTTGTAATAATGCCATGTGTGAGTGCTCGCTGAGCAGGAATCAACCGTGAGAATTTGGACTTCGAAGCATGTAGTAGGATGTTGATTGGAAATTAATATGCAACACCCAAGATTATGAAGTATCGAGATCTGATGGGGCTGGCCGCTAAAGCGCTGAAGTAGTAGGCTGCCGCCAATCAACTTCTGTTGATGCCGCCAGAAGGAGGAAGATTTGAAGATTATGCACCCTTTCTGGTATTCAACCCCCAGTTGGGTGGTGGTTTGTAAGCACGGCAAGTACCGAGAAGGTACCTGGTGATTCACACGCAGGATACATCCTGGTTGGACAATGGATAATTATACAATATGATGTATCGGGATTTATGGATTATTATCCTCTCAGGATGTATTAATATAGTGCTATGGGCTGAATTTTGCCCTTGCATTGGAATGGTCCTGGGACCCACTTGCAAGAACCCATATATCGCTTCCAAGCGGCTTCCAAAATTTTCAGGTTGTCTTCCAAGCGAGTTGTAATGCCGCCAGCAAATTGAGGCCTTCCAATCCATTTTAAGGCATGCCAACCAAAATTAGAAATTTCCGACACACAGTTTGATTTGCACATTTACGATACTGGAAAAGTGAGGTGGAGCGCATTACATTGTTGAGACGGGGAACTTGGCCCTATGTGTTGTAAGAGATGGAGCAAGGTGGAGAAAAGTTGTGTCAAAAATAAAATATAGCAATCGATTTCCAGCAAGTGGAGCAGAGCAGCACGCTTTGAGTATCGCTGTGAATTGATGGTATTAGGTTATACTAGGGTATCTGCTGGTCCTCGCCCTGCCCGCCATCCCGCCTCCCAAATCCACATTAGGACTGTGCGGGCACCCACTCCTACTCATCAATGTTGATCGCATCCTCCCTGTCAACGGCCTGCTGTGTTGAAGAAGAACGAGCCTGTAAAAGACTCGGATTAGCAGCCAAACTCAGATCTCGGACAATTGCACTCACTTGTGCAAGTGCCTTGCTTTTGTACTCCTAGTAGTGCGCCGTGTTAGCTGTGCCATAAGAGAGAATGGACAGTACTTACCTCCTTCATGCTCGTGGATAGGTCGTCCCAGTAGAGTGCAAACGCACTCGCCGGCTCTTGCTGGTGACCGTTTTTTGCCACTCAAGGGCGCATATGTTGCTAGAGATGAGAGGTATCAGTGCGAGTTTCTAGTGGGAAGCCAGGATAACATACCGTGGTGTGATCTTTGGCCCCACTCGCATTGGCTTCAAGCTTGGCTGACATTTCTTGACAGGCTGTGTGTTTGAAATCATATTTGCGGTCTTCGTGATGGTGTTCTCTGTGGCCACTAACTCCATCTTGACAGCAAGTGAAGCCACATCAGCCACTGACGGCGGCATCCTGGAAGGCCTGGACAAGAAGGGAGTAGGTGCAGAGGATGTTGTGGTTGCGGGTTTGAATACAAATCCTGCCCTATTAAAAACTTTAGCGTTGACTGAACGTGTAGCTACTCAAATGACTTACAGTGGATTCTTGACCTGTTGCCAGTGCAAACAATTAGTATTTTTAAATGTCGCAGTTGGACTACGCACCTCCACATTAAGAGTCCCCGTTTGCTTCTCGTTTGCTAAGGACAGGGACGGTAGAGCAGGTTCATCAATTTCGGCAGGCAGTAATGGGATCTGAATGTCATTGTTAGTGAAGCTCAATTAATACAGGATGCTGACCTCTAGTTGTGGGAGCACTTCACTGGTGGTGTTCTCGGCATCCTCGAGTCTCTGTTTCTTAGTTGGTGGTTCTTGAAGTGCCGGGTCAATCATCGGATCAAGGTAGTCGCTGGAAGACAAGGGATCCGACGTAGAGATGGAAGGTAGTAAGGTGTCAACAGAACTCTCACACAGCTCGTCGCCAGCAAGAGGGATATCTTCGGACTTGATGCGTTTCGTACCTCTCCTCTTGACATGGTAGTTATACCACTGAGAGTAGTTGTCTATCATCAATTTCATGGATTTCCAGTTGTCAGCACATAAACGAAGTTCGAGGAATTGTTTGCATAGCGTGTGAGTGAGCCAATGTAAAACTTGCAACAAGGCTTGACCGATTGATTCAGGTGCGAGACCTTGTGTCTCGAGTTGACGAAAGCTTGATAGCATAAGCTGTCGAATTGCCTTGGCATGCTGAGCAGAGACAGGATTTCCTTGCTCGTCCTGAAGGTAAGTGCAAGATACGTTGATGCCTTTTGCCATTCATGCGGATCCTCGAGATGATTTTGCAGCAGACCCAGGAACAGCTGATGTGCTTTTCGGACAGTCTTCCAGCCATTGCTGCTTCGTCCATGACTTCGAGTGTGGGTAGTCTTTGGGATCTAGCTCTCAATCGCATTCTTCGTCTGTGGTTGTGTCCAATAGACATGGTTTTTGCTCGTCTTTAGTATTATTTGAGGTCTCTGATGAATTTGACGCGATGGAGCTTGAGGAGCCTCGAATATTGATAATAACATTCCTATAACACATGTTTTGCCTGCATATATGTGCTGATTATATAGTACTCACTGTAAGGTTTCACACTTGGTACTTAGAGTGGCGTTCTCGCTGACAAGCATGGCCCTATCTGCTTGTAGACAAGTGACTGTGTGTTGTAATTCGGAAATTTCGTGCTTGAGCTGTATGACTGTACTGGCATCAGACTCGCTGCAAGCCAGACGCTCATTCTTGAGCATTGATTGAAGGCTGGATTGTGAGTGAAAAGACTCGCCATCGAATTTCAAGGTGAGCTGTTGTCATCAAATCATCGGAATTGAACTCACACTAGTATTTGGATCCCGTATTGCTGGTGTGTCACACGCATATAACGGACGGGACACACCCAGATCAAGAACATCGGAAAATGACTGTCGTGGATTAAGCTGAGCTCGTAAAAGGTGGGAATATCCTGCAGAGGGTATCGCTGTAATCATGTTGTTAATGGACGACATGATGGTAGTATAGAGGTAAGGTGCATGGTTGTTCCAAGACAAAAAAGGAAACCTACTAAGTAGTGTGCCACCATGACACTGGGCTTAAGCAAGTCGACGATGGTAATACCAGAATGTGTACAGGCCTTTTTTTATATCTCCTCCTCCAAAGTAGTCTATAGTACATTTGCTGGATCATATGAAGTTTTACTAGTCCTTGTCAGCTACTGTGTCCTCACTGCCCCCCATCTGAATAATGTCCAACCCTGGCCGTTCGATGAGGTAGAAAAGGGTGTCATCGATGACAGGAAAACGATGCAGGACCATTGCTACAACAGACTGAATAGTGGAAACTTCAATGAGTTTCAATGAGGTGTCACCACAATAGTGACATGCAACGACAGTTTGAAATGAGCAGCGCAAGAGTTCAGCATGTGGGGGGCTAAATTGTGGAACAAGTGCGAAGGTCTTTGTTTCGTCATGGATTGTCATATTGAAGTAGAACAACACTTCAGCGATGCTCATCTCTCCATCAATTGATAGCTAAAATGAATGAGAACACTAGCTGGTGAGCATATAAAATAAATATTCACCTTGACGTTGCGTGCTATATGAGGTTGCCGCGACATGGCATTCTCTTTCCAAGCCGAACGAGCCACTTGACCATTGGGAAGACGAAGGCGAGCCCATCGTGTTACAGATGGAGCTGCAGTAACATCAATCCCGCAGGTTGACAAGTAACGGAGAATGGCACCTGCTTCGCACAGACGCACAGGGTGGGCATTCTGTTCTCTTCGACATAGCAAGATGTAGCCATTTCCGAGGTCTTGTGACCCCTGGCAGGCTGTTCTGTTCGGGTTCAATTGTCAGTATGATGGCTTTAATCGCGTTGATCTGGCAATGATGGGCAGCTCGACGGGAGAGATTAGCATAAATGGAACTGTTATGGAGACAAATCTCCTGAGCGAGATTGCCAATGGTACATTCCATCGTCCACTGAGACGAGCAAATTGGAGGCCCCTTTGTGATTGTTTCGGAGGGAATATGTGTGGTCGAGTGTATCCATGGACGGACAAAATGGAGGCGGTCAATATGGCGCTGATAATAAATGGTTTCGAAGTCATGCGCAAATGTTAGAAGGTGTTCATGTGCCTTCATGAGATCGGTGCGAGTGATGTGATATTGTTGCATAAGGCACATCCCACTGACGAGGTGACAAAGATTTGTCCAATATGGATCTGGAAGAACGCCAAAGAGAGCAGCTAGTCCCATTCTGTAAAGATACAGCAGCCATTCCCAAGCTTTGAACCCGCTGTTTATTTTCTCGGCAGGATTATGTGGTGGGCGATCAAACGAACCAGGTAGGAACGGAGTTGCATCACCAATGGTTGAGCCATTCTTTTTCCATGTCTCCTTCATCAACACAGCCAAAGGCCACATAGATTTGTTGTTATCAGGGTCAGCTCTAAATGTCCCGCACCAAAGTGGAATGAGAGTGTCGCCAGCATTAATTGCGGGAATATGCATGATGTCGGAGCCAAAACAATGAGGTACAAGCAGGATACGTTGACTGTCGAAGCCACAGAAAATACTGGGCTTTGTAATACCTGTCTCAAGTCGTACAGCCTCATATTGTGCCATCATTTGGCAGTGGATCAGTCATTCCATGTTGTTGTGGTAATTGTACGATCCAGCTGCAGGAAGATGATCAATTGGTACATCGGGATGGTCACAGCATAGTTGACGGTGAAGATCAGGCTGAAGGAGGGCTGGATAGTATGTCGGAGCACCAGGTTTATGTCTCCCAGGTAGTCCACAATACAGCCGACATCCCATTTTTCCGTGGTGGCCAACGAGGCCCGTAAGAAAAGCCATACCAGGACCATCCACTGTTGCAATGAAAAGAAATGGATTAGATCGAAATAGGATGTCCTTTGCACCGTCCCAGATCAGTAAGCCTTCTGTCTGGATCGCACGAAGATGATGCAGGCCAGGGAACATGAACGAGTCCAAATTCTTGGGCTTTTTCGGACCTGGAATGATACCACCTGGCAGGACGTACTTCTTCTTGTACCTCTCCTCCGGAGCATGATCAAATATGACCCAGATATATATCCAACAATCACTCTGTTTCGACTCATAGAGTTGCGCACCATCAATCGATAACATCAACACAGAATCGCCATCCTTGATCTTTCCGGACTGACAAGCATCGAGGTATTCCTTGCCGTGGAGAATATCTTTGTATACGCTTGGAACACCACCTGTCGTCTTCAACTCCTCAAAAATCTTCTTGGTTTGGTCTTCGTGCCAGCGCATCTTCCATGCCTGGTCAGGATGGCACCAGAGCGCTTGGAGCTGGGGGCCAATTGGAAACATGTCATATTGTTGACGTGCAACCTTTTTGCGATCAGTGCTCTTTTTCATGTCCCAGTGGTCCTCTCCGCATCTAGGACATTGGTCAAGGTGGGCGAAGGGACCTGTGAAAGCAAGACAGGTATTGATGCACATATCATGCACAATCAGGACAACTCCGCTGAGCTCTGCAACGGCTTGTTGAATGCGATAATGGGTGTAAATATCATCCTCAGGATGCCATTCCATTGTTGCATCACGGATAGCATTGTAGGCTTTGATTGTAGTGTCGGCAAAATAGTACTTTAATGATTGTATAAGGTCAGGGTTGGTAGCATCAGGAAGTTCTCGAGGAGGGTGTCAAAGTCTATGGATTGCGTCGTCAGGCAAACGAGAGTGTGGGTCGTCGAGTGATGCCTTTCGTAGAGCTGTGATGAATGCCATGGCGTCTTGAGCATCATCAAGTCTTGCCATATGGTGGAGCTCCTCGAGGTCCTCGTCTGTCCAGCCCATTGTTTGAGGACAGACTTCATTCTCTGGGTTGTTGACATCTCCACCCGTGTCTCCAACCCCCTCCTGCTCTTCATCATGTTCATCGGCACACTCTTCATCACGATCATGCTCTTCACTGACTTCTTCCCGGTGCTCCTCCTGTCGCTCATATCTAAGCTCATCATTGTCGTTATTATCGACCTGAAAATCTGAGTGTGATTATGATCAGAGTCTCGGTCATGATTAGACAGGTAAGGTCATGTTACCTTGCCCAAAGTCATCCCCTCCGAAGTCATGACTGGCTGCATCAAGTGTATCGTCGTGATGATCTATTTGATGTGAGTCGTTGGCCATCCCATCATCCTTGACATGAGGTGTATGACTAGATCTGGCACTGCTGACTTCAGTCTGAGAGTCTGGTGGCTCCAGCGGGGGTACAATATCATCCTAGTAACCAGCGAATAGTACTATGGTGAGCACTGCAATCTATGATAAAGTGGCACAAAACTAACCTTGGATCTATTCGGGGCTGGGAATGGACCAAATGTCTCCTCGGTACGTGATTTCTTCAAGTTGCTGCCACACGATCTGGATTGTTCTTCTGTCTCAGATGGACTCGGACATTTGCTTGACGACGATGGAGGCGCTGCCAACAGATCAGATGCTACAAGACTCAGAGGTATGGGTGGCAGCAGTGGGACAATAGAGGGAGGAAGAGGATTCTGTAAGTTGGCAAGTCTGCCAGGCCGATGCTCGTAGTATGCGGTGTGTTTGACCTGCTTAGGTTTTCTGCAGTTCTTTCAGAGACATATGTCGCAATCGCAGATGTAAACAACGGCAGTGTCTTGTGGCCGGTATATACCAGCCTGGAGATTGTCCATGGTATGGTATGTGGTGACTTAGAAAAATTTCGATCAGTAAGTGCAAAGCGTCACCTTGCTCTGCAAGGTCATGTTCAGATGTATCTTAATCTGTGCCAACGTAAGCAATACCCCGTGTGAAAAATGACGAAATCACATGTGATGAATCACAAGAACAAATATAAATCGGTAACAGACCCAGCACTACAATATTCTACATAGTATAAGCACAGAGCGATTTCCAATATGGTGTCGACGCCATGTGCGCGCTCCACTTCAGCCCCTTTGAGGCTCCACTAAGCCTACAGACACCATCTGTCATGTCTCCGGGATGAGTCAACAACACTGTCGACTTTCTTTCGAATGGCTTAGTGCAAAATGTGCGAGCGTGAGTCTTTGATTCATCTGTTAAAAGTGGTCGCATAAGCAGGTCAGAAGGGAAACTGCAATTTATGGTCCAGCTTGAGGGTAGAAAATGTCCGAAGGTGAACGGACTGCTTGTACAATATAAAGATAAGACGAGCATCATTCATACAGTAACATTGTGAGTCTACGAAACATCATGTTCATCGTCCAATGTGAGATGGTAACTGTAGATGTCAGAATTACCATTGGACGATCACAAATATGACATACTTGCTGATTAAGACAGGGCATCAAAATATGCACATGAACATTCAACAGCGCCACAAGATTGCAATTCTATCGTTGATTCAGAGCAATGCAATAAATGATGTTTATAATATTTACCGCAAGTGGACGTACATCCCATTGACTGAGATTCTGTTGACGCATGCCTTGTACTTGTATCTCAAAATGTATTGTTCTTCGGTTCTAGCTTCTCTTTATTCCTTCTTGACTTGTGTCTTGAAAGTAATGTCTACGCATTCTTGGTATTGCATCTAGTGGTTTAAGTCGTATCTCAAAAGTAATGTCCTCGCATTCGTATTCCTTTGTATCGCCTCTAGTGGTTTATAGGACTGGAATAAAATTGGGGATGAGAAAATTGGACAAACAATGGCAAGCAACAGAGCAAGGTTAAGAGACGGCAATGCTGGCCCCTAGTGATTTAAGATAAGTATATGTATGCACGACACAAACACGCACCTGTGTGTCACCATAAATGTCCCTTATTAGTAAGAAACATGTGATGTGATGTCCGTTACTAACTAGGGGGGAAATCCTATGCTGCAGTACTTCAGCGATTTCTGCAGCACTCAGCACTGACTTAGGAGATGTTTTGCTAAATAACATATGATATAATCAGTAGATATGATAAGAGCTTATGTCAGGTACCTGTAACGTGACGGCGCTACTTTCCCGAGCTTCCTCCTTGTTTCCTACAACGACCAAACCTCTGTGCTCGTCGTCGTACACGATGACCACGAAATATACCTCAAATTTCATTATTTTAGAGTGCCCTTTTTTGTTTCCTCATATATACCATCCCTACATACTTATTAGACATATTTTTACCTACATACAATCCACAAACTTAGACAAAATGATATGTTTAAGTACCAATCCATTCACAAAAACAAAAGATCTAAAATTACTGTGCACTACTAATCCGAATCGCTAGAGCTTCCCTCGCTCGAGCTCAAGCTCGAGCTTCCATCAGAGGACATAACCATGTCTGTGCCACCATGCTTCAAGGAGGCCATATTCTTTCCCTTCCTCGCCACATAAACAGGTTCTCCTCTGGCCGCACGCGCCCTATTATCCTTCATTCGTGCATATAGTTCTGTGTCAGTTAACTTTACCCAGTGACAGCTTCCGTCATGAAGTGCCCTCAACAGACTTTCTACCCCAGATCTTCCACCAACCTTGGAGGGATTTCGAACTGGCCCACCTAATGGCCAGCCAACAAGTGCAAAGCTACGGTGTTCGACTATGTTCCGCTCGTAGTTAGTATAATTCATCTTGATAGAATTATTGACGTTGTTTTTGAGGGCAATTGAATCTAAGGAGTAGGAGATGAGTGTGTTTAATGAATTGAACTGAAAAAACGCACCAAGTTCTTCCTGGATCATGGTGCAGCAATCACTGATCAGTTTGTTCAAAGGACATTGATGAGGAGCAGTATGTTGATCTGCATGAGACATTAGCTTGAGGAATGACAAAACAAAATTAAGACTTACCAAGGCCGCTCACAACAAAAGACTCGAGTTTCAAGCCTAGATGACGTGGCTCCACATTGAGGATATCCTTCACAAACTTTTCAGCCTTGTGAGTAAAAAAGACCTTGGGTTCTGAAAGATCTTCAATACTACCTCAAACCGCTACATAGAAACCCTCTATGCCCATACGAGCACAAAGAGCCATCCACTATAAGGATACAAAATCAGCTTTGTAGATAGTTAAAGTGTGAAAACTTACTTCGCGATCCATGGAAGCAAAGGATGCATTGACAGCATGACTAGTAGCCTTGGGATTTGCACGTGCAATTCGGTTGGTCTGCTGATGGGCTTCAAGGACTTGCATATTGTAAACTCGTTTTTCTGCGAATGTAAGCTTTGAATGGGCATCAACGAGCTCGGTCCTGTTGTCTGCAATGAACTGAGTGAGCTTGATTCATTCACCCTTTTCAAGGTCTAGATGTTGGTTAGTAATAGCTCAGTATAAAATAAATAAAACTCGTACCTTCATTTGCTTCTTTGTGCTTGGCTCTAACAAAGGTGTTCCAAGAATTAACTCCACGTTGTTGACAAAGCATACAGCTTCTCAGAAACAATTGATTGTGTGTCCATTTGAGAGACCTAAAAAAAGACAGTTAGCTTGAATAAACGAAAGAGAAAGAGAGAAAGTATGCACCATCCATGTGTCTCTGCAATGTGAGTGGCTTCCTGTGCATATGCGGACTTGGCAGTGTCAATAGCATCAGTTAACGCTTCCTGCCGCCTGCGTCGTTCTGCTTTTTGTGTAGCTGTGAGCTTTGCGTGTGAGCGCTGAGGGCGACCTTGAACTCGGACCATAATGGGGGAACGCAACAAACTAGTAAGACATTATATAAACAGGAAAATCAGGGAAGTCACGAAATTAAGTTCAGTCAAATTTGATGAGCGAAAGATGGACTGCAAATTTTGATGGAACTACGAACAAAATAGTAAAGTACGACTATTCAACTAAGAGAGATCTCGTTAGCGGTGGCCACACTAAAAAAAGCAACGTAAACACATACCGAGTTGGTGGTCATTGGTTGCATGTGCCATCACATGAAGCAATGGCCTGACACGATCCTCCAGAATATCTAACTTCATAAGGATGGCCTGCCAACACAAGGAACCATAGCCATCAACTTGGTGAATGCATCTCCATATCTCATCCATCGCAGTGTGATGAAGAGGAACATTCTGAAGGACCTGCGTGATGTTGTCAGAAATTTGAACAGCTCCCACATCACGCGGAATTGAAAGGTGCGTCGTTTCAGCTGTCATCAAATAGATATTGTCAGTAATCGAGATGTTATCTTCTCCCCCTTTCAACGATGTCTGTATCTGCACAGGATTTGAGCGTTGTTTTTTCATATTAAGTCCCTAAGTCCAATTAGTATAGTGTCAGAAAAAATTAGGCATGACTCACACGGTGACTAGATGGTACATGGGGATCCGAAGAACTATTGACTCCATGTGGTATGCTAGGTGATAGTCGGAAATCAGGAGGCGATGCTCCAGAAGGCACAGACACAGCCTTGGATTCCGGGATAGAGCAGCCTGAAGACATCTTTTTCTTCGAAGGAGACTGGTGTTGGGGAGAGTGTGATGTAAGTGATGGCAGAGGACACAAAGATACAGCATATTTCAATGGAGGCGAATTGGGCGAGATTATGAATGGTGGAGGGCTGGGAAGCCTTGATGGATATTTCAATGGAGGTGAGCGAGGTGAGATTATGAAGGGCGGAGGGCTAGGAAGCCTTGGTGGAATAGTGGGCAAGGCAACAGATGGTGTAGGCTTTGGTGCTTTGCCCGACACTCTGTCTTTCAAGGGGTACTTGCGCTGAGTAGGGCCAGTGAGTGGCGAAGGGCTAGGGATGCGAACCGGCTTTAGAATGCAAATATTGCGTGTGCCGCGTGCAACTGGCTCAGATAAAAGAGTGAGCTTGGCAGTGCTGTTATTGTCGTCCTCATCGTTGTCGTCAGAGAGTGAATGTAGAGAAGAACGAGTAGTGCTAGCAAATGACATAGTAGAGAGACATGTTGACAGGCCATCAGATGCGATGGAATCATGCCAGTCTGCATATTGGGTGGAGAGACGCACAGAGGAGTCATTAGAGTTGTGAGAAACGCGCCAGTCTACATCAAGTGCAGCATTGGCTGTAGCGGTAGAGTTTAAAGGATTGGGGAAGATATACGAGGAGTCAGTCAGATCTTTGGCTGAGGGCTTGTTAACGAGTTTGGTTTTATCTAAAGCTGCATCATGTACCGTCATTAGCATACAATGAAGAAAATTGATGGCCTTACATTCAAGCATGGACTTGGGAAGACACACCCTCTCCCAGTTGAACTTGCGCTGACCAACTATGTGCACAAATGACTGCGAGAATATGGAATACATTGCTTTGATGACTTGTTTCTCGTCCTCGTTCTTGATGAGCTCTGATACGTCAAGTGCCGTTGTAAAAGTATGAGTCAGATTGAACATGCCAGGACACCTAACAAACTCGAATCCAGCAGTCATTTTAACTTCCACAAAGTTGTTCTGGACTCGCAAAGCATTAGCAATGTCCAATGTGCATGCAGGCCATCTTACAACTCGTGTGTGCAAGTCCAAGTAGTCAAGACGAGCAATATTGTTGCAAATTTCTGACTGTGCCATTCCTAGAACAAAGTGTATGGGAGCTCGACACCCAAGAAAAATAAGTTCAACACATTGAGGTGTAAAAATGATGAGAAAGTACTAGTAAGCAATTAGAATTTCATTACATACCAAAATTAGGAGACCCTGCTCCATCCTGCTGAATCGCTGAGTATAAGTGCCATATTGTCAGTGAGTGTCAGGCTCTCAGTAGGTTATTAAGTGATTTTGAAAATGAAATTCGGTGAAAGACATCACGAGTGAATCATAAGCTGGATCCCCACTGACTTCTCTATGTGGTCAAATCAATTTCAAATTTTTCAATCAACTATACTATGCTTGCGCAGTACATAATAACGGCGCCGTCGAAAATACAGTGCGGTGTAATTGTATGTATGAATGGTAGCTACTCCTTAACTTACAGTAAATAGATTGTAAAATATCAGTACATAATAATGGTGCCGTCGAAAATACAGTGCAGTGTAATGTAATTGCATGTATGAATGGTAGCTACTACTAGCTACTCATCAACTTACAGTAAAATATCAGTACATAATAACAGCGCCATCAAAAATACAGTGCAGTGTAAACGATTTGGGGTTAGTGTGGTTTTGAAGGCACTTGAAGATCTCAATCCAATTGCCCACTAAACTATCCAAACATCATCAGGATTATCCTTTGATCCAACTTGAATGCCGATGATGTTTGGATAGTTTAGTGGGCAATCAGATTGAGATCTTCAAGCGCCTTCAAAACCACACTGACCCCAAATTGTTTATACCGCACTTTTTGGATCAGTGTGGTTTTGAAGGCGCTTGAAGATCTCAATCTGATTGCTTCAAAACCACACTGACCCCAAATTGTTTATACCACACTTTTTGGATCAGTGTGGTTTTGAAGGCGCTTGAAGATCTCAATCCAATTGCCCACTAAACTATCCAAACATCATTGGCATTCAAGTTGGATCAAAGGATAATCCTGATGATGTTTGGATAGTTTAGTGGGCAATTGGATTGAGATCTTCAAGCGCCTTCAAAACCACACTAACCCCAAATCGTTTACACCGCACTGTATTTTGATATTTTTCAATCTATTTACTGTAAGTTAAGGAGTAGCTACCATTCATACATATTACACCGCACTGTATTTTCGACGGCGCTGTTATCATGTACTGATATTTTACTGTAAGTTGATGAGTTACCATTCATACATACAATAAGCATATAGTTGATTGAAATGGATTTGATGGTGTTACATTGATTCATGTCACAGTGCGATCTTAGTCCAATGTCCTTTCTTCTGTGCAACAGATACATCAATGGTCCCTACACTACGATACGAGCCATAACATCTGCGAGTCTTGTAGCCTCTTCATGCACCTCATCGCTATATCCCTCTTCCTCTTCCTCCTCTTCCAGCTCTGTCGATTCCTGCGATAAAAGTGTTGAATGCAGCGCACCAGTATAGCCATCCAACAGACAAATTTTATGTAAACGAGTACGGTGAATATTGTTAACACGGCGCTGTGCAGCATATTGCCTCTGCAACTCAGACGCTAGGAGGGGTGAGGGTTCATTGTTCAGTGCAACTATTGCAGAGGCCATGCTTTTCTCCTCGAACTCCATCCAAGCGTGAAGTCTGCCTATCTCAACATTCAACCGCATGATCTCTTCGTGCGAGCGTAGCAGTTTAAAAAACTTAGCTGCCATCTCACGATTCTCCGGTATAGCCCATGGTTTCATAAGTAGATCATGACGTGAATGCTTCAGGAGCATGAATTCTCCTAAGGCTGCATACCCTACAACCTCAGCATACTCGAGGATTGGTCGAGGTGGGATTTGCAGAGGTGCCAGCTTGTTGTATCTGTCGAGTGCCGTACGAATTGCAGAAGATCGTCGCACAATTGCTTTTGATATGTACTTGCACATCTTGTACCCTGACCACAGGTCATGAGTTTGAATCCAAATAGAAAAAATATTGTACCTGTGCCAGAAAGATTTGCCTTCGACAACTCAAACAAGTGTTGAACAACTAATGCTTCTAGTTCCTCAACTACACGAATGAAGCGCCATTGACCAGAGTATTCTAGTGCTTGCACATAACGAGGGTCTGACGGCATCCAATGCTCACTGATTCCATGACGACACTCGAAGTCTTCAACAACGTTCATTTGCAATTGAAGTCGTCGTAATGTCGAGGTCCGCTCGGCTTCTGTGGCCTTAGAATGTTCCCGTGTTGATGCATTGAGGCCAGATGATGCTGTGAAGTTTGCCGGGGTGTACATAAGGAAAGGGACACTCGTAATGCTGCCATACCGTGCCCTGGAATCAGGTAACACATTAGCGAGAACACAAGTAAGTGAATTGAGAAAACAAACTCAATAGATTGGAGTTTTTCAAGTTCTTCCACATATGTAGCCGCAAACATGTCAGCTGGCGGCTCACGGGCAAGGTTAGCGAGGAACATTGATTCCTCATGCTTCCATTGAATGAAGTCTTCATCTGTTAATGATTGGCGTAATTTGAAGTCGTTCAGTAGTGGGGTGAAATCACTGATCATACGAAGTGCTTGAATATAGTTATTATGCAGGAAATGACCTATGTAGATTCCAAGTCAGAAGAAGGAGGCATTTAGACAAGAAAAACACACTTAGCTCCAGGTACTTGTCCTCATCCCACTGGTCAAAGTGAAGGTCGAGGAATTGGACCCAATGGAAATACGATGCATGGCAGATGAGCGAAGCAGTGCTGTTGGAACTTGAGAAAATCTGTTCGCAGGTCTCTAAGTCCTCAATTCCAAAGCCGTCCAGATATAATGGATGATTTTTGAGTTGACATGGGCGGTTGTGAGCATACCCATGGAATGTTGACTGCAATGATAAGGTTGTACTCATCTGCCTTAGCGCCAATAGAACTAGCGGCAACTGTTTTGCGTGATGAACAGCCGATGTCATGGCCAAGAGCTTGGTCTTTCCCACAGACATCAAGCATGTGATTGATTGCAGCAAGGCCATACTTCGCACTGACGTGATGTTTTGTTAAATTCAAAAATGACCCGAATACACAATTACTTACAGCTCACCACTGCGCTTCATTTCAATGATACATTCCACAAAACCATGGCGACAGGACATGAGAAATATACCGGTTTGCTCGAAAACAGAGATCTTGTCCTCTTCGTGAGTCTTTGCAGCAGTCCAGTTTTCTGTGCAGCTGGGATTCATTGTAGGGAATCATGCCTCTCATGGCATGATATGGCAGTTTCCACCAAGGAGTACATAGCACGAACTTGCAGCACCATTCTGTGTGCTATCTGCAGGTATTCCACTATGAGGCGCAGCTTTCCCGCGCAACGCGCACCATGCGCGCACCATTCCCGCGCTTCGCGATGTATATGCGCGCGCGCGCTTGAGCGCCCTATGGCGCCAGCCATCCAGAAGCATCCATCCACTGTCCACCAAGCTCCCTAGTGCGTATATTTCCATTTCCTTTATTAGCATAGTTCCACCTTTATTTTTATCATGGATTCTCACTCATATATATCTTTACATACCTACTCGGTAGCGCTTCGGCTCCGCATGACCGCACTTAGGCGCACTATATAAGCGCCAGCAGTACATACTACACTTGTTTTACCTTACTTTTCACCCAACTTTACCTAGTACTTACTACTTAGAAAGTCGCAGTAGGAATCTATTCATTAGCATCTCTCTTCTCTTATATTGTATCATATCATCACTTAAGTTTAGTCTCCCTTATTTCTGCTTACGCGCGTGCGCTTTCCCGCGCTTCGCGCTAATACGCGTGTGTGTTCACGTGCCTTGCGCGCACCTGCACTTTCTCGCGCTTTGCTTCAGCGCACACTTCTAGATCCTTGCTGCACTCGCTTCCCCTATAGGGTCGTACGCACTTGCCATCTCAAGTATCGCAGACTAGGCAACGCACGACCTACAACATTTTTAGATACAGTCAGGAGCATCATTTGCTCCTCTCAGTATTGTTGTTTCTACATCGTGTTAGCGGGATTCGTGTTAGCGCCTTGTTCACCGGGGCGGTTCTCAATGTCATCCCTGAATTGCTCAACCACATCATTGGGAATGAAATAATCGCTCCAGAAAATTCAGGGATCTGTTGAGCCAGAGCCATCAATGCGCTTCGCAGAGTGATTTCCATCCATGCTATGTAATCGCCGTGGGACAAGCTTGTGTTCATTTGTTTGCTGAGAATGATTAGCATGTGAAAGACTGTTGTAAGGAATACGTACCTCGAATGCACAGCATGGACATACTCCATTCATGTGCCAGTCCGCTGGATTCCTATGAAGTCTGTTGTTGATGTGTTGTTGAATAGAACACTGAATTTGAACATAGATGTCAAACGCTATAGCAAACTGACTCCGAAATGTAGGGCTATATGTTACCTACAGGCAGTTGTAAATGACGTGAAAAATCAGGTAATTAGCTTACGTTGTGAAGTGTACACAAAACTCTGGTGATGGACTGGATGCTGAATAAGGACTGGTGCCGGCGAATTTGATGGTAGAGCTCTAAACACTCAAGGCATATTGCAACCATTGGTTGGATGGGCGAACAACCAAGGAGACCATGGCGCAGGAGCGCAGCATTCCCCGGTTCATCAACCCGTTGGTGAATCATTACATTATTTGAAAGGTCTACTCACAATTTGTGAGTAATCGAGATCACAAAGAGACCAATTCATACCCATGATACCAACACCACGGACACTGAACGAATGCTTAGGATGATGGTCGAGATCTTGTGAGTCTGGCCCATACTTCCAGTGTAGATAGGCGTCAGTGAGGGCAGGCATCTGCTCTGTCCACGCAATGTGGGCATGGAGATTGCGCTGCGTTCGTGTTCGTTTGTCATGTCGTTGGCGGTTGGTAGCGCCCCTAGTTATAAAGGCAATAAGAGAGTGCATAAAAATATTTGTTCAGACATACCTTTGTGCAGAGCAAGTGCGATAAAATTCAGAGAACAGCAGCCCACTGATAGTATCCTCTTCGGTTGCCTCGGCATCCATGCTGTCGTCCTTGGAACCAAAGGAAGCAAAGTCATACTGTGTGCTGTCATGGTGGTCTGGTCCAGCCTCAATCTGGGCCTCAGCTAAGAGAGCATGTGCTCGTTGTGTATTTTCTGGAGTGCTGTAAGGATAAAAATGAAGGAAAGAAGATAAAATCAACTCACATCTTACGGATTCTGCTTGCCGTCTCTCCTCATCCAGTCGCTCACGTCGGATTCGAGTCAAGGAAGCAGTAGTCGTATGAATGGAATGTGAGTTTTTGATGACTGACATCCTTACTCTGGAGGACGTCGTCATTCATTTGTTAGAGCGTTGTCCCATAGTACTTCTGCAAGATGGTGAGTGTCAAACAAAGGACTTAGGGCACGTTTGCTTACGTGTTCAGCTCCCTGATATCAATCTCCACTCATCGATCGGCACACCAACAGTTGTTGAATAGGTGGCACCTGTTGTGCAGGAGTGATGGACGGATGTGGTACAAGAGCTGGCCGTCACTATGTCTGTTTGTATTAGTCATCCAAGTATGTATTTTAGCACGAAAAAAGACTTACCAGGTCGCTTTTGCTTGAGATGATGAAGGGAATAGAACAAGGAAACAAAAAAGAGCACTCTAAAATAATGAAATTTGAGGTATATTTCATGGTCATCGTGTACGACGACGAGCACAGAGGTTTGGTCGTCGTGGGAAACAAGGAGGAAGCTCGGGAAAGTAGCGCCGTCACGTTACAGGTACCTGACATAAGCTCTTATCATATCTACTGATTATATCATATGTTATTTAGCAAAACATCTCCTAAGTCAGTGCTGAGTGCTGCGGAAATCGCTGAAGTACTGCAGCATAGGATTTCCCCCCTAGTTAGTAACGGACATCACATCACATGTTTCTTACTAATAAGGGACGTTTATGGTGACACACAGGTGCAAACACGTCGCAAATGTCGCGCAAATGCGAAGTTGTCGTAAGCACTGCGCAAATTCTTACATTTTTGACCTTAGCAAAGATTCTTTGCATTTTGCACAAATTTAAACATTTGTCGTCTCGGATTTCTTAGATTTGTATCTACCTCATTGTATACTTCGACCTGTTTCGCCACCTATCGGCCTGTTTCTGGTCGATTTTCACTGGGGGTCAGGTGCAAGCCCTAGCGCGCATATCACGACTCTGCAACGTTCCATGGAGCATATCACAAAAATCAATTCCTTACATTGCCATATATGCACGGCTCGATTATGATATTCATCAGTCATCACAGTATGTTACAGTCGCAGCAGAATATATAGTTTGGGCAATTTTGATGATGGATGGCAGCAGTGACATCGAGTGATGAAGACAATGTGGAAAGGGAGTGTAGTTGATGGGCGTGGTTGAGGTGTATATCCACGTCGACGATGCCGTCAATCGTTCCTTGAAGCGAACATCCCGGGAGTATCCTGGGTCTTTCAGCACTGTGAATGCTGTGAGATGTTCGGACTTTTTGTTCGAGATAATCGCGGCAACCGAGCTAGCTCGGAGTCATAACAGGGTGCTACAAACTCGAGGGGACTCTTTAAAACAGGTCTGAAGTTGATAACGGCGATACTCCTCAGATACCCTTTAGCACCGAACAAAAGACCTGAGTATCATGTCCACGATATATTCGTTCAATCACCTTATAGCTGAACGCACTCGCGATCACCCAAACCTTGAAATCTTAAGCATACCAGACAAGAACTTCAATGTAAGTGCGACGTGCTGTTTAAATTTTGTGTGAAACTCACGGCAGTCGTGAAGTATGTCAAGTATACCCTGGCCGACCTTGATGCTTCAGCGTCCTTGTTGGCCCACCACCTACGGGACAATGGACTGTTGAATGGACGTTCCAAAGGGGATGTCACCAGTAGGATGACAGTTGGACTTCTGGGCATTAGCAATATCAGTTATGTAGTCACCGAGATGGCACTTTTTCGGATGGGATACTGTTAGTGCACAACATACGGAAGTCTTACTCTGACTTTGCCAATCTTTCTACAGGCGTGCTTTTCTTATCGCCGAATAACTCTCCTTCCGCAATTGCTCACCTGTTGACTGTGACAAATGCAACCCACGTGATAGTGCAAGACGCGCTATTACCTTCCGCGACAGCAGCTCTTACACATCTCAGCAACCCCAGTTCTGTGACGATCATCAACCAGCCTTCATCTGACGTCTTCGGCTCAGCCGCTCGTTCTTTGCACCCAGAGAAGACGCGATGGGACCCTGCATTAAAGTGGGAGGATGAATCTCTTCTTCCAGTCACGGTCATCCACACGAGCGGGTCCACTGGTTTCCCAAAGCCAATCATTGCAACCAACAAAGGGGCCATCGGGAAATTCCTCATAAATTTTGGTCTTGCAAGTTTAACGACTGTGCCATTGTATCATGTATGTTGTGCGTATTTCTTACCAGAATTCACTTATTTTGCCTTGAACAGGCGTACGGCCACGGCAATCTTTATCGTGCAATCTGTGCTGCAAAACCGCTGTACCTCTTCCCAACTGGATCAATGTCATTGACGTCTACCAACGTTATCAAGCTTCTCAAGCAAGCTCCGGACGTGGAGGCACTATTTGGCGTTCCTCTAGCATTGAAACTCCTCGCTGAGACCACTGAAGGTCTACAGGTCCTCAAGAACCTTAAACTTGTCTCGTTCAGCGGTAGTCCATGTCCCGACGAGCTCGGCGACTTCCTTGTCAATGAGGGTGTCCGCTTGATAGGCTATTATGGCGCTAGTGAGTGATATGCTGACAGGTTGAGAGCAACTTGACATTCAGCATACCTTTTTGCAGCTGAAACGGGTCAGCTCATGACGTCTTTCCGGGACTTCGAGACCGATAAGGGCTGGAATTGGACGCGCGCTAAGGGGCCATATGTAAATACCAATGTGAACGACTACCTGCGATTCGAACCTCTGGGCGGGGATACCTATGAGCTGCTCGTTTTGGATGGCTGGCCCCACAAGGCAAGTATATATACTATCATTGGATCATATTGTCTTAATTGCCGGCGAAGGTTATGAGCAACCGACCCGATGGGTCGTACGCAACGAAAGATCTATTTATCAAGCATCCCACCATCCCTGACGCATACAAGTTCATGGGGCGAATTGACGACACCCTGGTCATGGTATGGATATCAAACCAAATCAAGATGATTTTTATTTAACAACATGCCCAGGTTAACGGCGAGAAGACGAATCCGGTCCCGATGGAGCTCACACTTCGTTCATCTCCCTATATTGCGGATGCCATCATCTTCGGTGCCGGCCGCATTCAAATTGGAGCTCTGATCCTCCCAACCGAAATTGCGAAAGACTGCTCTGCTTCAGAGCTCGCTAAGCTTGTCGCGCCCATCGTCGCCCTTGCCAATGCTGAGGCCCCCTCGCATTCGCAACTTGCGTCCGAAGCACTTGTATTTCTCCCTCATGGCACAGTGATTCCTCGTGCTGATAAGGGCAGTATCATCAGACCACGGGTATACAAGGAGTTCGAAGGCATTATAAATGAGGCCTATAAACGACTAGAGGGTGACATCGACGAGGATGGGAAGAGACGACTGATTGATGAGGCAGATGCTAGGACGGCCATTAGAGATGTAATCGGCAAGACGGTCGATCGACCTATCGACAGCCTAGAAGATGATACTGACCTCTTCTATTTCGGGTTAGACTCGTTGCAGTCTAGCAGAATACGAAACACCATTCAGAGAGTCAGCTCAGACGTTCTGCTTATTGCTGCTTGTAAGCTTATTAACGGCGCAGGAGATTTACCTAGGTGGCAAGAAGCTGGCCCCCAACACTGTTTTCGAACTTCCTTCCATCACGCAGTACGTTTATCCCTTCATGTGCATGAAGCTGTATATCGCCTTGGCTAAAGTAAGCATACAGGATCGCTCGACTCCTGATTGCAATGTCCTCTGGCAATGAAGGTGCTCTAGCACAACGAAGCTCGCTCGAGATCGTGCTGGAACTTGTTGAGAAGTACAGCTCTTTCGCTTATACGCAAAAGGCTCATGCCAACGGAACAAATGGAACCGCAAGCAACTCGGTTACCCCTCGCGTTGTAAGCTCCCTGTTGCACTTTCCAAAAATTCTACGCCTGATTGCGATATTGATGTAGGTTGTGTTGACTGGCGCGACTGGGTCTCTGGGAGCATATATTCTGGATGAACTACTTTCGGACCCTTCTGTGGCCACTGTTTACTGTCTGTGCAGAGCAGAGGACGATGCAGATGCGTCCAGTCGCATAACGGCTTCCATGAAGACAAGGAAGCTATTCACTCGCTATGAGCAGGTTCAAACGCGTGTCAAAGCTCTCGCTTCCGACCTGTCTACCGACAAGCTCGGACTTCAGACAGACATGTACAACGAGATTGCAACACGGGCAACGCTGATCATTCACGTAAGCATCAAAGACACTACTTGGTTCATTCTCGTCAATCTTGTGTGCAGAACGCTTGGGCGGTCAACTTCAACCTTGGCATTTCTAGGCAAGTCCACTTCGATTCGATGAATATTGACTAACAGAGCAATAGCTTCGAACCTCACATCCGTGGAGCCGTCAATTTAATTAATCTCGCGCTGGCATCTCCTCATCCCCGACCAGCAGACTTTTACTTCGCATCTTCGATCAGTGCCGTCGCAGCTTGGCATGGACCAGACTCAATCCCAGAAGCCATTACGGACGATCCCTCTGTCGCTCATGGGTTGGGCTAGTGAGCACCTCGTGCTTCGCGTAGTTGACGTTCAGATTTCTGACTCTAGTTAGTGCGCAATCGAAGTGGATCACTGAAAAGCTCTGCCAAGTTGCCTCTCAACAGACACCTATTCGGGCGGGCGTGCTACGTGAGACATGTTCACTATAGGAGAAATAGTCACTGAAGCGCGTGCAGGAATTGGCCAAATGGTGGGAGACTCTCAGAATGGCGTGTGGAACGAGACGGAGGCTATCTCACTCATCATCAAGGTATGAAAACCCCGTTATCGATGATATGTGTAATTGTTATATTCCGTGGCAGTGCACAGATACAATCGGAATTCTTCCCAATCTCGACGAGTCAGTTTCGTGGCTCCCAGTGGACTACGCAGCAAAGGCTATCATCGACCTGGTCAATGTTCCCCCTCAACGTTTTCCCTTGGGAGAGTGCCCTGTTTGGAACGTGATTCACCCAAAGCTTGTGCCGTGGACGTCCGTCCTCTCGTCTCTCCAACACGCTGGCCTGAAATTTAAAGCCCTCCCGAGGCACGAGTGGATCAAGGCTTTGCGCGCTAGCCCTATTGATGAAGTGAATAACCCGAGCCGGAAGCTGTTGACCTTTTTTGAGAACAAATACGGACAAGAGGAACTGGCTACGCGGTACCCATTACTGACAGTACAAACTGAGAAAGCAAGTAAGAGTCTCAGGAGCGCACCTATTGCTGATGATGGACTGGTGGGGAAGTGGGTAGCTGCTTGGAGAGAGACAGGTTTTTTGGCTTGAGAGCAGTTGGTTCAAGCTCGTGAATGCTAGTATATAAACACCTCACCCTTGCATTACTGATATACCACGAGTCGTCAGTTGATCATCAGATAGAGATTTAGATATTGTACACTTAGATACGTATGTATGGTTCTTGAAGCAAACATGATGGCTGCATATTGTGGCTGTACGGTAGTACCAGCCATGCACTAAACTCGACAAAATACTTGACATGCATCATTTCAGCCATGGAGAAAGCATCGCACTTATCCGTCATAGTAGACCTATCTCCAACGCAATGGCACCTCTCTGCGCAAACTTCAAACCAGTATCCACTCTCCATCGAGACGTTTCTCTCGCAGCTTCTCGCATTTCTGAATGCGCATATCGCGTCCAAGCATGAGAATTCACTTGTAGTCTTTGGCGCGCTTCCTGGGAAGAGGTGAGATCCATCCTCAGGAGCGAGCACGTTATGAACTGCTGATGAACAGTGTGTTGCTCTATTCATCCACGGAGTTGCTCTCGGATGACGTGCCCTCATTGGATGCTAACTCGTATCTGCCTTTCAAGCTTGTGGACTCGACAGTTGTACAGAGGATCATGAATGAGTTTGATGCTATCGGAGAGCTCGAGGAAGAACGTGAGTGACGGACATCTGACCTGCCTTGTGTCGTCTCATTTGCATCGCAGCTTCATGTGCATTGGTAGGCGCTGTGACGAAGGCACTGTGTTGTGCGTGAAAGAGAATGTGTCGTTGCCAACGACCTAACTTATATCCAGACATCAACCGCATCACCCATCCCTCATCAACGACGGCCGGTGTCGCAGAGGACCCGTCGATCGTCCACGACCCTCGCATCTTAATCCTTTCAGTCTCACCTGACTTGTCTTCTTCGTATATCCCAATCATGAACGCTATCTTCTCCGCACAAAAACTGGCATGTCTCGCGCCCTTCAGCAACATATTGTTTGACTGACTGCCATACGGAACAGAAAGTGACAATTGACGTGTGCAAAGTCTATGGACCCGATACCGTATTTTTGCAGCAAGCAGCTCACCTAACGAACGGGTCCTACATCTACCTCGAACGCCGAGATGCACTCCTGCAATATTTGATCGTAATTTTATCTCATCGTCTGCCAATCCTGTCGCTCATCAGCTATCATTGTCATAGATGTCTTTCCTGTCACCAACATCCATCCGCAAGATTCTAGCTGTACCAAAGCAAGACAAGATTGATTTCCGCGCTGCGTGCTTCTGCCACAAGAACATTGTAGACATCGGTTTTGTCTGCTCCGTCTGTTTATCTAGTACGCATCACCTCTATGCTTTGTCAATGAATTCTAAGGAGCTTGTGATCTTGCAGTTTTTTGTCAACCACTCCCGGTTTGTTCCACATGCAGGTTAGCTACCCTCGTTCCCCCGGCTGCCCACTTTGACCTTGACGGACACAGAACGAAGTTTCCTATCAATACACTCAAACGACTCAATGCTGCTCGCCCCATTCTCACTCCTGCAAACTCACGCATAGGACTTCCGCTGGCCAACTTGAACAACGCAGCATCGCCTCGTCCAACTTCCACTCCACCGAATGGGATGTCCAGTCTCCGATGACAGTGGGCAGATAACAGCGCATCACGTGAATTATGTACTGAGATTATATATTGCATTCGTTGACACAATATTACCCTCCGTATGCAGACTGGACGATGCTACCGGTGAATAGGCAGTGCAGTTATGAACACTGACGACTTGTCAGCATTTACGGCAGAGTCAATCAGTGCTGGACGACGCAAAATGGATGCCTGCACATGGTCATGATCAGCGACCCGTTATTTTTGTACGCCAGTAGCTTTGTGATTACCTTAGGTGAGCGTTTGGTGGTGTTTGCGTACGCGACCGCCATGCTTTCTGTAGTGAACGCGCACCATAACCTTGCTGTGCAATAAATATGTCTGGTGAACAATTAAGATGCTATGCGGATGACTTGCGCACTGCTTCATCATCTTCGCCTTGTTCTTTTGTCAACAGCAAAACTCCTGCATTTGGCATCTGCACCCCTCGTTGATGCAATGGTTCTATGACGACCACGATTTGTTGAGTAACACGGATTGCTGCAGTAGCAAGCTTACCAGTAAATTGCTGATTTAATATTCGAAGCAATACGTGGTGTGTGTCAAGCTCGCCATCATCTGATTGCCGGGACTGTAAGGCTTCACCCAGCACACGGGCTAGTCCGACCCGCATTATGTGCTCCCCTGCTCCAGAAATACTGCATGCCATCCCAGAGCATTCACTGCGCGACTGCTGCGCCCAGCACCCGGTTCCAAAGGTAGCTGCCTGTCCAATTCAGTCCCGAACACTACATCGTGTCAGATTGCCTGTAGACTTACTTCACCGATACGACCAGAATATTTTAGAAGCAGCCCACCACTAAATACCATTTGTGACTCTTCAATCATTAGAACCGTGTCTGAGAACATACCTTGAAACACCAGCAGCGAGATTGCCTTCATCATCCCAGGCTACAGCGCCAACCGTGTCCTGCATGGCATCTTGAGGCAAACACCCTGGGTCGCCATCAGCGGGGTGATCCAGTCGCGATTTCCACTTCTGCCACTCGTGTGTTGCTCGCGGCGATATCATTTCATTTGGAGCAATGGTTTGGATACCTTGCGATAATGCAAACGAGTATGCTCCGGATGCGGCAAGAGTCCTCGTCAGGACTCAGCACTCCCATTCCATGAAAGGGGCACCTCTACTCACATGGGGCGGATGCGCCCAAGAGGGTCAAGTTCTCTGGAGTGCCTCAACAATGCTGATGCCAGTTTTATTGGATTTTTTAGCCCTGCCTTTCTAAGGTCAGCCAGCAAGATAAGTCGTCACGGAGGTCGCCAAACCCGGAACAGCACCAACGCTGCCAAAATCTCCCGACAAGCCGTCCATGACAGCCGCATCACATTCTACAGTGCCGTCAATTGTGAGATTGGAACCATAACCTGATGAAAGGTTGCAGAAGATCGGACACAGTGAACGTTATTGTGATGAGTGCAAGTGAGGACCACAAGAACTCGTACCTGCGTTGAGGTATTCATCATCCTCGAGAACGGCTATGGCTCTCTCTACAACCGAAATGGCAGAGGAGTCGTCTAGTGGTGATCCCCACAAAGCTCGAGCACAAGCACTAGCGTCATTACGACTCGGATGAGTTTGACATGATATCGCGGAGTTTTCTGTTATTACCGTTTCAAAGCACTCTTGACACTTTGTTCTGACGCAACTCCATGATATCCTGCCCCTCCGTGCACTGCGACATATATACAACGTTCCTTCATCGGCGCCTGCATCATTATCCGATCGATGAACAATAAGCATTAAGGCCGCCTCGAGGACTCAGGACTTCCTCCATACACCGTCACGTGATGTTGCCACTCCGAAACTATTTTGCCAAAGAGAGGAAAAGCACTTTTTCAAGTTGACCGGGTCAACTTGAAAAAGGTGCTTTTACCGAGACCCTTTCGAAAAGTTTCGGATACCCTTCCCATGACCCATTTTTCTGACTTATGTTTTCTTTTTTGGGATTGCCCAGCGTTCTGCAAACGGCTGTAGTATACAAACTAGTACTAATAGCACTCGTACGACGTATCAGGGAAGCTCGGTATATTCGCAAACCATTCTGGACTATCCTCAGGCAACAGAACATGTAAGGCTGAAAAGCCAGTGCAACGATATTAAGCTTGACATACGGTAGGACAGGAGTCCACCCTCGAAATGTCGCGGTTCGCTCGGGAAGCGTTCAAGGAGCGTATAAGGAGCGCATACGTAAACCGGACAACGAACCAATCACGAACTAATAATGAGCCGACTGTTACCCCGAGTAGGCTCGGAGAATTCAGGTCTCTTGACCATTACATCTCTCAAGCACCTCGACCAATCGTGTGCCGAACTTCCATCATCGCGGCAACCAGTACTTGTCGCACTCAGTGGCCGTGTAGTAGTAGTAGTACAACTACATACTGACCTTACAGGATGGCCCTCACTCAACTTATTGGATACAGTGTGCTTACCTTTGCAGTATGGAAGCTCGTTCGGAGACATGCCTCCAGAAAGGCAAACGCCCTAGATGTTGCAGGCCCAGAAAAGGAACATTGGTGGAAAGGTCAGCTTTATCTAGCGGTCAGTCCAGTGACATATTGGATGCTCACATTCATCGGTGCAGGCAACATGGAGTCGATGTTTGTGGACAGTTTCCAACGGTGCTTAGATGTTTCTGCAGATTTTGGTGGAGCTGTTAGGATTCATGCGTTATTTGGAGTACGTGTTATACATTACCCTGCATAAGACATGATTATTGATGTGAAGACCCCAGGAGGAATGGCTATATGTATCAGACCCACGCGCGCTCCATCATATCCTTGTCAAGGAGCAGCACATCTTTGAAGAAAATGACAGCTTTTTGTTGTAAGAGTCAAGTATCGCTCGAACTTCCTTCACTGACCCTCCTCGAGTTGCAATAAGCTTATCTTCGGCGACGGTCTTATTTCGACACTAGGTAAATCTTGTTGGTAATCATTGTATTTTTTTTCCATTGCTAGTACAGGGGAACAGCACCGAAAGCAGCGCAAAATGCTCAATCCAGTGTTCTCCACTGCTAATATGCGGGAGCTCCTGCCCGTTATTCAAACCATCTCCCATCAGCTAAAATCTATCCTCGTGTCAAATCTGTCCTCCCGCAGTGAGGATGATCATGCACGATGCAGGGAGTCCGTAGAACTCGATGTGTTACCCTGGCTCTCCCGCAGTTCGCTGGATTGTATTTGCGAGGGCGTGCTGGGCTACCACTCAGCTGCACTAGGGACAGGAAATGAGGACGAGTATACCAATGCTCTACGAATGTTAGGGTGCGTAGGCTAACCTGCCAGTGAAATCATCCCTTGACATGCTCTGTCTCACAGTCCATTCATCGCTAAAACCCTGATATTTCGTCCTATCATTCCGATAGTTATGCGCAATTGCTCTCTTTACTTGCGAAAAAAGATATTAGACTGGCTGACGATAAGTTGGCTGCCGATGCAAATTATGAGGGATCTTAGAGAGCTACGCCACATAGTCGAAATCATGGACTCAGCCAGTAGAGCCATCTTTCAAGAGAAAAAGGCTGCGCTGCAGCTGCAGCTGCCCTCCCCTCCCATATCACAGCCCTACGACACGTTGGGAGGAACAGCGGGGAAAGATATGATGTCTATCATGGGTGAGTAATTATTGGCAATATAGTATTGATTCTCACGGACACGTACAGTCAGGGCAAACGCGTCATCTTCCGAGGCAGATAGACTAAGTGATACCGAGCTCTTGGGACAGATGAAGTCAGTTCTAGTTGCTTCCCTGTGGCTAAACCTGATCTCTCAATTGGATAGCGTTATGATTTTTGCTGGTCTCGAGACGACGACGGCAGCAGTGGCTCGTGCACTGTACATGCTTGCCAAGCACCCTCATATCCAGGAACAACTGAGGATAGAAATTTGTGGTGCTATGGCTGTATATCAAGTTCCTGACCTCGACCATTCTCACGCCAAAGATGAAAGCGCATCCGCCAGGCTATCATATGATGTATTGATGAATCTTCCTTTACTAAATGCAGTTGTTCGAGAGACATTAAGGCTCTATCCATCGTTGCCTGTTCTCACTCGAAGGTTAGTTTAGTGTCGAGAGACGGTACCTGCTGACACTTCCGAAGAACTACAGAATCAGCATCAGTCCCATTACAATTCCCAGTTCGGTCTGCATCTGGTGAAGAGATCGATGTAATCCATGTGGCTAAGAACCAGAGACTCGTCATATCCATCCTTGCTGCAAATCATAATCAAGCTGTCTGGGGTGAAGATGCGTCAGAATGGAAACCTGATAGATGGCTCAAATCTTCTCAAGGTTACATTTTGTGCATGTCACGAGACGTAGTTGTTCACCAAGATTCTTTTAGGGGTCTCACCTGGGGACAAGGACGGAGTGAAATATCCGGGTATTTATTCATCTATGTGTGTCGTAAGAAGTCGTTTTGTCATGTGCGTCTCGCTAAACGACCTTCAGGATGACCTTCCTTGCAGGCAATCGTTCCTGCATGTAAGATACCAATTTTCCTCAACCTGAATATGTTCTCACTATACGTAACCCCCGCAGAGGCTTCAAATTTGCCGAAATGGAAATAAGTGAGATATCTGACATGTCGGTAATTAGGTCTTTGCACTGAAGAGCTTGCATTTCAGAGGACGTGTTGGCCACTCTTCTGCCAGCCATTCACTTTGCCCTGCCGTCAGAACCCGATGACAACGGAAATGTGAAGGAGATACACTGGAAAATGACTGGTTTCCACATACCGGTAGTGAAGGCACCTGCAGGAGATGGTGAAACTCCTCACCTGCCTTTGAGCATGCGGCTTGTCCGAGAATGATCATTTGAATAGTTGGTTCCATGAGTGATCTGGACGTCGTGGCTTAGTGTATGGCAGTTCACGGTGGCGAAGGGAGGAGATGTAAGGCTCTCGTGTCTATATGATTATCATATTCGATTTCGATACTGGTACATGTCTCGCTGTACTACATACTCTACATGATATGCTGGCTGTTGTGAATAGATCTACCGCAGGAGCTTTGCATAGACTCGGATGAATATTTAATGGGTTTGAGACGAGTATTATCAGTCACACTTACATACACATCGTAGATAAATAAATTACATGATACCTTATATCAGTTCATCCAAAGTCATATCTCCTGGTATGTGTTCTAGAACGGTTGCTGTAATTAATGCATCTGACGCAACACAAGGCGGGATGGAAGTCGTTGCCACGACATTCATGCTCTGGCTCATGAGGGGAGGTCGTGTCACACGGGTTAAATTCGTCCGAGGCTTGCTATCTCCTGGAACCGCGACGGACTTGTACATCATGATTTCATGCAACAAGTCCTCGTTTGCTGCAGATATGGTGTCCCGGTCGCGGATACACACAAGTAGTTTCTGGTAACCGTAAGTCATGAGATGAGACGAACAATGAAGATACATACCTGCTTGACCTCGGAGAGCTCCCGACGAATCCTGTCGACGTATAAAATCCTCTGAACAGGATTTTTATGGCCAAGAATTTCGGCATTAAACTTGCTGAGATTTTCGGCTTCTTCCTCTGCAAGGTTGTTTCTCGCCACTATTGCTTCAGTCTCATCCACCAAGTTATAGTATGCTTCCTGGAAACGTGACAAATCTGCCAGCTCTGCCTGCAACCTGTGTAGGTTTCTCAGGTCAATTGTCTGTGGTTTAAGTACAGGCGGCGGGATACATACTGCTCGATATCAGCCTTGAGAGCGTCCTCAGCCGTCTTGCTGACGTGGAGTGCAACAGACAGTTTCTGAGAAGTGTCGCGCTCCCTCTGTAAAGCTTGTGTGTGGCTCGCCGCCATGTCTCGCATATTATTTTCGAATTCGTCCACTCGACGCTGCAACATATGTTGTTCTGCACGACCTTCCGTCAAAGAATTTTGGGCATCAGCCAGAGCGCGCTGTCCGGTGGTGATTTCAACCTGTGCTTTTGTGAGCTCGGCCCGTACAACATCCACTTCGACTGAGTTACGACCAAGTTGGTCGATGAGTGCACGGTCAATTTCATGCTGCTTCTCGAGAATGCCATGAAGGCAAGAACACTCTGAAAGTAACTCTTCAATACGAGAGTGATGGAAATCGGATATAGTCCTAGTGCACTCCAGAGCACTTTCCTGGACCGCTATGGTTTCTCTAGATATGTCTGTTTCGCCCTGGTGGATGTCTCCCTCTAGACAAAGGAGTTCACGAAGCGCAGTGCAGTGGGAGCAGCAACCGAGGACAGCTTGATTCTCCTGCAAGGTTTGCAAGTGGAAAGCCGCTTCTTCCTGAGTGTCGCGCAGTTCTTGACACAAGAGTGTATTTTCTTCTTGAGTGTGGCGGACAAGGTTGGCGAGCTCAACAACTTGACCTTCTGAGTTTGCTAGTTTTCGTTCCAACCGGAATACACGTAATTGAAGTGCGGTATGGTCCTTCACAAGTGTAGTATGACTTGATGCAGCGACGCTTGTTGTGGCCAAGCGACCATACTCCTCCGCAACACGAGAAAGGACGGAACGGCATTGGTCCAGTCGAGCTGCAAAATCGTTCTCTTGGTTCTCGGTTCGCCCTCGCAAAGATGTAAGTGCTTGGCGAGCATCTTGGCAGTCCTTGTTAGCCGTGTCAAGCTTTGCTTGGATTATTATCATCATGTCGCGTGATTTCCGTGCTTCTTCATCCGCCTTTCCTTTCGTCTCGTTGACACAGCTTTCCAAAATATCTTTCTTCTTCCTCTCTGCAGATACAGCCTTTTCTAATTCTGCAATCTTCCTCTCACGTTCCTGAATTTCGTCCTTCCTCCTTGCCTCGAGACTCTGCAGTGCTTTCTTCGTCTCGCCGCTCTCCCCCTGCTTGCTGACGAGCTGTGTGCGCTCATGTTCGAATGTGCGAAGTTTGACACGTAGCTCCTTCAGCTCGGTTTGATCAGCAGCATTGTTCTTTTTGTACTCCTGGATTCGCGATTCGAGTATTTCGTTATGTTTCTTGAGCTTGTCCAGTCTCTCACCCTGCTCCAAGCTGGCCTTCGAAAGACGAGCAGCTTCAAATTTATAGCGTTCGATTTCGGTTTGATGCTGTATAACACAGCTTGAGTCCAGAGTTTGGAAAGCGATCAAAATATTATCCTACCGTCTTCTTACCATCAGCGTGTACTTTTTCCAAGTCTTCTAGTTTCTTCAATAGTGTCGTGTATCGATCGTCGCTTGCATGTTTAGCAGCTAAAGCTTTCTGCACAGCTCTCGGCACAGAATTGTATGAATTTGGTCCTGTAGATCTATTGGTGCTGTACTGCCACAGAACCGTCAAGCTCACCTGAAACACTGCATACCTTTTCCTTCGAGAAACGATCGGTTTTGTTCAGAAATGAACCTCGTTTGTTCGCGTCTAGCGGGTCTTATCGCAGCATTCATGTCAGAAAAATAATGCAAATGCATTCATTATTTCACGTACCTTCTGGCAGGTTGTAGGTATCTGGTCCTGGAGCATTGGAAACTGCAAGAGTCGGAATGATGAACTGCGTGTCGTTACAAAGACCCAGACACGTACTTTTCTCTGTCGCAAAACGTGAACCCTTGGGGAATGACATATCTCGTCGACTTTATGATACGTTCGGTCCCCGTAAAGTGTAGTATGTCACGACGACCGCTGGTTAGTATGTAGGTTCAGTTCAATAGCTCAAACATAGATCAATAAACGCGTCGCCGGTCATGACACTCACGTGATTGAAAACAGACGCGTCTCGCGCGGCCTGGAACTGAGGAAAGCAAGCAGATACAATCGTGAGTGAGTAGCGTTAACACTACAATTATGATAGTTCGTCATGTATCGTGATTTTGTGCGAACAAGATAAGAGAGGCATCGCTGTACGTGTGAAATGAAAACAGAAATAAAGATCCAGGAAGGAAATGTTACAATGTTAATACTAGTTATGCAAGTAGAAGATATATCGCAATATGCTCTTGATGGCAAGAATTACTGGTAACGATCGGCGTCGTACGAATGCATCCAACACTGGAAAAATCGCAGCCCCAAACCAGATGTCAACATGATGTTCCAGATGATATCTCATTAAAAAATTGCGAGGTCAAAGCAGTCGCAGCTCACAGCCCTCTTGATTTCTTCTTCATTAGATCCAATACTCCATCACTCATACTGAGATCAGCATCCAAGACCCCACGAACATCTCTTACGCCACCAAGATCCACAAGGAAAGGACAGAGATCAGTGAGCTCCGTGTCATGTGGATCATTAAACCAGGAAGAAACAGGGATCGCATTATTGGGGTGGAAAGTATATGATGCCGGAGAATTGTCCAGAATGACGATACTTGCAAGCGGGCGACCCAGCTGGGAGAGATCCTAGATAGAGTAAGCGAACAGCGAAACATGCAGGAAGCATGTGTCCATTACCTTGACATAGTCTCCATTGTGGCTATAGCAACTCTCTCTGAATAGTCGATGCGACACTGCTTGATTAATGTCTAGCTTATCTAGGACCGGGTCCGCAAACTGCAAATGATAATGAATAACAACGTTAAGGTACACAGAACAACATCCTCAGACCTTGCTCACGCTGGCGGTGAATACCACCACCTCATAGATTTCGCCCATCTTCTTCAGGAAGTCATCCACACCCGGACGCTTGGTGACGTTCACATCGTGCCAAAGACACTCAATCTCTACTGGTACAATATAATCCGCGTGTTGAAGAGACTGAAAGTCCGAAGGAATGTGTCAAAAATAGCATACAATGTAAGGTGGAATACTTACCCCAAAACTGCTATGAACAAGGGTCTCGTCGAGGTCAAGGACGAGACATTTGCGCCCCTTGTGTTGGGATGATATCGGGGGCAAAAGTGGGTGTGGTACACCATCCTAGCGATTAACAAATATCAACTGCAGTCTATGAAAATATTGTAAGGCTCACGAGCCCTATCGGGATGCCAGTACCTCCATCCAGGGTGAGAGCATCCTCCATCGGTTCGACTTCTTCGATTTCAGGTACTTCCTTTTCTCCGTGGCCCTCTTTAAGGTCTGTGACACTGTTTTCAGAATCTGTCGCTGTATGTGAGATATCTTCAGCATGTGATTTGGTACCCCTCGATGATGTGTATGATGCGTCATCACGAGAAAAGTGTAAAGGCGAGAATGTATCTGTCCCTGTCGATCCTGGGGGTTGGACCGCTCCGCTGGTCATCCTCTCTGTTTCAAACCTGGGGAAGAAGGCCGTGGTTGGCATGACGGAAACGTCAACGTCGACCTCTGGGAGGGTGGTTTGCATTGAGAGAGGGGACGCTTCCGAGTCCATAATTACTGGGAAAGTTGGCTTTTCCCGTTCCTTCTTAACTTCATCCTGCTTTTCACTGGAGCCGGCCGGTGGCGCTGAGCTATTGTTGGCTGCCGAGTCAATAATCTTGTATTGCACGCAATCATGACTATCGACGTCAGTCGCATGCGCGTGATCGCTAGGGGCATTGCATGGCATGAGCTTGCGGACCAGTTTCGTCATGAAGGATTCCTTCTTCTGAGAACTTCCTGTAGACTCAGTCTCGTTCACTGGAGTATTTGGTACTAGAATCAGCAACCTTAGTTAGTTATTGAATCAGTCTGGCACTTCCCTGGCAATCATGACATGCGTGAAGTTCGACTAGTCAACTAGTCACACTCCGCTAACTGACTAAGGTTTCTAAACTCCGCCTAGTCATACCACTGCCCGATTTCCTGATCATCCATCCCCAATCCCGAAAACTTTGTCGGTGACACATTTGATATGATTACCATCAGGGAAAACTCCGGATTTTGCCAAGCACGCATAATCGACTCCCAACAAGTGGAAGCACTTGCTATCACCACAATCACCTGCGAGCATTTACGTCAACCGTTTAACAGTGTTGCAATGTACATCACCAAAATGTCCTATTCCAGCGCTGGCATGCTAAGGGCGCATCAGCCCTTGGAAGGCCTCACCCACACCTGCTTGGTGGATATGAGTATTCCTTGGGGTGTGGGTGCAGGTGTTACAACTCATACCCCAGGGTCTACCCATGCAGTTCCTTAGCACTGGCCTATTGTACAATATTATTACAACTTGAGCCTGGTAGACAAAACTGACTTTCGGCTTGGGCATTAAAATACGTGCTGTCCTTACCTTCCTTAACTTTTGTACAAGTTCCACAGCTGCAACGACATTCAGCGCCGAGGAAACGCCTACATACAAGCCTTCAGTATTAAGAAATTGACACAACATGGACATCACCTTCTCGTCCGTATGTGAAGTGCCCCCGCGAGGTCATTACAAAAGTGCCAAAATTACTTGTGACACGACCCTAACCGATCACTGTATGAATGTGACGAGGACATGATAGAACGTTCAGCCATCACGATCACAAATAATACGCAGGATAGGTCTAACCTTCTGTGATGGAACTTTCAGAACACTCAACGAGATTTCCACCAGATTTGACATGTTCGTATAAGACACTTCCAGGCGGATCAGTGAGCCATATTTGCGTCCTGCCGTTGCTCCTTTCCTTCAGATACTTGCCAACTCCGGCCAGAGTGCCGCCAGTACCGCGCAAACGAAGCAGTCGATTTCACCCTTCCTCTGTTCCCATATTTCGGACCCAGTAGATATATAGGAGACGTGTGCATTTGTGGTGTTATCGAATTGCTCTGTCCATGACATTCTTGAGCTTTTCGGCATACTCCTCCACCTGGTGATTATAGTTCAGAGTCTCGTGGGGAACTGCGGAAACTGGTAGACTTCAGCATTGAGCATCCGGAGAAGGTCAATCTTCGCTTGGCTCTGAGAACAGAGCATCAGCAAAAAAAACAGTAACCAAATGATTGCATTTACCTGAGTGTTAAGCATGCTCTTGTAGCCCCTGGCTCTACAAACATAGGCAGGCCGATACTAATGTTGCCTGCGGTACCTTTGACAACGGTTCCACCGAGTTTTATTCTGGGTAAATCTCAACTGAATGCGTCATTAAGTACATTATACCCACTCACCAACCCTTATTCTCCGCATCCTGAATTATACTGACGGCAACCGTCTTTGACGCTGCCTACGGGGCTTTAGAATCCAGCTGTCTGCTCTAAAAGTGTCTTAGATAGATCTAAGCATGTATAATCGCTGTTAGAGGGGTATTTCACTGCCTTCGCGGATGGATCTCCTCACCAATGGGGTGTCTCCCACGGAGCCGATGAAGCAGTTAACAGCGCTGTTGCTTGTCACAGATTCTCCACTTTGCTGAACACCAATCCGTTGCGAGACTGATTCTATCGTGTAATCTGTAATCTAGGGTTAGACTGAGAAATTATAGAAGAGGTAGAAAGCGAGCGAGCCAAATTACGTCTGCCCGTCAGGTGCAGATAGTGGGAAGCAAGCACGACATGTCGATGTCACCATGTCACATTCCTGGAATCGGTGGACTCGCTACAAGTATCGCAGTAACTTGCAGCGAGCCTGCTGACTCTCACATGCTATCTGTGAATTTAGCCAATGGCCACATGCACTTACTTTATCTTGCGGTTCGTGTTCTCGTACTACAAGCGCTTGATTATGATCTCGTGCGAGGGGCGCCGATTTGAAATCAACGTTATTGGATCTGTTTTGTGGAGCATGAAGATTTCGGATCTCGCCTAGGGCATGCGTGTCTTTGGTCTATATTCATGATCAATTATCTAGGGTCATAGAGTTCAACACACAGCGCCACTATATTCGCGCGAAGGGGATGTGATAGGAGCTGATGATCAAGACTCTCAAATGAGGTGATCACGGGCTACTTGGGACAAGAACGCAGTGCTGAACATGCCACGTCGTTAGAGCGATAAGCCCAGCTTTGGGACGATCTAGACGACCTGAAGGGGTATCGTTGCAAAATTAGCCTGGCGCGTAAACATTCTTCGTAACATGGGTGTTAGAGGGTCCTCTAGTTAAAGGGGCGAGAAAAAACTCGAAAATTGATGTGTTCATCGTTGGGGTCAGTGAGCAAGCTAAATTGGCGACAGCACACGTGACCAAGAATTGAATTACAAATAGTTCAGCAACGCTGGCGGACGGCCGTGGAAGACCAAAAAAGGCGTTGTAGATCAGTGGGCAGTCCCATCGAAATTCGGCCCTGGTGGAACATTCGATACGACGTTGCCGGATCTAGTAGGAAAGCTGCCAGGGTCTCGATCTTGATGGTCCTTCGAGGGAAGAGACCAATGGTTTGGTCACCGTACAGCGAGCAGCCGCATGTGTATATTATGTGATGAGCGCTGGTGATGTGGTGAGTGTAACCCAAGATGAGGTATAGGTTCCGCAACGCGGCGATGAAGGGGCATGCGCAAAAGGCGAGATGGTTGTTCATTGGATGACTTGGCACTGGAATTATGTGCTTCGACGAACGCACAGGTGCCTGAGAAAGGCATGGTGTGGGGAGCAACGTGATATACAATTTATTTATTACAAAATGACTGCGGTCAACAGGCCCTGTAGCGATCATGACGTGACGTGGGTGTAACAAGATATGATTACCATGTTCGATTGCTGGCTTTAGACTTTCGGGGACATTGGACTCGGCGGCGAGCACTGCAGGCCGAGGAGCGTGGATTTGGCGGAGATTTAGAGGCAATGATGGCTTGGCCATGGGTATTTCTGGCGATGTGAACAAGGTAGGGTTCATGATCAGGTGAATCAAGCTGAGAAACTACAATATCCAACGCTCGGGATGATGATTTGGCACAGTCCAGTCCAGGTAGTTGAGCAACAGCCGATATAGGTTAGGCTGGCTGCGGCAGATAACAAGGATGCTGTTAATATTGGTGTGCTTGATGCGGTTTGTGGGAGCCGTGAACTGGGTGGCATGATGCTGTATTCGATGGCCGAAGACCGCCAGGCTCAACATGATAAGTTTTGATGACAATGGCGCATTAATTTAACCATAAACTGCTCATAATATATATATAGAACAATAAACTTTTATGCACAATTATATCCAAAAATTAAGTTTTTGACAAAATTACTCCAAAATGTTATGCCCCAACTCGGATTTCACCAATGCCATGAGCGGTGACGATGGGGCCTTGCCCGGCGTTGTCCGTAGCGATGGCCACACGTGTGAACATTTTCGTCAACAAGATCCTTGACGACCTCTTCCCTCCCCTCTCTACCCCCAACCACATCCTCCCCCTCCACTGTCCATCACAGCGTCGACACCATGGCGCTCAACCCCGACGCTCTTAACCTCAATTATGACAGTGATGACTCTATGCAGGTTGATTCTGAGAATGAACAAGTCAACAATCATCACACTCCTGTCGATAATGCCCAAGACCCAGACCCAGACCCAGATGCTGATGGCGATGCAGAGGACATCGATGACGCTACCTCTCTCGCTATTGCTGGGCCATCCTCCTACACCCCAAAAGGCTCCGTAAGTCTCATATATCATATGTTAGTAATTCCAATTTTATTCAAGGTCATCTACATTTTTGAAAGGATGTCGAAGAGTCGGTATGTTATTTATCATCCCTTTTCCTTCCGAGATAGTTGACCATTGCACCCAAGGGGTACGAAGATAACGTCGAGGAGGACGAGGAGGACGAGGACGATGGCTCCTATGCAGATGACGAGTACGGTAAAAAGAAAGCTCCGAAGAAGAGAAAAAAGAAATCACAGCCGTCATCGTCGGCACCAAGACCCAAAGGTGTGTACCCTGTTTCCACGGTGGAGCTCGCGCTTAGCTTTTGTACAGCCATCTCCCGGAACAACGACTCAGATTCAGATTCAGATTATGGGTCTAGATCGAAGAAGAAGAAACGGCCTCGTGTTTCTGGAGACGAAATCCGCGTCTCCAGTCGAGGCGGCAAGATTCCCAATTATACTGATGATGTCCAAGCTCTCGCTGAGCTATCAGAAGAGGATGTCGATCAAGGGTATTATGTCGATCCTACCGCGCAGTTCAAAGAGGAAGATGAGATCGAGTCTGTCTTGAGTCATTGCAGAGATGAGGGCCGCGAAGACGATCCTGAGGACATCTGGTTTGACAATGTTGTGAGTCCCAGAATCATTTTGGCAAGCAGATTGTTGTTGACATGTCTCAAAGCGTTTTCACATCAAGTGGAAAAATTTCTCGCACTTGCATAACACTGATGAGACCTACGAATTTCTCAAACGCTTCAAGGGCCTCAAGCGTGTTGACAATTATATCAAAGCTTACAAGATGTACCAGGCTCGCCTCAATGCACCAGGCATCTCTCAGGAAGATGCTGAGGCATTGCTTCTTGAAAAAGAACGCGAAAAGGAGGAGCTCGAGACCTATAAGGTCGTCGAACGCATTGTCTCGCACCGCGATGGTGCAGAGGGCATAACAGAGTACTTTTGCAAATGGACTGGGCTCAATTATGAGCATTGTACATGGGAAACGCAGGAGGAAGTACGCCCTATCGCCAAGGCCCAAATTGAGGCGTATCGACAACGAGAGGTTGAGGCAAAGTTCCCTTACAAGAGCATTAATTACGCACGTAACCAGCGTCCATCATTCCAGAAGATTGAGAAGGATCCTGACTACATCACCTCGACGGGTGGCGAGTTGAAGGACTTCCAGCTCACTGGACTGAACTGGCTGGCGTATTTGTGGAGTAAAGGCGAGAACGGCATCCTTGCTGATGAAATGGGTCTCGGAAAGGTATATTGTTTTTTTTTTGCCTTTCGGAATGCTAAAACGTTATGCGCAGACCGTACAGACAGTTTCTTTCCTGTCCTACCTCTTTCATGAAATGCACCAATATGGACCATTCCTTGTAATCGTTCCGCTTTCCACTATCACTGCCTGGCAATCGCAGTTTGCGGCGTGGGCACCCGATCTGAATGTCATCACCTACATAGGAACCGCTCCTGCACGTGAGGTCATTCGGACGTACGAATTCGGTCCCTCCAACAAACGACTGAAGATGAATGTCCTGCTGACGACATACGAGCTTACTCTCAGGGACGCAAAGGAGCTTGCGGACATCAAGTGGCAGGCGCTTGCTGTCGACGAGGTGAGATAGAAGTGCCGAATGTTTTAGAATAGTCACTGATGGCCGTTTCAGGCTCATCGGCTCAAGAACTCAGAAAGCCAGTTGTATGAGGCTCTGAGGTCCTTCCCCGCTGCGTCGAAGCTATTGATCACTGGCACGCCACTGCAAAACAATGTCAAGGGTGCGTGTTAATATGACTGAGTTTTGGCGATCTTTGCTGACGCTGCATCACGTGCAGAGTTGCTTTCATTGATGCACTTCCTGATGCCTGAGAAGTGTACGTTCTGTGCCGTATCTTTATTATTGTCGCTGTGACTGAGGAGATGTTTATAGTCGCCTTGACCAACGAATTCGACCTCAACGACGCGGACCACGAAGCCAAGATCAAGGAGCTGCATCAACAACTCGAGTCACTCATGCTCCGCCGACTGAAACGTGATGTCCTTACTTCCTTGCCTACAAAGAGTGAGCGCATCCTTCGAGTAGAAATGTCTGCCTTGCAGACGCATTTCTACAAGAACATCCTGACAAAGGTAGGCTTATATTTGACTGGCTATTAACTCTCACTAATCCTCGTCCAGAACTTCCAGGGGTTGGTGAAGAGTGCAAATGGGAACAACAACATTAGTCTTCTGAACATTGCCATGGAGCTCAAGAAAGCTGCGAATCACCCTTATCTCTTCGACGGTGCCGAAGTGCGCACTGATATTAACGATGACACACTCAAAGGCCTTGTCATGAACAGCGGAAAGATGGTTCTCCTTGACAAGCTCCTCGTGCGCCTTCGGCAAGATGGTCATCGTGTGCTCATCTTCAGTCAAATGGTCCGGATGTTAGACATCTTGAGTGATTACATGAGTCTTCGTGGGTACCCACATCAACGTCTGGATGGCATGGTCGCGTCAGATGCGAGGAAGAGATCAATTGCGCATTTTAATTCACCCGGATCGCCCGACTTCGCCTTCCTGTTGTCAACCCGTGCAGGCGGTCTTGGTATTAATTTGGAGACTGCTGATACTGTCATTATTTTTGATGTATGTGGGTTATTGTGTGACATACGTATGATTGACGTCTTTGCAGAGCGACTGGAATCCTCAAAACGACTTGCAAGCCATGGCACGTGCTCATCGTATAGGGCAAAAGTCTCATGTCAGCGTGTACCGTTTCGTCAGTAAGGACACGATGGAGGAGGACGTTCTCGAAAGGGCCAAGAAAAAGATGGTGTTGGAGTATGCCAGTGAGTAGTAATGTCTTGATCTAATCCACTTTTGATCTCACCTATATCATGCTAGTCATCAATCAAATGGACACTTCGCAGGCACATCTGAGCTCTAACCCAAAAGGCGAGAAGGTCAAGGAATCCACGAAGCCTGATAATCTTAGCAAAGACGAGCTCACTGCAGTTTTGAAATATGGTGCTCAGAAGATGCGAGTAACGGTGTTCCCCTGGTCAGGCGCTCCGCTAATTCTATTTCCAGGTTCGACAAGGACGACTCGCAACAGAACCAGAAGCTTGATGAGATGGACCTTGATGACATTCTCAACCGCGCCGAGGACCATGAGACAATGGCCGCTGGCGGCGATGGCGGTGCGTCGCTTGGTGGTGAAGGCTTCCTCGCTCAATTCGCTGCCGTGAGCGACGTGAAGAATGACATGAGTTGGGAGGACATTATACCCATTGAGGAGCGGCACAAGTTTGAGAAAGAGGAGGATGAGCGGAAGGCCGACGAAGTGGTTGCGGCGGAACTCAGGGATCGCAAGCGCACCCATGCACCTGTGTCCTATGAGGGTATGGACGTCGATCATCCTGCACCAGCGCCTGCGCCGAAGAAACCCAAAATCCCAGGACCCCAGAGAAAGACCGCTAGTCAGAAGGCCATGGAGCTTAAAGAGCGAGACGTCCGCGTTCTTATTCGAAGTTTGCAGCGTTGGGGCGACATTCGTCAGCGTTACGATGTTATTGTGAGTAGACTGTTGTTTCTCACAAATCAGAACTCACGAGCCTCATTTCCTCTGTAGGTCAATGAATCTAAACTTGGCGACAAGCACAAGGCCATGATCATGGACGTCTCCGACGAGATCATCGAAGTTTGCACGCAAGCTGTCGAGCTGAATAACCAGGAAAAGCGGGAACGTATGGCGGCAGGGGAGACCCTGACTAATGCCCAGAAGAGCAAGGCCGTCCTGGTTACTTTCCGCAATGTCGGAAACATTAATGCGGAGACTGTGCTATCACGGTATCGCGACCTTCGCATTCTGAACAATATTTTGGGCGAATTGAGTACGGAGGAGCTCTACAATTGGTCCATTCCAATTGAGAACATCAGACCGACTCTCAACTGGTCTGGGCGGTGGGGACCGCAAGAGGATGCGATGCTTCTTGTTGGCGCCTTCATATATGGGTTCGGCAACTGGGAGGCCATGGCAAAGGATGTGCGGCTAGGCCTCCAAGGCAAATTCTTTTTGGAGGAAGGCAAGAAGGGGGAAGACGCAACAACTCGACCAATTCCCAATGCTATTCACCTCGTCCGGCGGGGTGACTTCCTCCTTGGGCTACTTCGCGAGCATGATGAGAAGCTACGTTCGTACGAGAGCTCTTTACGGAATAAGGGTCATTTGAAGGGTTCGGCCACTCCTCCCCCAACAGCTGTGGCGTCGTCGTCATCATCACCTCCGATCGGCCGGAAACGGCGCGCGGAGAGCGAGGCCGTGGCATCCATCGATGATGGTGGGGCGAAGCGACGCAAGAGACGGCCTACACCCACATTCACGGACTCCGAATCGTCGGACGAATGGTAAGTCTCGTGCTAGACTATAAGTAATTATGGATGCTGACGCAATTTTAGCCCATCGATGGATGAGGCTGCAACGAAAGAAGAGTTGAGACCAGTCAAGAAGCAGTTGGTAAGTAGTCCCTTGTGATGTTCGAACCACCGTTAACTTTTTGTGTAGAAACAACTGAAGTTGTCTGGCGAGGACATGCCTCGCGACGATAAAGTTGCCATTCTCAAGGATTCGTTAGCTGCTATTGGACGACGCATCGAGATTGTTCTTCAGAATAAACAAGCCGCTGGAGAGGACCGAGAACGATGGCGTCGACATCTCTGGGCGTGAGTACCAAAATCCAGACTAGTTGTATCGATGTTCATCTTTGACCGCAGTTTCGTGACACTTTTCTGGCCCAAGAAAGTCAAGGCGTCGAAATTGGAGGACATTCATGCCAAAATGGTGATGAAGGAAGCTGCACCACGAGCGTCTGCAGAAGCCTCGACGTCTGCTAAGAAGCCTCGGCCCATTACAGGTGGTAAGAGCAATGGCACACCATCTACCACGACGAAGGCCAATGGCAAAGCCCATCGATAGTACTTCATTAATATTTTACTCATACTCACTCTTGTGCTTTGGATCTTACCCCCGTTTTTGCTTTCACGCTCTCTGGCTATCACAATTAACTTTCAAGTCAGGTTGCAATATTCCACGATTCCTTTATCCTTTATGATGCATGTATCAAATTATCAATTACATTCTGGACCGCGATGAAATTTTGATTTCTGCGGCTCCCCATTACAGCAAAATGAAGGGCTACACTTGACAAAAATACAAGAATTGATTCTACCCCACGGTACACCACCTCCCTCTTTTGCCAAATCTGCTTTCCTCGGAGCCCGATGTCCATCCGTCCGAGCCTCCAGAACTGCGCCAACTTTTTAAAAGTTTCGGGCTCTTGGAACAATGGATACACTGTTTCATAACCCCTGCGAAGACTGGGTTTATTTTCGGCATGAAAGCTAGCTCTGTTACCATCTGCCATTATTGTTGGAGGCATTTGCTTCCATGTTTAGTAACGGCCCGGGAGTGGTCCGCGCATGCCAGCATGCTGATACTGTTACACTCAAATTGGCGACCGTCCCTAGCTACACTTGCTGTGCGTGTATCACTATTCCATCGTACGTGCAGAATGAAGAAGCCTGCATGAAAAAGGGCACTGATATGTGGAAGAGATCCGTGCCATAGCTGGCATGACAGCGTGGTAATACCGTACAGCTACGGTTGTGTTGTCCCACAACATCTTTTACAGCTAGTGTCGTGGGCAGAAAGGAATTGGCCTCTTGGCAGATGGCAGAACGGCAGAATGGCAATTGGCAGAATGGCAAAAGTCGGCAAAATGTATTGTGAGCGTTTTTAGCTCTTTTCAACTATGTTTGTACTATGGCAAAAATGGTTTTGAGTACTACACTAAGCTATACTCATGAGTCAAAAGTGCATCAATATCATACCCTGATGCACTCTCTGAGCTTTGATTGAGTACATTGATCTCTTCAACGAAGCCAGTTGGCACCGTGGATACCTTCTGCCCCATCATTTTCTGACAGTTGGTCAATCCTGGTGATCAGAGTCTGCTGCAAGGGGAGGAATCCATGCAAACGACCTTTGAGTCGACTTGGAAGTTGCAGAAGCAATAGATCCGGGGATAGAATTGATAGAATTCAGCCTTGATTGCATTTTTTGTAGTGAGCCACACTAGGCATGAGCATGCCCGATGATCATATTTTTCAGTCAATTAGATGGATGCTGTTGTGCTGAGCAGCAGTTGCATGTGAAAAAGTAGTGATTTGAGTTGTTTTTGACCAAATTTTGACTTTCTCCCCAGTAACTACTAACAAAGTGGTTGGACACAATTTTTTGGACAGAATGGCCCTTGGGCTTCTAGGCCACATGTCATATTTTTATTGTTTTTTAGTAGGAACAAATACTAGTTCAGCATATTTCTGCCGACTTCTGCCAACCACCCTTGACCTACTGCCGGCAATTGCCGCTTGGCAATTGCCACTGCCAACAACACTATTTACAGCTACGCTCTCCGTTCCTTAGTCTATCCGTTTTCGACCGCTCTGATTTGGCTTAAATGCTTCATGGAGTTAGGGCAGAGTGTTTGAAACCCTTCAATTGGAGACTTTCAAATCCGCGTTTGAACGTCCCTCACGCGCCAAGTAGTCAGCAACCCTGGTGACCGGTGAGCGCCTGCATAGGTTAGATTACAGAAGTTCAACACTATTTACTAACACCAACATTTCCTAAGCACGCTCCTCGTAGGCTAACGCAACATGTTGGGGTTGCTTGACATAGCCAAAAAAGTGTATCTCAAAGTATGGCCTACGCGGCCTGCCAGTGCACAGACAACACAACCGGCGCCAATGCGTACGATAGAAGGGCACACAAGTAAAGTGAGGGCAGTCGCGGTCTTCAATGACAATCGACGGGTCGTCACTGGTTCATCAGTCGACACCCTGCAAATTTGGGATGCGGAAAAAGGTGCATCAATTGGTGGACTAAAGTTCGAGGACGTGCCTGGGTACCCCATATATGGCAGTGTGCGATCACTCGCCGTTTCCCCAGATGACAGGCTAATCGTCAGTGCTGGACATTGCGGTATCGTCGTCTGGGACGTCGAGAGAATGCAGATGCTCTTTGGACTGTGGCAAATGTCGGCGAAGTCGGTGTGCTTCTCGCCTGATGGCAAGAGACTCGCAGCTAGCGGATCGAGTGACAATAAGCTCTGTATATGGGATACAAAGACTTGGGATTCCTTGGCAAGCACTGGCCTGAGGCCACGTCGTCACGACCTCCGATCAGCATCTACTAGGATGTTAGGAGTAGCATTCAGTCCAGATGGACTCAAATTGGCGTGTGCATCGTCGAAGGGCTACATTGATGTTCGGCGCACCGATAACCTCAGGGTACTTTTCCAATTTACAGTATCCAATTCGCCAGTTCGAGGTATTGTGTGGTCACCCAATGGCCAGCAACTTGTCTCCATATCACATAATAAACTCCAGTTCTGGAACTCGTCCAATGGACATCAGATCGGCCAAGCTTCCGGTCGCAAGCGCTATAACTCGCTCGCCATCTCTTCTGATGGCTCCTTCATTGCCACTGCCTCGAACGACAAAACCGTGCGGCTGTGGTGTACAAAAACACACCAGCAGATAGGAGAAGCCCTCGACCACACCGTGGTTGCTACCTGCGTTGCAATTTCCCCCGATGCAGAACTGCTCGTGAACGGAGGCAAGGATGGGAAAGTTCAGGTCCGGCTGGTCGAGAACGTACTTTCCACAGCGATGCAGCTAGATTCCTCATACGACTCCTACTTTGCGCACTGGGCGCTCGGACGAAATCTTTATCGACGGCCCCTTTCTGACGCAGAAAAGGTGCAGATGACACCCGTCATTTGTTCTAGCAACTGTGCTGACACTGCTAATCCACAGGTCATTGAAAACAGCCCCTCATCATATCTTGGGTACGAGATGAAGCATAAAGCGCTTCACGCGGGACAACGCTATGACGAAGCAATCGAGGCCTTGGACAGCATGCTCTCCAAGCTGAATGATACACCCGACCCACAGATACGACGTAAGCCCTGAAGAACTCACCCGCTGAATTGAAGATTATTTACTCGTTTCGCAGAGCTGCATCGGAAGTATGTCAAGCAATCCAAAGTAGATGATGCTATTCGAGGAGCCGTTCACACTCGTTTGGAAAGTGCCCCACTTCGTCTACTCGAGACATCCACCGGATATTTATGCAATCGAGAGGCACAAATAAGAATCTTCATGAAAAGTACGGAGTACAAGAAGCTTTTGTATGAGTCAATGATCCGTGCGCCCATCAACACGGAGTCCATCAACAAGGCGGTCGCAAAATTCTTCGGTTGGGTTATGTTATCGCATAGATGGGACCGCAAGGAGCCGTTGCTGCACAACATCCAAGGCAGGGTCGTATACGAGTTGAACGAAGTTGGCGGCATAGAGAAGCTGCGGAAGTTCTGCAGAAAGGCTCGCGATCTGGGCTATCGTTGGGCTTGGAGCGATACGTGCTGCATCGACCAGGAAAACAATGTTGAACTTCAACGATCAGTCAACTCCATGTTCGTTTGGTATCACCAATCAGCTCTTACGATCGTCTACCTGTCAGATGTCCCACCTTCGGCGGAGTGGGGCGCACTGGCAAACAGTGATTGGAATACACGAGGATGGACTGTTCAAGAATTCCTTGCTCCTCGAGTTATTCTCTTCTACCGTGCAGATTGGGCTCCCTATCTCAATGACCACTCTGATAACCACAAGAAGTCTGCCGCTATTATGCAGGAGTTAGAGAATTCAACAGGCATAAACACACGGGCCCTCGTCGCCTTCCGTCCGGGGATGAGAGACGCCCGCGAGAAGCTGAAATGGGTGTCGACGCGTGTCACCACGTTACAGGAAGACATCGTATACTCGCTGTTCGGTATTTTCGGTGTCCACTTACCTGTCATATATGGCGAGACGAAACAAAACGCGCTCGGTCGGCTCTTGCAGGAGATTGTCGGTCGGTCGGGTGACATTACCGTCCTGGACTGGGTCGGAAAAGCATCCGACTTCAATAGCTGTCTCCCAGCTGATGTTACCTCGTACGAAGCTCCACCATTCACATTGCCATCTCTACTAGGGGACGTGATGCGGAGATCTGTCTCCAAGCTGCGAAATACTGTGGCCGTGGAGTTAGCTTCGAAACTGTATACCCTGCTCGACAACCTCAGTCTCCCTCGTTTCACGAACTACAGATTGCAACTGCCTTGCATCGCATTTCCTGTCACAAAAGTCAGACAGAGACACGGTCAACACGGGGGAATATATTACACTTATGACGTCGAGGCAGATGGGCTTCAAGACCTGTTGATCACCACAGAAAACACATTGACTCAATTCTCGCCGGCACAACCCACCCCACAGAAATTCTTCATCATTCGTCCGTGGGACCGCCATGATCTCGGGCTGCCTGATTTCTCGGACGATGCGCAGAGGGTGCTGGAGCCCCCACTCCCATCGCAGTTAGACTCACCCGACGAGTCCCCCGGAGAGAACGAACCAAATGAGATGGACGCTCATTCGCAAGCGTTGAGGTTAATCGTTCGCCTCGGACAACCTTTTGCTGCACTGTTGGTTGCGCAGCAGCGTGGTTGGGAGTACAAGAGGATTGCGTCGGATTACCGTATCATCGCATGCGTCAAGGACATGGCTTCGATTGAGAATATGATGGATGTCAGGATGCTAGAGATGCTGTAGTTTGAAGAATGGAAGGTGGTCGGTAGTATTTGAAGTTAATGAACGGGGTGCTTTGTAGATATGTTGTTGATCCTCTGGGTTGATCTGTCCTTACTCCGCCGACTAGGATGATGCTATGGAAAGCCGGACGCGCGCGCTCATTATTAAGCGTCACACATCCATAATAGGCAGTAGGACCCTGTGTACTCCTAGTTTAAATTGTCCAAGAACAAGAGGTGTAGGTAACTAGATATATACACGACGAAGAAAAATCACCATCCATCTACCATTTCATCGTCACTTTCGCAATCCGAGAACTCCCAAACCACCAAACCAGCGTGATCAAGACCGACCAAGCTTTCGTCAATCCCTGTTGTGATATCCGGCTCATCACTGTGTGAGAGAACATCTAGTTGACGACAGTGTTCAGTGTCTAGCAAATACATCAGTGTTTAGACTGTCAGGATTGGAGACGACAAACCAAGGCCAAGTCCTCCGCCCACACCACCCATATAATAGGCGCCATTGGGATCCTCGCGAGAAGGTAAGTCTTGATAGTCATCTAAAAGTGGAACAAAATCTTCATCTTCATCATCCTGCAGCTGAATTTCGCCTGGTAACTTGTCAGCGAGCTGGAGGGCATCTAGCAAAAGCCGATATGTGTCCCAGACTGATTGTTGTGTGATAACTGGGCGACCGAGATCATTGTAGCAATGCTGGATGCATTTGCCGAAACCCTCTGGGACCAGGTCAAACACGCAATGAGAGGGCTTGATGTAAAGACTTCGGACGAAGTCTAGGGCCTCGGGTTCGATTTGAATCTATGATAGTACCAATATTAGAGTACTATTGCCAGTACAACAACCAAATTGATGTAGCACGTACCTTGAAATCCAATGCTCCAAAATCTTCAGCTGAATGGTAGATAAGATTGGGTACTCCATGAGGAAGAATCTGGATGGCGTGTCAATGCTTATTGAGAGTAAAACCACAGGCACGTACTTTGTTGCGGTCGTGCCGCTTGGCAGTATTGTTAATACGATCCTGATATGCATCGAGCTCCTGCTGAAGCCACGGTATGAAAACCCAACGGAAAACCATCCTGCAAACAAATATGACAACTAACACTCAAACAGAAGAAAAATGACGCACACTTGAAGGGTATTATTTGAATCATACCAACCAGAATTGACGCCATGATCAAGAAGATTCTCGAATCCAGGTGTGAACCGCCGGCGCAGTTGAGACCATGCGATCTCTGGCATAACATTCTTCTTCGTTCGCATCCAACGATGCTGGAGCGTACCATGTAAAGCTTTGTCATGATACTGTCGCAGCATGGTATGCGCGTTTGCAATCCCATAGTTTTCGGACCCCGGATCACTTTGAGTGACCATTGGCATATCTAAAATTTAAGTCGAACTTAGTATGTTTGTGCTTTAAAATGTGAAACACTTACGACCGAGAGCCTCGATTGTGTTAAGGTAGTAACTCAGAATGAGCTGCGGATTTCGGTTGGAATGCCAGACCCGAGTCCACATTATACGACCAGAGAAAGGCTCAATGCCAGTATGCAGCCCAAGACCGAATCTGAGCCACTTGTCATGCTGATCGACTGCGAATAAATCATTCACGCCAGCTGCCCAGAAGCGTCTCCTTCAAAGGCGACAAGCCTTGCGCTGACGAACAAGTTCCGGTTCATACAAAGCAAAGTACTCTGTCACAACCCTCCTAGGATGCGAAACTCGTAGGTCAGTAAAATTGGTCCTCACAATGTAAAGATAACTCACCTAGCAACACTCATTTCCCGTTCATGGTATAGTAAACTCACCATTTCACGTGCACCAGCATTCGGATATGTAGCACGTAAATCGAGCATTGCATCATGAATGGTTTCGACTGTGTGATGCTGTTGACGGGTACGTTGAAGACCCATCGTCTTTCGAACTTTCAAAAGTGTGGTAAGCCTAGTGTATAATTATTTAACACTTAAATAACTAGATTTAAACACTACTCACCCGATACCGTAGCGAGTCGTGTCGATGTGTTTTTGCAATTCCTGGATAATCTGCCGATCGGTCTGGCAGGCCTTCCAGAGGCGAAGGATATGAGGTGCGATTTCGTCCAGCGGGGCTGCTTAGAGTGTTCAGATGCCTAGTGGGAGTGACTTCAAGTTGAAAGGTACATACGTGTAGGTTTGTTCTGGTTGGGCATTGCAACGTGCTCACTCTGAGGCTTGCAGGGTTACACTTTATATTAACGGTGATTTCCTTTGGACTTACCTAGTTCAGTGGCCCCTGACTAGAAGAAGTTCGTGCTGCGGCAACATGGGAATTCACGGAATTCGTGCCCGGCCTTGCGCCACTCATGCCCCGCTCGTCCCACTAATGCCCTCCTTGTGCCTCACATCTTCCTAAGTCAAGTTCAGTAACTACTTGGGCTGGACGTTCCAAACGTTCAGAACGTTCCGATTCTCAGTGAGTCAGGGCTTGCAACTACCACTAATTGAACTAAGAAATGTTGTCCGCGGTCCAAAGCATTCTTGGGCTGCACGTTTCAGATTCAACTCTTTCAGATTGTTCCATAGTGTCTTTTGAGGTGCCGGTTCCATATGATTCATGATTCTCTATCTAACTCTTTCAAACTGCTCCTTAGTGTCTCTGGAGGCGCCAAAACATTCTTGGGCTGCGCATTTCAGATTCAACTCTTTCAGATTGTTCCATAGTGTCTTTTGAGGTGCCAGTTCCATATGATTCATGATTCTCTATCTAACTCTTTCAAACTGCTCCTTAGTGTCTCTGGAGGCGCCAGTTCCTCATGATGATACAGACTTTCCTCAAGTGCTTGTCACCACCCAATGTACCGCATCATAAATCTCCGGGTCATGAGATATTTAAGCTGTCTAGCATGCACTTGGCAGACTACCTTCAGAGCGCCATGTCAGACTATGAACTTCTCACCCAGTACACCGAGGATGCCTATGCCAAAGAAGATCGAATTTGCGATCGTCCGTCTTGCATGGCTAACATTAGGACTGGAGAGCCATGTTTTTATGTTGCGACCATCGAGCCAGGTCAACGTGGGCGCTATGTGTGTGAATCCTGCCACTTGCATTATGAGAATAAACGAGCTACTTCAGTGAGACCTACAGGTATGCGATCACCATCTAATTGACAAGTGGCTGGCTTACAGACTACTGACTCAGGTAATCGAACCTTACAATCACAAGGCCGCGCCCCTCCTGATCCACGTACAATACAACAATTGGTGAATGCGGCACAACGAAGATGTAAGTCAAGATTTGTGTTACTGCGGAGATTTATGATCTGATTTATCACAGCGACACCTAATCCGCCTCCTGTCATTGCTGTACCTGGTGGCTTTCGTCCTAGAGGGCCAGATATTAGAATCCCTACATCATGGCAAGGGCCGCAAGGTTCATCATCCATCCGGCATTCGTCACAACAAGGTGCCATTGGGTATTCGTCGCAACACGCACTTTATGCTGCTGAGCGTGACCGCTGGGGGAAAATGGCATACGCTTCATCTCTAGCAGAGACCATTTTACTTGAAATTACTGTGGTTCACGAAGGTGCCGGAGCGCGCAAAAAACGAGGTGTTCCTATTGGAGTATGTTTACATCTTAAAATGTGCTGTGACTTACTTACACTTCAGCTTACTAGAACATATGTGAGGGTAGGAAGGATGTTGATGCTCGAATTGACGCATCTGGGCTCATCAAGCTAGCTTTGGAGACTGTCGTCCCAAAGTTACGCAAATTCGATGGAGAATTTGTCTGGCGTGTTGAGGAGTTCATAATCCGAGATGCTGCATGGGTGGACCTATCCAATCACCCACAATTGGTTCCCTATTTCTATGATCAGTGCCTGCAGCCATCTCGCAAAGGCACCAAATCGACCTTCAAATCTAAACAATTTGCGCTGATGGTCGTTGTCCCGGAGGCCCAGTGGAATGAATACGAGAATTGGTTGGAACTTCGTGCGGAAATGGTATGTATATTTTATGTTGTCTATTTACTAGTGCCCTAACCTTAGTTTTGCGGTCCAGGAAGCTGAAGCTATCCGAACGAGCTGCACTCAGTCTAGTGAACATGCTACTGCTCACACAGCCGTCAGTTTCAATGTGCCCTCATCAGCAACAACTTCGCTCGCTGAAAATGAGCTTTTCTTACCATCCGTGACCACCAACAATTCTGTGACGGTCTCTACCAAGAGAGCCCACCAGCGTGCTGAAAGCTCTAGCAGTCTCAGTGGTACTTCATCTCCACCTCGAAAGAAGAATCCACCTCCCACAGCTTTTCATTCACCTGATCGTGATCTGCTCAAAGAAGTCTTGAAGATCGGCGGAGGTGCCAACTTAAATGTAAAGCAAGGTATGCTCGTTCACGGATTTCTCAAATTGCATTAGCACTTACTAGTATTTTATAGTCTTTGGACTACATAGTGAAAGTGTGCAATTTCACCCAATCCCTACCCGCGATATCACCGACCTCTTGCTACACAAACAGCATCATTCATTTTCGGTGGACACGGCTGAATCTTCCATTGGACAGCTGACTATTGATACATCGACGGACGGCTTCATTGGAATTGGTGGCTTCAAGACTGCGAACGCTGGATGGCTCACGCTCACAGCTCCTCCCAAGACTGGTCTCGGATCAGTGGCCCGTCATAAGGTCGTGGTCAAACGGCCATTCGAAAAAGTATTTCCGACTGCTATGAAGGTTGGAGCTTATAAAGTTGGCCGGTATTCACTCGTCGACGAGCTACAGAAGCTATTCAGAGAGGCCAACGTCCTATACTGGTCCAAGTCTTTATTAAAGCTCACATACGACTTCATCGATCGTTCCATTGCGTCCTCACCTGAACCCCCGCCGTTTGCTGTCCCACGTGTTCGATTTGTAGAAGCTGGCCTTGCATTGTGCCACCACCAAGGGGGTAGCAAGCCTGGAGCAAAGACAGGGTCAACACGGGCTGTCTTTCTCCTTGAAGAGCTCATTGAGGGTGGTGATGATATGTTTGTCAAATTCATCCACAATATGGACGCCAATCCATTGCTCGATGAATTGGACTATGGCTACGACATGGCCGAATTCTTTGTTTTCACGCAGCATGTCCAGTATGTCAAGACCGGCAAGCTCGCTTTCATATCCGACTATCAGGGTATGTCCGATTTTCGATACATTCAATCCTCAGCGCTGAATGACCCAATGTATTCAGGTAGTACAGTACTACTCACAGATCCTCAGGTCCTGACTCATCCGTATGTCTTTTTCATTTGTTCAGACTCAATACTGATGTTGGGATAGGTCCGTCAGCGATGGATGTGATATTTTTGGTGAGGGAAATATTGAGGCATCTGTCAGCAAATTTGAAGACCAGCATGCCTGCAACGAGTACTGTGGATGGTTTGGGCTGGAAACATTCGTGAAGGAGGCAAATGACGATGAAGCACTAGTTGTAGAAAATTAGATAATTACTATCACAACGCATGTAAACAGACACTTTTCCAACTTCGTCAGCACGTCTTTTCCAACTCCCGTTTATTGTCTTCAAATACTTGTTATCCCACATCTAACCAGCCTCACAAATTCAACCTTTCGACGTCTGTTTAGGTTGTGCTTGGAGCGAAGTGAGTTTTTATCTTCAAGTTCCACATTACAATGTCCTCTCTCCTCTGCTATCACCGCTTGCTATCAAATTCCCAACTCGTGATACCGCCAATTCCAACACCTCACTGTGATGCCCCTCCATCCTCTTCAACACAACACCTGTCTTCAAGTCCTACAGGCGAAGTGTCTTGTGCTCCGAGCCTGCACCCAACATTCGCAGAACGTGAGTGTGCCGATCCTCATTCAAGCAAGAGCCATGCTGATACAAGTCGTTTCCCATCGTTCGCAGGATGTGAGTGTGTTGGTCCCATGTCGCGCTCGAGCCATGCTGATTGAAGTCATCGCCCAACGTTTGCAGTATGTGAGTGTGCCGATCCTCATTTGAGCAAGAGCCATGCTGATACAAGTTGAATCTGTCGTTCGCAGGATGTGAGTGTGTCAGTCCTGCGTCGAGCTCGAGCCAAGCTGATCCAAGTCGTTTCCCGCCATTCACAGCTTGTGAGTGTGTTGGTCCTGTGCCGAGCTCGAGCCATGCTGATCCAAGTCGTTTCCCACCATTTGCAGGTTGTCAGTGTGTCGATCCCGCTTCAAGCTTGAGCCATGCTGATCCAAGTCGTTCCCTGCCGTTCACAATGTCTCAGTAAGTTCTTTTTCACAATCATTTTTTTTCATAGTTCTAACTTAATATTTATATGTACTACCCATGGGTAAACCCTGCACGGGTGCGGGTGAGGGTACGAGCTGGCCATACCTCCCAAAAACCCGCACCCTTCGTGGATCCCTAGGACCTCTTGTATATATTCTTTGCAGAGTCTAATCAGAACTATTTTGTATATGTATGCAGACATAATTCAGATGTGCGAGTCATGTTTTCCGATATGATCCTAATAGACGCTGTCACATGACCAAGAAAACGTGGCACTTTTTCCTTGAGTGCTGACGTCACTCAAGGAAAAAGTGCCATGTGGCTTGTATCATGTGACTAAGGGATATAATTTTCTTGCGTGGGAGGTGTCAGGAGGTGTCCGGTGTCCCAATCGTGTGACTACCTCATTTGGTGCATGTCACATCGTGTAACGGAGCGCGCGCGTCCGGCTTTCCATATGATGCCTGGTTTTTGGTGCCGCCGCTATTAGCACGATTTGAGGCTGAATGGGGGAGGATGATCAAATGATTTCCTCGAAGTGCTTCCCACAAGCGTAAAAAATGGGGTCAACACCACAGGAGCTCGTTCGTGTTGCCGGCCCGACGGACCCTGTACTGCGACTTACACACCTACACGTATACACTGTAATATATACGTCTACAATATTTAGCACGCATTAACACGGAACTTTCTATATGCATACATGTTACTTAGATGCAGAGTCCAGACAAATTGGAATTGCAACCAAATCTCCGACCAAGAGGACGTTTGATTTTCTGAGACAGCTCTGCACTGTGCCAAAAAAAGAACAGATCTAATGATACAAAGAAGTCCTAGAAAAGCCTTCAAGTAAATGAAGCAAAATAGGCGGTGACGGTTGCAGGATCGTAATATGATCTCCTTACAACGTCAGGTCTAGTATCCAAGAAGGAGTATCTTACTTACTCGTACTACTCGTCATGTCATTATCGTACTTGAAGACGCATTGCGGACTTCAAGGTCCCAGAACTCTGCCTCCGATGCCTCCTTGGAACATCTACTGTAACCGTGGATTGCCTATCAATCACAACCTCCTGGGTTGTTTGTCGAGAGTGATTTGTATGCCGATCGACCTGATGTCTGTTTGAGGGTTGTGGAGCAATCGCGGCAACAGCGTCAGGCTGCAGCTGCAGCTGTTGTTTCATCGCAGTCACTAGAAAGCCATTCCATTAAACATGCAATCGAAAAGGTGGATGAATGTCTCACCTTCAAGGAATTTCGCATCCGCTTCCCGAGTGAAACTCTGCGTAAGAGCAGTGTACCGTTTCACCTGCCAACTCATCTGAGATACCCGCGCAAAGTTCCCCTGCGACTCAGCCCACTTCTTTTCCTCCTTGAACCGCCTCCGCTCACTATCCGCTAACGACGCCTTTGCGCGTAGCATCGCCAACTCCCGTTCAGGCGGGCTCATGGTGTGGTTGGGATCGATGCTAGAAGTGGATGTCAGCGAAGGTGGCGTACGCCATCGCTGACTTGGTTCAGGTTTTGCGGGAGCGCGGTGGTCGACTGGGGGGTATCACTTGGTACTCGGTGCTAGACTGGAATTTGACGAGACGCTTTCGTTTTGAGGTATATGTGCTCTCTTTGTCGTGAACAGAGTCTCCGTGAAAGTCATAAAAGTATCCGTCCTCGATGAGTTGCGATAGGATGTCGGTGACTAGGACACCAAGGGCGACACCGAGTAAGGTGGTCGCGCACCTGGAGACGTCCTGGAGCATCATAAACTCGATAACGAGTTTGACAGCGATGCCGAACTGCAACGACGAACGCGAGATCAGAATATTCCATTAAAGTATAATATAGTGCGACGCCTTGGACGACGCCGAGAAGGATGACATCGCTGATGACAGCCTCGTCAGCACTGGCATCAGCAGTGCTCGAGAACTTGTTGAGAGCAATGCGTACGCCCAGACCAAATAATAGAGCAGGCGCTGTTGAGAATGTCATGGGAAAGACTTGACAGTCATAAATGACGGCGTCCCGACAGCTTTAGTATTGGCTTATTGTTCGACTTCGTGTGAAATACATAGACCCAAACGTCGTTCGACAAATACAAAACTCCAAAGAATATGCTATAAAGAATAGGAGAAAGCAAGGAGAAAGCAAGGTAAAATACATTATCGCGTATATACATCTTCGCTGTCCACGTAGTTTGCCATGGGATCTTCAGCGTTCCGGCGCGTCATTCGATAAGCCTCTGCAAGATGATAGGCCACATCAGAAAGCATCCAATCGCAAAGTATGGAAGATTAAACACATACCGAGCTCCTCCTCAGTAACATCGTGGCTACCGCTCTGCAAGCCTTTTATCTTCTTGCTAGATCGATCATCATCCTTGTCTCCCCTGACTTTCCGCTTCTTCTCCTCACTGATGGCCTCCGCTAACCGATCCTTATCGAGAGAGACGTCCCCTTCGCCTACTCGCTTCTTCGAGTAATTTTGGTCTATTCGGGCTCTCACCTCGTTGTCCTGGGCAGAGGGCTCTGATTGAGCCTGATGATGCAAGCAAGGCTTGGGCTGTCGAAGCCTGTGTAGCTTCCTTGCCCGCTTCACCAGCGCAATATGAGATGTGGATGGTCGAATGACAGCATGCATAGCCCCAGGTACTGCTTGAAAGGTCGTACCACGAGCCCCATACATACGTATGATTATTAACGTAAACTAAAACTCATGTTAATGCCACATCTCACAACTATCAGAAAGTAGAAGCTCACCATCTTCTGGATACTTTGACCGCGTTTTAGCACGTTCTTTCCCTTTAATAACGTGGCCAGTCCGCGAATATTCGACGTAATTTTCCGTTTGCCCATTTATGAGCTCCCTTGGCACATGTTCGAGGTACTCCTCGCCACCATACTTTGCCAGAATGCTGACTTTGTTGACGTCCTTCATCATCTCTTTCTTCTCCTTGAATTCGTGATGAAGAAGTTGACCTTGAGTGGGATTGGCGTTGAGATGAACATCATTCCCTCGAGCTGCCGCTTGCCATGCGAAAAGCTGCAGTTCTTGAACTTCAGGAGCCTCGCCAGAGAACCGAAAGAAATTATCCCCAGCAAATTTCGCCTGTCATAGTGGTCAATTAGGGCTGATTCAAGGAAGGAAGCGTGAACGCATACCTCCTCTGCAGGTACATTCTTCATGGGAGCGTCACGCATTGAGCGAGTTTTTGGATCGTAGTATGCACTCTCTGGGTCCAAGTTTATGAGATATTTAGCGGTATCTTCTCGGATGCGCAGATTCCGAACTGTAATGCGAGTCTTCGTGTCGAGTTTTTGTCCTACAGCATCTGCAGCATCTGCATATTTGTCGTCGTCGGCGTCTTCCTCATCGCTCGAACCAAAGTCAGGATCAGCTTCCTTTCCCTCCTTCTTTCCAGCTTTCGCCAGCTTCCGTACCGCAGCCAAATCTGTTGTTGTTTGGTTGTCAATCTCTTCCTCCCTCAGTTTCTGACGTGCTGCCTCGACAGCTTCGTACTCCTCATAGATTTTCTTGTGCTCTGCAGGATCATACCCGTTCCACCTATCCCTCTTCGCATCAAATCCCGTCGCTACGTCATGTATGATCTCGTCCGCCTGAATATTCTTGTTCGTGAACTTTGCCCCCTTCTTGCGAGGACGCTCGAGACAGTCCTGCTTCTTGTGGGTCATTGCGCCGCAATTTTCGCATGCGCCTTTTCGGTACTTCTTTGCAGCAGGTCCTGCCTTCGCACCACGGTCATACCAGTTGTCGAGTTTGTCTGCGGAGCGATCGTCGAATGGCCGACGTTGATGGCTTAGTGACGGTGCGCCGGTGTCAAGATACCACGGAGCTTGCGAGATGTATTCTGTGATAGAGAATAAGATTACTCGATACATAAATATATATAATATAAACTCACGAGGAATGTGAGGGTTGATAGGCCGTCCCTCCTCGTCTAGAGCTGCAGGAGCAGTTCCAGCTTTTCTGGCAGCGTCGAGGTCCTTTTGGCGTCGAAACTCCTCACGGGAAAGCTTTCCGACAGCTAAAACAAGACGATTTGAGACAAACTTATTTCTCAAATAGTTTTACATACCTGAAGATGAAGCCATTTTGCTGCGACCTTTGACGGTTCGTGAATAACTTGAAAGTGCTTCTGTATCGTACTGTACGTCGGGATCTATTATGGAAGTAGTGTCTCACACTATTCATGGCGGGTGATTACGTGATTACAGGTTAGTCGTTTGCATAATGGTTTAGACAACCAAACTAGACTGCTGATATGTTTGGTTGTGTTTCTGGAACAAACATGTTACATGTGTCACGCTAACACCGCGTTCAGGATTGAAGCTCTCGCGACGTCGCTGAACGAAGGATGATGCAGGGCGCTGAGCGCTGTTGCTCATGACCGTGTACTGTCCACGGAAGCTATCTCTATGAGTAGCGCAACAATTTTGACCCGTGTTTACCTCTGGTCTGTCTTTAAGCTTCAAGTTGTGTGTCTGAATCCCCAATCTAGCCTGCCGTGCAGGGACAATTTCAAGTTCGTAAATCGATCATTCTTGTGGCTGTTTAGTCTGTTGAATGTGCACTAATTTTCATTTTACTCTGGTGAATGAGACTGACTAGTGTGCTTGAGCCTGCATCGTACGATTTTCAGGTAGCGAGGACTGGCACATAAATTCAAGCATGTTGATAGTGAGTGACAATCAATTCGCACTTGCAACCCCGCTGCTCATCATGTCCTCGTCAGTTCAAGATCGGCTCATTGAGCGGTACTACCAGTCCACACCCTTCCAGCAACTTGTGATGTATCCGACACTTGCTCCACAGCTTGTGCCTACTCATGTCAAAGAAAATATTGTGCCGTTGCCTTCTGACCATTCACCTCAGAAAAGTTCCGTCGTGAGCACTCCTGTGCAAGGTATGTAGCTTACCTTTAAATTCTCTTCTTGTCTTATGTATCTTTGATTCTTTAGTAGGCAGGAACTTCGGCTCTGTGATAACCAACGGACAGGGACCACAAGTCCTTGGCCCTGCCATTGATATCCCCGAGTCTCCTCTACCTGAAAATAATGACGCACAGCTATCGCAAGAGGCTGACGAGGCACCACATGATATTATCGTGATTCGTAAGCAACACTAGTTCATGTATTAATTGCCAATGATGGATTTGTCGTCAGGTAAAGAGTTCCTCATCAGCATCAGTGTGTCGGCCCTCCAAGCAATGACATCTGACCTGCCTGGAAAGCATGGAAAGGCCACTTCTGCCCTCGCAAAAATGCGGACCGTAGCACACAAGCTTGGCCAACTGATGACCATCCCCTCCGTCTCTCATTAGTATGGCCTCGTCCAAGAACACAAGCTGATCTTCGCTGTAGCGTGAGATCTCGCCTTGCCACGTAGCTCGCAATAGTTCATCACGCTCGAGTGCTTCCTTTGCGACAGACTTGTGTGTGATTGCAAGATTTCGGAGGGTGCGAGAAAGTGTAGCAATAGAGACTTCGATATTGCGTGTTTCAGCAAGGTGATCTTGAATTTCATCGAGAAACATGGTGGGATTCGCACTAAGAAGCCCTTGAATGTACGTGAGATCTCCTGCTTCCAAGTTACGATGGCGGCCACTGGGTAGATTGAGTGGATTATGTAGAGATCCATGATTATTGTATATTTGAAGGATATTGTACACAGTTGCACGTGAAAGGCCTGAAAGTGTTACAATTTCATCAATGGGTATGTGCATTTCATGATACCAGACGATAACACGTTCACGCAGCTGCGTAGACGTTGCTGCAGGCATCGTCGAGGATGTGAAACGGCGGAGCAGTGTGACAGTGTCACACTTTGGTCCTGTTAAACAGAAGCAAATACAGCACGAAATCACTCGGTTTGTCTAAACCATTATGCAAACGACTGTAAAGGCTTTTGTATGTCCAAGATCAATCCAAGATCCTCTCTTCCATGCTATTCAACATTCATGTTGCATTCTGCACCATGGGCAAATGTCACTTGAATTGCTGGCTCACACAAGAAGTCCATTTCTAGGACTGGGTTTCTAGATAGATATTCCACTTGGCCGAGCCTTCGAATTTTAAGGTTTAGAACAAAATCTAGAATTCTAAATGCTGCGGGAAGTCACCCAATGATACGTACTCTAAGTTATGTACTAGACACTAGAAGTGCCTTGAGAGGCGCTTGCCAGCTGTGCTTCAGCACGATTCCAGAATCCACATCAAATCCGATTCTTAGGGTCCAAAATCGTTTTCTGAATCACCTCAATTGAGTCTCGGAAATTAGCCACACTGATAAAAATTTGAACGCTTTCATAATTTTCGGTATGTTGATGTATACCTTGCTGTTGCCTTGCTGCTACTCGAACCTTGATCCGAACCAGGTATGGCTATGTAGGTTCGTGTGCCCGGTCCATAACCCTCGTCCGAGTACTCCCAACCCGTCCTCATCCAACTCCCAAGTGAAGCTCCACATAGTCAATGGCACCAGAGGTCCATCCCTCTCAGCATCAACTCATCCCGCCTTAGACTTGTTCAAGTTGTCCTAGCATCACATGCACAAACCAGGTGGGCATTAGGCATGGGTCTGTGGTCTTTTGGGTGCGAATAACACGAGGGCGCTGGTACCCTGTTTGCTCAGGGATCGAAGGAACTGAGGAAGACCCGAGTGATACGAAGGTACCGGAGACTGGTTTCCGGCTTTGGGCAATGCTACTATCAGTTAAATTACCACCACGTTCTGATTGTAAGGCGCTTCGCTGCAGTGCAGCTTCTCAGTTTATGCAATGGCTTATACAGTAAGTTATCATTTCGTTCGGCGTCAATCTTATTTGAGTTCATACAGATTTTCCGTTTTGCCACGCATACCGTACAGTGATAGGCCTCAAGGCAGATTGCCGTCACCTTGAGGCTGTGGTTATCTTGGTTAAAGAGTGCATACTTAATCCGCGTCCGACATGATGCATTGGCCGCATATGGTGACCATGTTCTCCATCCCTTTCATAACAGCTTCTTCCAAACCAACGGTGGAAAATTGGCATCCATTGCGTCCTCTTCACTATGAAACACTCCTGAATCTCCCGGATGACTCTAACACAGAGTCTGCTGCTGCGACGGGAACCGATTTCTACGACAGCAGTTTAACAAGTCGCACATATGCCACTGCTGGACTGGTGCTCTCAACTATCATCGGCTTCTGTTGCATTATTATAGGGGTTGTCATTATAGCAATTCACGGAGTTTCTGGGGTGATTCCGTTGATGAGACTCAGTGACACTGAACTACGCTCTTTCCTGCAGTTCGAGTTGTTGTCACTGATACTAAATGCTCTCGTTACATTATGCACCGAGTCCACTGGCTTTGTCCACAGCATCTCGTTGCGCTCTGCGCTAGCCTCAGAGGGTCGGCTTCGTTTCAACACCAATCTGCGCATTCTGACCGCGGCTCGTGGAAGGATAAACCCTAACGGTGCCCTACTTAATGGTATCATGGCCCTACTTCTCATTTTATCCTACTCCTCATCCTCACTTGTCGTGTCTTCCAACTTCTCAAATACGGTATCTATTGCCATCGCAGGGTTGCCTCTCCTCGTTTTGGGTGTCGCACTCCTTCTCCAGGTAGTGATTGCATTTAGAGGGATACGGGGAGTCGAAGTCTTACGTGGAGTTCCTCACCTTTCGATGTGACCGTTGCACTGGTCCACGACAAGAAATTGACCCGGTCTAATTCCCGATGCATGTGTTGTGTATCTGACCAGGGCGATGATGCATGTCCTGTGAAGCCGTCAAAGACACAACCCTCTGCATGGCGTGCTCACACCAGCATCCGAAAAGTTGTCATTTTTCTTTGGGTTGTTGTTGTAGCATACGCTGGATGGGCCGTACTCGTCTCCTGTGTCAGGATCTCCTACCATTCCTCACAAATACACACATGGTCGTTCTCGCAGCCACAAGATATTTCCATCTTGTATGGTCTTCCGGGTGCCGATCTTCTAGTGTGGATCCTGCTCTTTATAAACATCGCAGTTATCCAGGGACCGTTGACAATGGTGCTGCATTGCTCAGAGCTCATCGCGAACGTCATTCGAGATGAAAGCCAGTGGAGATGCGCTACCAAGAAGAAAGGACTTAGACCGACGATGAACCCGCTGAAGTCGATTTTTTCTTATCCAATTTGTCTGATACTCTTCGCCGTGAAGCCTTTCCTGCGTGAGTCACCTGTGTATATTTTGTGTTCGGTGTTACTGAATACCATCATCATCATAACAGACTGGATGTTTGGGCTTTCGATCACCGTAAGCACCGACGCTGTTGATGGGACACTGCATGGTCAATTACAGGTCCTCATGTTTGAAGCCCAGGTTCGCATTTGCTGCTCATGTGAAACTAATACAACATTCTCACGCACTCGTTCAGATCTGGAACTTATATATAGCACTGTTTATATTTGCCTGTTTTTTTACCCTAATCGCACTGCGCCGACCCCGCGGCCCCCAGCCAGCTGCATACGGCCACCTCCAGACGCTCGCCAACCTCATAGACTCGCCTTTGAGTCACGTAATATGGTGGGGCCACAAGGCGGACGGACCTGTTTGTCATGCTGGTAGGGTAAATGTATGGTCATGTAGATGATGTATTAATGGTTTTAAACACAGGGACGAGCGATCATGAGCTGCAGGAGGTCAAGATGGACTGTGATTACGCTGGTTCTAGTGTTGGGTCCGCCGCATCTATTTTCCCCATTTGAGAAGTTACTCATTCATCTCTGTCGGCAGATCTATATGGGAAAATTCAAATTAGTCTGGCTGTGCGTTAATGCTGCGCACGGCCAGCCATATCGTCGAAAAGACACTTACGATAATCATGCTGTTTGTAGGTCGCAGGTAGCTCCAGAATGTTGCCATGTCATATCGCACTTTGTGTCAGGAATGTCTCTCGCTTGACCCATGACGTATTTTGGTTTGTTTACACCAATTGAGTGAATTTCAAAGCGCCGAAATAGATCTGTCAGCCAACGATGATCGAGCAGTCCGTGTCAGCCACTGAGCTCGATACATAAAAAAGCTCGTTCTTCACGTTCTCCGACCCAATCCATTTTTGTTCTTCGACTTCGACTTCTTCTCTTACACTCGTTGCTTGCATCTGCTACCCCACATTCGTTCATAATGCGCTCCCTTTCAATGCTCGCTCTCGTGCTCCCTGCCGTGCTCGCAGTACCTCTTGAAGTTACCACTCATCACCAATATGTAAGTACCTAGACCTCCATTTTTCATGCACTGTTGATTCGACTTTCTCGCCCTAGCAGTTACCTTCTTCCTGTGTCATCGCAGACGTCACTTATCCAGACCCTCGGCACGCCCTCGTGCTCCTTGGCAGGCGAGAACTCAGCCCTCCCACCGGACTATCCGAGCGCACTTTCACCGACCTCCTAGTCTGGTGCCACGAGTTTGGTCGTTCGTACTCTGGTATACTTGTTGCTCGTAAGGAAGATGGCTGCTCTTCTGGAGCTTTCGGCGGTCCAGCAGGGAGTGATAGCATGGTTGGTACAACCAATCCAGGAGGCGCTCCGCAGAATTCTTCAGCGTCAGGTGATCAGAACACAGGCTCTTCCGCTGCTGGGTCTTCGACCACCCCTGCAACTTTTACACCTGCCGTTTCACCTGCCAACTCTGTCACTCGTCCTGCATCTCCGGGGGATACACCTGCAGAGACACCTGGAGGTGCAACTGGGTCCACGACATCTGGAACTTCAAACGATGGTCCCGCCAACAGCAACGCTTCCAACGGAACTCCTGGCAATCCTGCGGGAGGCAGTCCCTCTGGAAACGCAGCTGCAACCACCGGCCCTGCGGATAGCAACGCATCTGATAACGGGAGTGCACCTGCGACACCACAGTCTGCCCCACCTCCACCTGCCACTGCCTCCACTGCAACATCCCCGATTCTGGTTGTCGACGGCACCAGCCCTGTCGCGGACATCAACGCGTCGGACAGCCTCAATAATGCACAGGCGAGCGGAATAGCAGCGTCATCCATACCCTCAGGCGCAACATCCCAGACTACCCCAGATGGTACCGTCAACGGTGGCACGACACCCCAGACTGTCCCCGATGGTACTGTCAACGGTGGTACAACGCCCCAGACCGTCCCAGATGGTACTATCAACGGTGGTACGACGCCACAGACTGCTCCGGATGGGACGTCCGCTCCTACCAGCCCAACGGTGTCTACCCCTGGAACAGCGGCCAATCCCTCTATTGCTGGAATGGGGACTTCTGGTTGCCCATCTAATATTTTGGACGTTACGGGCGTTGTTTCTGTGAGCGTGGGCAGCGCGGCGACTTGTGATAGCGTATAAATTCCTTGTAGCATTGTAATGCAGATGTGTTTCTTACCACTACTATCGCCAATAAGGGGGTATCCCTAAATGGCAATCATGCAAAACAACACGCAAACAACGCGAACATCTGAGTCTTCACTAAATACCACTGCAACTTTATACATATACCCAAGCTTCATTGATACAATACTAGTCCGTCGAAGACTCATTCATGATGTCGACTCACCTTGCGATACTGCCACTTGGTAAGCTTTTCGCCTTGTCCACACCAGTTTTCGTATCGACGTGTCTTGCCATCCCGTACAGACATTATTGACACACTAACTGCGCGGCTAAATCAAGAAAATCGCCCTCCCGGCCATGCGACTCGCTTTCTAAGACTTCCACACCCGCGTACAGGTTAGTCGATATACGACTAATGTCGTTCTCAACGCTTACAACGACAAGGTGTCGCTTCACTGTTCTTTATCCATGATCAACATGCACCAGATGATACCACAAAGAAGAGTTCCATATTAGAGGTGCAAGCTATATCCCCGACAAATGCGCGGACCTGGTTTATAGGAGAGGAAGTCGTCGCTGGTGCGTTGTGCAGATCATGGTGTCCCAATCGTATGTATTTCTGACGCACAGGTGTTCAGATGGAAAGCTCATAGTGATGACACCCATGGACCCCATGTTTTTGCTCGTGTATCTTTTGCGTGTTCCACAAGCGGTATGTTGTTATACACGTTGTGCTAGTCCCCAGGACGATGTTTGTTTCACAGCGCGACGGTTCGAAAGGCAACTTTCGGCCCATGCAGGATATCATAGAGGAAGTCTCTACGACGATTGCTGATGCTTCCGAGAAAATTGCTCAGAAGGATCCGTCATTAAATGTCTCCGCAGACGACATTATTTCCTTTCTGTCTCTGGATTTTGTCCAGTCCTCTATAAAGCGTGTCTGCGACGTGAAGGGTAAGTGTTTAGAACGTCGCACGACCAATCATTAACATGTCTTTGTTCAAGCCATAACGGATGAGATTACCGTGTACAGATATTCACATGACGTTGTGCTGGAAAATCTCAAGAGTAAAGTAGGACGCTTATCCGACCCCAGGGTTGCTGAGATATCTCGCACTCTGGTACGGAGCCTTGCTAAGGATGGTCTGATGGATGATGGAAAAGAGGAACTACTTGAATGTGCGTTATTTTCCACCGTTTGTCTCTACCTGACATATTCTCTCCAGTGGGACGGATCAAGTTAGCCTGTGAGTTGCTATCGCAATACCTCCCCCGGGATATATTGCAGGAGTTGATTGCGTCTTACGAGTATGTGTCTCATTTACTCTGACTAGCAGATACTGATAGGTCATTAGTCTCTCCAAACTGGACGCTCATGTGAAAACGGTCAGAGATGAAGAACTCGCTTTGCTCGCGGTAGCTCCCGACACCAGGAAGAGAGCAAAATCCGTCGCAGCTGGCGATAAAAATCAGAAGAGGAAAAAAGACACCAAGGCTACTGCGAGTGCTGACGGTAACGCAGCTGACGAAGGAGATAAGAAGAAGAAAAAAGACGCCAAGTCGTCACATGGTGTAGAGAAGCTGAAGAAGGCCAATGTTGCAGGGATGTCGAAGTTGTCCACATTTTTCACGAAGAAAGCTGGATAATTGCAACTTCGAGTCATGCGCCTCACGCTTGGCCACACGCCATGATGCTTTGGCCGCGGTTCGACCTGTTAGCTCAGGAAGATAAGATGTTATTTATTTTCTTCCTCCGATCTCATGGCCTCCGCAATTACATATTCACACTGACTGTTACTATTCGGGAACTCTTGGAAATATGTGAGTACCCATCAAGCTGCCACGAGTGTTACTTTCCTTGTTTGTCCCGAGCAAGGTCTTCATTTACAATCTATGATATATTAAAGATCATTGTTAACATGCCATGAGCAAGTACACTACTATGTTGGCATCGGTGAGGGACTGTCATTTGAAGGATGAAGTAAACTATCATCAGAGGGGGGGAATGCTCCGACCCTAATTCGGTGAGAAATAGAACACTCCAGACTCCAGTAACCAGTTGGTGGTTTCAGAACTTTGCATTGCGAACATAGCACGTGTCAAGATACGCATGAGTGTCATTCCGTTCCAAAACTGCAGTAAGGCTTGCCTAAATCACGGGTGCCGATCAGGTCGACGTGGACGGGTGACGAGCATGAGATGCATGGGAACGGCGATCGAGTCTTTGCAGGCCTGCCAGAGTATCCCGCGGAGTAGCCCAGTGTCTGACTCCCACTGTGCACGGATTTCTAATTATCCATTCTATCTTTGAGATAAGTCAAGCTTGGACCACCCAGAAGAATGCAGAAACCTATTAGATGGTTAGTGGTGATGAATTGGCTCGATGTCGACGAGCAAGTACTTGACGGGGATTCGGGCATGGCTTATGTAAGAGGTATATCGTTTACCGTATCGTTGCCAATTTAACTTCAAGAGCCCTGTTATGTACAATATTTATTGCATTGAAACTGTTCATATGACCAGCGAAAGGCTTCAGCTGGCAGTGAAACCGCAAGCCGTTACACCTTCCGAAGTTAAGTCGTATCTATTCGTCCTATATTCGTCATCATGCCACTAGCTCACGATTGCGTGATATCGTCTCATCGCAGATAGCAGGCTGCATAACTAATCACCGAAGTTTTCGCTCATATGTAAGCTCTTAAACTCTCATTATTGGTTTGCATAGCTTGATACCCAGTTACAATATTAGAAATGGCCAGCACCCCTCATGGCGGAATTTTGAAGGTACGTTTTTTGTATCTGCGCGCCATACTCCATCTAATATCTATGCGTAATACAGGACCTTGTTTCACGAGATGAGCCGATATCAGGGCAGCTCAAGGATGAGGCTGCGAAGCTCAAGGACATTGTGCTCACAGAGGTTCGTCTCCCAAGTGATACTAGCTTGAAGCTGACTGTGAATCTTGAATAGCGTCAACTCTGTGATCTTGAACTAATTATAAATGGCGGCTTTAGTCCCTTAGAAGGCTTCATGAACGAAGCTGATTATACAAGGTAGCAGAGATATCCAAGCCACAGAAACTCACGCTGAAATATCTTGTCAGCGTCGTCGATACATTACGACTATCTGACGGCACACTCTTTGCAATGCCTGTCACTCTTGACGTGTCTTCTGCCGATATCGAGCATCTCAGCATAGTGCCTGGCGCTCGTATTACTCTCCGGGATCCTCGTGATGACGAGGCACTTGCAATTATCACCGTTGATGACGTTTACACCTATGACCGCGTCAAGGAGTCTATTCTTGTTTTTGGTGCCGATGATCCAGCACACCCTTCCGTCGCGTACCTCCGCAACCGCGTCAAACCTTTCTATGTAGGAGGGAAGGTACAAGCTATACAGGCGCCCTCACACTTTGATTATGTTGCTCTGCGATGTAAGTCATATCAGTGTTGGGGTCGCTTACCTTGCTAAAAAAAGGATTGACAGACACCCCTACTGAACTCCGTACCCACTTCAAAAAACTTGCATGGCGCAGAGTTGTCGCTTTCCAGACCCGAAACCCGATGCACCGTGCTCACCGTGAGCTCACTGTCCGTGCTGCTCGCCAACATCAGGCGAACGTCCTAATCCACCCTGTCGTCGGTCTTACAAAGCCAGGAGATGTCGATCACTATACTCGTGTCCGCGTATATGAAGCCATCATGGCCAAGTATCCGAATGGAATGGGTCACCTTGCGCTCCTCCCTCTCGCAATGCGCATGGCAGGTCCTCGTGAGGCAGTATGGCATGCGATTATCCGAAAGAACTTTGGTGCAACACATTTCATTGTCGGTCGCGACCATGCTGGACCAGGCAAGAACTCACAGGGCAAAGATTTCTACGGCCCATATGACGCACAGGAACTTGTTGAGAAGTACAAAGATGAAATTGAAATAGAGATGGTTCCATTCCAACAGATGACATACCTCCCCTCCACCGATGAGTATCAGCCGGTGGACGAAATACCTGCTGGAGCACAGACTCTGGATATCTCTGGCACGGAGCTGCGGAGGCGACTAAAGTCAGGGGCGCATATCCCTGACTGGTTCAGTTACGAGTACGTTTCCGTTCTTGGTATACTACACATTAATTCAACAAGCGCATCAGGGCTGTGGTGACGAGGTTGCGAGAAAGTTACCCACCAAGGAACAAGCAGGGCTTTGTTCTCTGCCTCACTGGCTTCTACAACTCTGGAAAGAACATCATTGCAAAGGCCCTTCAAGTCGCACTCAATGAACAGGGCGGTCGCAGCGTATCCCTTCTCCTTGGCGAGACCGTACGAGATGATAACGTCAAGTTGGGCTTCACACCGGACGAGCGTCACGAAAACCTGAAACGCATATCCTTTGTAGCAGGCGAACTGGCCCGCGCGGGGGCCGCTGTCATTGCTTCACCTATAGCCCCTGAAGAACGGTCACGAGCGTTAGTGAAGGATACTGTTCTCCAAAATGGCGGTGCAGGAGGGAACTTTTTCCTGATTCATGTCGCGACACCTCTCGAACATTGCGAGAGCACTGACCGCAAGGGCATTTATGCTCAAGCGCGTCGCGGGGAGATAAGGGGTTTCGTTGGTGTTGACACCGAGTATGAGGTACCCAAGAAAGCAGATCTGGTTGTGGACGTGACCACACAGAGTATACCTTCCATCGTACACAGTGAGTCCAACTAGAATTTCGATCTTGATGGTGCTTACCATGTTCTTAGGTATCGTTCTCTTACTTGAGACAACTTCACTGATATGAGTGCTCACAATACCATGACGACCAGAGTATAGCATCACATTACAAGATCATTATTTTCGGGTATAGATTGGTGCTACAAAAGCTAACTTGTAAATTATGTCTAGCATTGTATTGGAGCATACATGAGTCTTATTCGTCTCAATCAAATACAATAAAACATACACAATAAAGTTACAATAAAAAACATTCTCAAGCTTGCTATTTCAAGTTCGCCAAGCAATGATATTGGTCATGCACAGATCCCCGTGTCACCCCATACGCGAAAGTATTGGCTGCCACATCTGCGGTGTCATCTCTGCTGGTTACAATTCATGAAATTCCTCTGTTGATTGAATCTAGGCATATCCCATCAATTACATCACTAGACTCAAACGATGGCTGACTGACTTGATAGCTTTCCTCATCAATAGCCCTATTGACATGGAAGACCAGCCGCGATCCACGCATCATAACCGCCCACTATATCGGTCGCATTCAACAACCCAAGCTCATGCAGGGACGCCGCAGCCAATGAGCTGGTGTACCCTTCACGACAAAACAATATAATCTTCGAATCATAGCGATCTGCAATTGTTAATCGCACTTCGCAGCGTGGGTCAAAACGCCACTCCAGAACGTTTCGTTCGACGATGAGAGATCCGTGGATCTCGCCCTCACGATCGCGTTCTGCAGCAGGGCGGATATCCACGAGAAAAACGGGCACCGGGTATGTGGGATCGTGAAGTGCGTCGTAAGCTTGTTGGGGCGTCATTCGCTCCAGCTTCGCCCGGGCGTCGGAGAGAATTTGGTCAATACTGCGAGATCCAGGGGGAGGAGAATGAGGATTGTGGGTGTGCACGGAGTTGAACAATATGTCCCACAAGGCAGCTTCGTGGTATGTCGAGGAGCCAATTTGCCGTATAGATGCAGCCTGAGCAATGAGAGTGCCCTTGTTGTTGACTGCATCTACTCGTCCTGGAAATTTGGAAGACGCGAGAAGCACAGCCCGCTGCATGTCATCCTCATCTGACCCGCAGATGACGAGTGCGTCTGAAACACAGGCACCACTACCAGCAATTGTTGGCGACACACTGGTAGTTGCTATGATAAAGAGATATGGGGATAAAGGTAGGCAGGTGGATATATGGGAAGCGACAAGTCGGAAACAGTCACTATCGTCTTCCTTCGAATAGTGGATACCGATGCGGACACCGTCCACTGTGCACGCATTGGTGATCATGCGGAGTGCGATGCTCTGGGCAGCCTCCTCCGAGTCACGCACATCTGAAAAAGTTTGAGGGTTGGTGGGGGAAGTGGGAAATGATTGGATGTGTTGGTGCTCGAGAGCAACAGTGGACGATGCCGTGGTAGAGAATGGCATGAAGAAATTTTTGGATATACCGTCGAAAGGGAAAACGCAACGGAAAAGTTTAAATCAGGATCCAGCATATCCAAGCAGCCCTGCAATATAAGTATTAAGCACGACGCATTGGGGCAACACCATCATGCATCATGATCCGTGTGCACGGTTCGCGAACGCAATTATTTTCATACCAATGTTGTCGTGCAACGTGCGTGTGGGGTTTTCATATGTGGCATTATTGCTGGCAGAATATACTTACCAGGAAGGGACAATCATCCGGTGGGGACCAAAGGGTTCTCCGAAAATTTGTCCTTTGTGAAATACAGCTCGATTTGTTGAGCGACTATATCTAGTCGTTCCTTCGTGCCAGGCAGAGATCATGAACTGAAGTTATGTCAATGTCAATGTGCTGGTCTGTCCTAGCCTGCAGACCACCATGATTGATATAGAGGAAATATGCTTGTCGTTTCGTCTAATAAAGATGGGCCTGACAAACTTGCAAAAGTCAGAGAGGGCATGAAGCCATAGTTTCATTGCCCTCGCATCGCCCATAATGCATGAGAGTACGCGGGCTGCTAAAGGGACAAATATTATAAAATCAAGGGAGACTGAACAAAATGTGCGCTTCACCTTACAATCCGTTTGCGAAATATGCGGCAGCGTGCATAGTAGTGCTTTGAACATGCTGTACGAGTTCCTCAGGAAAGAAGTCAGTGGATTCGATTTATGTAGAGACTTAAACTTGACTCGGAAGGGATAATGAAAGTGCCTCCCAAGGATCATATGATGGTTGAATTCCGAGCATGTGTTTCAGTTTACACGGCATAGCCGAATCTAAGTATTGCCCACGGGAAGCGAGCACTTGAATTCCGATTGAACCGACTTGCAACTTGAACCGTCCTTTCTTCCTTGCTCAGTGATGTTGTTATTTCGGCGTGTGCCACGGTCTTTCAACCGGTCGATTAGTGCTTCCATCTCTTATCGATCATCACTTGGGGTCTCAAGTAACCTGATCCTTCGAGCCGCTGCACGCCCAATGTCTGTTCACCACGGCGAATCTACCATTCGACCTGAGCCGGACAAGGTCCTGAAGGACATTGCAGACTATGTCCACAACTACCAGGTCACTTCAGACCTTGCGTTCGAAACTGCACGACTCTGTCTCATAGACACTATCGGATGCGGACTGGAGGGTTTGAATTTCCCGGAGTGTACCAAGCTCCTTGGACCCGTTGTAGAAGGCACTGTCGTGCCTAATGGTGCGACATCCGTATATGAATGAATGCTAATTTGCTGAACTGTTGGATACAGGCACCAAGGTTCCCGGAACGAATTACCAGCTGGATCCTATTCGTGGCGCATTCAATATTGGCACAATCATCCGCTGGTTGGACTTCAACGACTGCTTCCTCGCTGCTGAATGTGAGTAAAATAATAATGAACCATTCGCTATCAAGCCAGACGCATAGATCGGTACATGGCTCTCACATCGAGCAGTGATAAATCTTGCATATGAGCTCACTCCACATTCTAGGGGGTCATCCGTCAGACAACTTGGGAGCTATTCTTGCGGTTGCGGACCACCTCGCTCGCCAAGGACAACCCCTGACCGTTCGCGACATTCTCGAGGGCATGATCAAAGCACACGAGATTCAAGGTGGCCTTGCCCTGCTTAACTCTTTCAACCGCGTTGGTCTCGACCACGTCGTGCTCGTCAAAGTTGCCAGTACCGCTGTTGTCTCCAAACTCCTGTAAGTGCACCTTTGGAGTTGAATGCAACAACTGAGATGGTACACGCAGCGGTCTTTCACACTCCCAAACGATCGACGCCGTTTCGCAAGCATGGGTCGATGGTCAATCCCTTCGTACTTACCGTCATGCACCAAACACTGGCCCTCGCAAGTCGTGGGCAGCAGGTGATGCCTGTTCCCGTGCCGTCAACCTCGCTCTTCTCGTCAAGAAGGGCGAGCTTGGTCTCCCCTCAGTCCTCACGGCCAAGACTTGGGGTTTCTACGATGTCCTCTTCAAAGTGAGATACCCCAAAAGTACAGCAGTTCCACCCCACTGAACTAGACCTCCAGGGAAAGCCATTCGAGTTCCAAATGCCCTTCGGCTCATACATCATGGAAAACGTCCTCTTCAAGATCTCGTATCCCGCCGAATTCCATGCCCAAACCGCAGTTGAGGCCGCACATACCATCCACAAGCAGCTCAAAGCACTCGGAAAATCCTCAGACGACATTAAGAGCGTGCGCATCCGTACACAGGAGGCTGCCATCCGCATCATCGACAAGCAGGGTCCCTTGGACAACTTCGCTGACCGAGAGTAAGTATCCCAACCCATCCATGATGGTGCAGATTCGCTCACAGGTCATTCCAAAGCCACGCAATCAGCTATATGGTTGCATACCCGCTTATCTTTGGTGAACTAACCTCGAACTCGTACACTGACTCATCTGCTGCCGATCCCCGTATCGATGCGCTACGCGCCAAAATTCACTGCGTGGAGGACAATACATTCTCAGTGAACTATCATGAACCGTCAAAGCGCTCTATTGGAAATGCACTCCTCGTCGAATTGAATGACGGCACAGTTCTTGATGAAGTTGAGGTCGAGTACCCTGTTGGACATAAGCGTCGCCGCGAGGAAGGTATCCCTCTTCTCATGGAGAAGTTCAAGAGGCACATCTCCGCACATTTCAACGAGGCCCACCAACAGAGGTGAGTCAGCGTACTTTATGCAATTTAGTACCCAGTACTGATCCGACCTACAAGGATCTTGGCAACTGTAACTGACGCCCAGTCACTGTCCAGGCTGCCAGTCGACAAGTTCACTGATCTATTCGTTAAGCCGTGAAATGGTACATGTACTTGTAGTGCGATTCAATAACAATTGGCTGTGAAATTGACACATGTGCGATCTGCCCAAGTCCGTCCATCAACAGTATGCGTGCAAGGTGAATATCTATGACCGTCCCTGGGGAATCCGCGAAAAAAAGACATGGAAAACGATGCTTGAAGGAGACAAACGTGATGAAAAAAACAAATCCAAAGCTGCAGTCCAGTGATAGAGACTCATCGAGCGGAAATCGGACACGCGTCGCTCCTTGTTTTCCTCCCGCGCGGCTTTTTCTTGAACTGCTGTGATATGTCCATCACTCCCCCTCCTTTGGACCGCGATTGTACGCGGCTTCGATCGAGGTATTCTTCCTGTTCTTGCGCCGAAGGAAGACGGACCTTTGCGGGCGATGCTCCATGAAGGAATGAGTACGGCTGGGCTTCATATTCGTTAACAGAGTCCGGGCAAGGAACGCTCGCATGACTGACAGCAGGAACGCCAAGATGCTGTTCTTGGTGGTACCTGCGAGGTGTTGGATTGTCATCAGAATAATCACGGGAGGAGAAACTGCGCTGGTGATAATCGGTGAATCGATAAGCAGATATAGACGAGGTGTCCGCCAGACCGTTGAGTTCCTCTTCCGGTACAGAAGACAGTCGGCGTTGTATTAACCGCGCAAGGGGAACAGACCTGGGTTGCTGATAGGAGATACTTCGAGATCGTGACCCAGGTGACTCAGGCGAGGGAGGAGCAACGGAGACAACAGTACGACCAGTACTGACGGGGTGGCGAGTAGCTGCCGCCAGCGAAAGTTCGGCGGTACCAGCATAACGAGGCTGCTGAGAAGACAATGTCTGCATATCGCGCAAATAATTGGCAAGACCACCAGAAATATCCGAAGGATGCCGATGGACTGCAGAAGGGACGTCCCTGTCATGACGCGAAAGCACAGAAGCATAGCCGCCATTTCCATTTCCATCGAAGAAATGAGTCTCGACATTGTTATCCTGGCGATCGTACAAGAGCCTGGCTGGCTGGGATGTATCCAAGAAGGGGCATTGTACTTGCTGGGTGTGATGAGGTAGACCTAATGTGTTTTGAATGTCCATATCCGGAGATACGGAAGGATACTGATAAGGCGAGAAGTTTGATGACCACTGGGGAGAGGAAGAACTTGGCGGAGTAGGTAGAGCAGCCTGTTGCTTGAGACGGAACTCCTGACGTTGACGATACTGCTGGGCAATCTCCATGGCGGACTGACGTTGTGCTGCATTGACCACCTCATTAAGACGCGGTTCCACGAAGATTTTCGGGTAAACCGGAGTGGCATGTGAATGATTGGAAACCGGAAAAACGGGCTTGAGGCCTTCAGGATAAGCTTGATTGAGTGCAGTGTTCTGAAGCGACTGCTGGGCAAATGCGAGCTGCAAATCCAAGAGAAGTTTTTGATCGTTGAACGATGAGCCAAAGCCTATTTCGTGGGCCTCCGATTCGCGAACAGTCGGTATACCAGTTTCGGATCGCCAAGAACCCGAGAAAGGAAGACTGCTAATGGCTGGTTCAGCTTTTGACTCACGTAGATGGGGTGTCTGTGAGTGTCCATGAATGCGATGTTCATGGTCAGGGCGATGATGAACAGTGGAAGTTCCTCCGCTAGCGACCCCTTTGAACGTATTCTTGTTATTCGCAGCCGCTCGTATCTGATAAGGTTTCTGGAGTACGTGTCTCTTTTGCGTTTGATATGTAACCTGGGGGCGAGAGGTGGACTTATGACGTATGTCGTCATCCGTATGCTCACTATCACCACGATATTGACAAGATTCGTCTTGGCCTAAGCCCCATATCATTCGAGAGACGTTGCCTGGCTCTTCGATGATCGTTCCTTCAGCTCCCCTAGAAATGGTGAGCCACTTTGCATTCATTACATATTTCACTTACGATGGACAGCGGGCATATGGAAGAGAAAGCGGACCATGAAGTGCTGGGATAGGGCGGGGAGGAGAACTTGCCCATGTCGTCCAGCCTACATGGAGAAAAATGAACCTCAGCGTCGCAATTATCAGTCAACACAAACCATGTCCGGGTGAGGCTGTCTTTTTGGAATATCTTTGTCGAAGGAATCCATCAGGAAGCTGAGCATGACTGTCGATGATGAGTATCGACTCGGGAGATGATGGTGGAGAAGGCGTGTGCGGGACATCTGAAGGCGGGGGACAAACTCTGACTCGATGGCGTTTCTCAATGTACGACGACCCGAAGGATGCGCCTGCGGAAGGAGACTCAATCGAATCCAGAGACAGGTCAACGGCAGCCGCGAGATACTCGGGCATGGAAACCACCCGCATGCTATCTTGAGAGTCCAACTTGATATGCTGCGCCGACATGTCGTCCGGCATAGAAATTACGCGTCTTTCGACGGTTTTTCCTTCTGGGCGACGTTCGACTAGGAATAATTTGCGCCTAGGAACGCGACGAGATATCAAGGGTGCGCACATGGGGCTAATGGGGCTATTGTGCTGGAGATTGGACCGACTATATGCGTTGTTATCACGAACAGAAAAATGCGAAGGAGATAATTCTGGCTCGACTAATGGCAACCCGATTGTGATCTCGTGTAAAAGCGGCCCAGAGTCACAGTCATCGAAGGGAGCTTGAGGAGCACCAACCGCTGCCAAGTCTGGTGTTGTTGCTGATTGTGAGGAACATGAAGTTTGCACTCCTCGATCAACATACTCCTTCAAATATCCCATGATTCAGGATCGCGAAGACGTTGCGTCTGCCTAGGGGCGACCGAGGTTGTTCAGGTAGCAGCGACCTGGGATAGCTAAGGTAAGTTCGGATTTATATATTCTTTGCGTAATAATCGTTATTTACGTAAACTTATTTTGAATTCAGATTGACTCCGAGCGGATCATCGTAACCGTGACGATGGCGGCTCATTGAATGATCATCATTTGCTGATATACCATTCACACACAAATCAGTGATACTTGCACTGACTGAATTGGACTCGGAGCACATAAGTAGTATACCATGCGCAGCATTATGAGTACGTCCAGAATGTTTTGGAGTCGTCTACTCGCCTATTTCTGCGAAGTTGATCGTCTGTGTTTTACTTGCAGGCCAGCTGCATACATGGCACTAACTTACGGCTAGCTCAGGCTAGCACTCGAGACCTGAGGTTGTGGGAAGGACCATCAAAATCGTCCCGGCTGATACATTTAACGGGTCGCCGCAAATTCTTGACGCCTTCTCTTGAATAGTGCCTCAACATAATGTTCACTACTGACTTGGACGCACAACAGATGTGAGTGATACATGCATGGATTTACCATATATCCTGATGCCAGTAGCTGAATAAGTACCTCCAGATCGTTGTGCACTTACGCCGTCCTGGCGGGGAACAGTAAGTTTTAGCGCCTCTTATCTTTAGAACCGTGACATGATATTGTAGGTATCCTGATATACGACCATGTGTTGACTCTACCAGAAGAATTTGCTTTCATTTGGCGTCGCCCAAAAGGACTAGCTGCAATGTTATTTCTGCTCAATCGCTATCTTGCCCTTCTCGGCATTATCTGCAGCATGGTAGTGGAACTCTTTCTTATTTCAGATGAGGTTCTCTATTTCGTTATGCATGTACTCAACTTGTGGGCTCACAGCTTCTTTCTGCAGGCGTTAGTTTCTCTCTGGTTCCTTGAATATCTGTTGTTTTGCTCAACAAAGACTCAGTTGTTCGAAATATACGATATCCAGACAACTGGACATCTTCTTCCAAGGAATCATCATTTGCAGTGAGTAAAAGTTTATTGTGAGAAGTTCACGTGTTAAAAAGTTCAGTTATAATGGCTATGCGCACTTATGCTCTCTACGGCCGTAGCCAACATCTGCTTACCTGGATGACCATCATTATCATTGCTCTTGTGGGAGTGGCTTGTGTACGTGCTTGCATAAGACTTTGGACTCTGGAGCATACTAATTGTTTCTAGGCCGTCAGTTTTGCACAAGTTTCAGGTGATGCAGCAATATTGCCACGAATTGGCTGTTATGAAGTATATACAGCAGAGACGTATGTCGTCCTCTTCGCCATTCTGCGCGCCTGCTTAAAAGTTGTTGCAGAGCCGCCCGTCAGTGAATTCTAGGTCCCATTTCATGTAACTCGATGACATGACTTTATCCAAATACAGGAATTGGGCTGGCATGGGTGGCCTTCTTTGTTTTCGATTTACTTATCTTCGTCCTCACAGTGTACAGAGTTTGCAAAACTAGGGGTCTGCCACGATTATCTCTGACAACCACGAGAGATATCATGGATGTCATATTTCAGGATGGTGAACCATTCGTTGCATCTGTATTGTGAACACTGAATTAATGGAACGCAGGTGCGATGTATTTTGGGTAAGGTTGCTAGTGAACTCATGATTCGACCGAATTTGATCCGCATACTGCCTTCAGAGCTATGGCACTGATTCATATACCAAACATCCTGACATACTATGTGAGTCAACAAATCATTGATAGAGCTGCACAGCGCTTACAGCTTGAATCAGTCGAGTTCAGTGAGCATGCAAACTCGCACCTCCCATTGACTATTTCGTGACAATTAGCAAGGTTGCTGTCAGAGGCAGTCTGTGCGATTTTACCAGCTGGTGAGTGCTCAATGCGACAGGTACGGATGGATTCTAAATTTTACTTCCAGTATATCCGTTACTCTCATTTCTCGGCTGATGCTTAACCTGCACAAGACCACTCACACTGGTAGTTTCTCCACTAACGTCTTGGACGACGACTACCGCCTCGATGTCCTTACCACCAGGTTAGACGTACAGTCCGCTATCTCCTCTCACTATTGGTAGGCTAGTATTGAATCTTGTGTCCGGATGTTAAGCTGGGAGTGAAAGCTATTTCCAAACCTTTTTTCGAAGGCAGCGCAGTGTGACAGAGTGGTGGACGACGCTGCATCCCGTGCTGGCAGCTATGCGTACCTAAAATCTATGTCAAATATTGTTACTTCTGGCTGATTATATTGACCAATTCAATTATGGACACAACATCATAACGTTAACTTTTGATCGCTCATCTTTCGTAGACTTGACACAAACGGGTTGTTTCTCTCACAATATGTCGTTGAGAAGACACTGTCCCTTGTCAGTGATATTGAAATTTCGGTGGTTGGCGGATGTATGTTTGATGTATGTAGCAGGAATTGTCTCTGTCCCACCATCGCATACTAAGACCGAAGTGCTTACTGCCCCTGAGTTGCCTGCTGTCATAGCGCGAAGTTTGAAAGTCGTGTTCTATTTTCATATGGTGACATAAATGCATGGATAATAGAAGAAAAGTGGCATAGGGCATAGAGGAAAAGGTGGCATAGAGGAAAAAGTGGCATAAGGCATAAGTGGCATAGGGTATAAAGGAAAAGGTGGCATAAGGCATAAGACAGCAAGGGAACTACGGGGAAAGTGGCATAGAGAGAAAGGAGAAAAGGGTATATGAAGGAGTGACATGGGTCGGACGATAAATAAGAAAGTATTGGAAGTCATAAGTGTCGTACCTCATAAAGTGTCGTGAGTCATGAAATGTCATAATGCATAGAGGCATAAGATGAGTCGTGAACGGACCAAGCATGGATATTACTGTATGAGCCTCGAGTGAACGATGTTGCGGATGGTGTTCTGTTCGAGGCGAAGCGTCGGTGTGGAAAAGATGTCGTAACGTAATAGGCTGAGCTGCGTGTAAACCGTGGTGCGCGATTGAGCGAAGTCCAGGGCAGAAATAGGCTGGAGGTGCGTGTAAACCGTAGTGCGCGAATAAGCAAAGTCAGAAAATAATGAACGACTGAAGCTGTGTGTAAACCGTGGTGTACAAATGGGCGAAGTTCGGAGCAGATATAATGGAATGGGCTGGAACTGTATGTAGACTGTGTTGCGTGAATGTGCGAAGGTTGGGGTAGAGATAATAGGCTGGAGCTGCATGTAAATCGTGGTGTGCGAATGAGCGAAGTCCAGGGCAGAAATAATGAAATAGGCTGAAGTTGCGTGTAAACCGCGGTGCGCGAATGGGCGAAGTCCGAGGCAGAGATAATATTAGGCTGGGTATGACAGGACCCTTCTAGGGTCCGGACAGAGTGAAAGAGTGAGCTGGCGGGCTCGAGGCTTGGAAGAAGAGATAGGCATCAGAGAACGAAAAAAAGGTGAAAGGGGTATACGAAGGAATGACTTGGGTTGGACGATAATAAGAGAAAGGTGAGAAGGAAGAAGTGACTCAGGCTGGTCGATAATTAGAAAGAGAAGGGTGAAATGAATATACGAAGGAGTGACTTGGGTCGGACGATAATAAGGAGAGAAAGGTGAAAGGGGTATATGAATGAGTGACTTTGGTCAGATGATAGATGTGAGGCCAAAGAAAAAGTGGAGCGGAAGGCACATACGCGATCCGGCAGAAAGAACAACGGCTGTCAGATGACAGTCTTGCGGCGTAAATAGAAAAAGAACGGGAAGATGGTGACGCATCCGTCATCCAGTAGAAAGAGCGACTGTGGTCGGACTAAAAAATGATGAGTTGAACTGATGCTTACCAGAAGTTGAAGAAACGAGACTTACTGATGCCACGCTATCGAGCTTGAATGCAGAATTGCCCCACGTCATTCATTATGCTTGAAGTGTCCGATGTGGAATGGGTCCACTGTGTGCAACTTAGCCAGACGAGCGGGTATAAGATATCGAATAGCTCGAGGAGATCAGGAGGGGAGAGATGGGTGTAGGTATAGGTGCGGCGGGTGCACGAGTTCCTATTTCAGATAGAGGCAACGCCAGCGAGGGCGAGGTTTGAGAGAGTGAGAGGTGATTTTTTAATCAACGTGGCCAACATTGAGCTTTTCTATAATCTAGAAAGAGAGATGATGAAGACGAGATTCTGTTGGTGAGGGGCGATAACTCACTTTTAAGCGGGAAGCAGGAATATAACTGACATTTGCTTTACCATTGGCGACATTGGGTGAATGAGAACGGCGAGAGAAATGCGATGAGAGAAGAACAGCGAGAGAAAGATGACGAAAGAACTAGACGGGATAGCAAGCCGGCGAGGTAGCGAGACAGAAGGATAGCGAGAGCGCAAGAAACAATAAGCGATCAGTGACAAAGACAACGAAATATAATCGTCCGTGACACGCAGATGACGGTCAGATGCGATGAAAGATCGTTGGCACTCGGGAGAGGTCAAGGCTGATGAAGAAGAGAAAGCTCGGGCGGGCAGGTGTTTATACGTTTTGGAGTGTCGGCCTCATTAGTCCTCACGAGACCCCACATACGTCACAGAGCGTCATGAGCATTGGGCATTGAGCTGACAGTGGACAGTAATTGGTGCGCCCGCCGGTGTCGGCTTCCAGCCGCCCTCAAGTTATCAAGTTTGCGGATGATTTACTGCAAAGTCTGGGACCAGAGTGATGACTCGGAGACAGGGAGAAGGAGGAGGTTGACGACTGACAGACGCGACGCGTCTCAGTCACGTGTTGATCCAGTGAAGTTAAATGTTTTCATTAACTAAAGACTGCATCAAGTCAACTTTAATCTCTGTCCCTACTTGATATGAGTCGCGGTTTCGATTCTTCCTTTGGCCCACCATCGCAGCCTATCAACGTCGCAGATTTTTTACAGCAAGCAAATTCTGCAGTGCTATCAGGATCCTTCACCAATGTCTCATGGGAGCAACTGACTCCCGAGCATAGAAATGTTGTCGAAGCAGAGATCAATGAAAGGTGCCCCTCTCCCCACTACGCCATATTAGCGCTCATTGCACATCAGAGTAGCATTTCAGACCTCAAGTCATCTCTTGAACAAGTATGGAATAGCCCTGTATTGTCAGCGCATGTACTGCGCCAGCATGAGTCCACAGTAGCGTCCGTGCGTGGCCAAGCAGATGCACCGGTACCAAAAGGAAGAAAGCGCAAACGTCACGTTGCTCCAGAAGGTAGCGAATCCTCCCCAGAAGCACTACAGCTCCAAGAGAAGCTTGACGCTGTCAACCTCAGGTGTTGGCGGTATGTATCTTCCACTGTATTATCACTATTTTCTTACCTCTGCGCAGATTAACCGTGGAGTCAGCGCTTTGTATGCGTGCTGCTAAAAATTCTGACTACAACGCGCTCGATGCACCCAAGAAGACAGGAACAGGCGTCCTCCAAATCCTTGATCACGCGGACGTCGGCGCAACGCGTAGCTCGACACCAGACTCTCTCAGGAGCCCCAGCCCCGATGCAATTTCATATCCAAACGCTGTCATTTCGTTAACAGTTTACAACCGTATCTCTTATCTTCCAGGCTTCTTGACGCGCTCCTCACAACACGCTGTACTGTCAACGCAAACATTGGGTGATCTACTGCGCGTCCTGCCGTGCGCCTCCAGTAATATGCCAATGGAAGAGCTAGACGCCGAAGGAGATGTATCTGGCTATAATATCACCAATCAAACAAGAGACCACGTCGGATGTTTGTTCTGCATCGAGGACCTTATCTACGGAGATGGCAGAGAAACAGCCGATTATGCGGAGTATGTCAGAACAGCACCGTTGTCAACAGATTTCTAACTCCCCTTCTACAGAAAATTAATAACTCACATTCAAAAATCGCCTGAAGACAAACGGCCACAAATCAAAAAAGCCTCGACCTCTGTCAGTGAAACCACCTTCAACGCGCTCACGTTGAGAATTCACCAACCTTACTGGATACTGCATCAAGGCAATTGCGAACACTTTTTCGTCATCGATCAGATCAGGCATGCACCGTTCCGTTTTAATCCCATGAAATCTCTAAATATCATACACAGACTCGCCCACGCTTCAGATCCGCCGTCAGGCTATCCATTGATGCTCCACCTCGCCCCAACGGTTCAAGATCTCTGTCGTGCCTGTGGGAAAGTCCCAGCTGTACATTCAATCGTGGGTGACATGCGTCTCGGTGAAAGTCCGTGCCTCTTGTGCGCACCTTGTTGGCGCACGATGGGTCCTCCCAAAAATGATGAAGGCGTGATGATTGTACCCCTAGTAATACCTTTCATAAATCAATGAAAGGGTCGAGAGTCGAAACCCGGACATGATGTAGGCCCTAGTATATACAAAGTGACCCTGAAAATTGATGATCTGAGCCCGATAACCCCAAAAGTCAATGTTCCAGAACAAACGGCCATCAACGATGGTTCAGATTGGATCATGATTCATGCACATGTCCGGCTTTTGCTGCTTCTATTATGTACGTTGCTAGGTATGATAAGTAAAATGATAGTACACTGAAGTGCAAAAAGATCACAGCATCTCAAACGAGCGATGAATGCGTGGTAGCCTGTAGATCGATGAATAGTCTGTGTGTATGCGAACCACAAAACCCAAGTGAGCCTTAAAAGAGAATAAAAAGCGGTGTGGACCTCAACCGTCAAAAAACAAAGTGCAATTTGCGATCGAGGTCTCCACGACCACTTCACCGATTTGTTCCTCCAGAATGCCTCCTGAGTCTGGTCCCCAGCCTATCCAACCATATGTCCGTGTGTCAGAAACATAATTCGGTAAGAAGCTGCGGGCCAAAGTCGCATCGAATGGATCCAAAGAAGAGGCAGTACCCTGAGTCACTGACACAGTGCCTAGTTTCGCGTCGGCTTGAAAAAGGCCCTGAAAGTACTGATCAAACATGGCATCGACTGGACCAAGGTCATTCTCCAGGCGTAACTTTAAAGCCGTTGGTGGTGATGTCGGATCGTGTACGAAACTCGCTGTAGCTTGGCCATAAAAAGTACGAATATTTGCAATGAAGTTCGGACGCTGGGGAGGACTTCTGTTGGGTGCGTTCAGCGTGACGTTCGCCGTCAGGTTGCTGAAAAATAGTGTTTGGTCGAGAAGGATTTTTTTGAATTTATGAGCCACGAACCTATTGCCAGTGTTGACTTCGAGATATGTTGGAAATCTCGAGTCTGGATCATTGAAGAGGGAGGCGTTAACATTGATAGGTCTATAAAAGATATATCAGCCGCATGCGTTCAAAGATGAGGAGAATACATACGCCTGTATCGTGCTCACAGTAAGGGAACGTGAAGCTGCAAACTGACCAAAAATTGGCTCTAAAGATGTTTCAACCAGTATTTCGCTGGCTTCGATAGACTTCAAAGCAAATGAGAAATAGATAAATGAGGGATAAACATGACCACTTACGCCGACGAAAATTCTGGAAACAGGGCCTTCTATATAAACCTTCTTGAAATTGACATAGCCACCAAGATTGCCAAACGTTTGAGTGAAGAAAGGTAGGTAGGTAGCAAAAGAGTCGACTTGAGCAGTTATAGATGTTTGTGGGTACAGCAGTGTGATGTTGAAGAGTAGTTGATCATTGAAGGACATGTTATCTGGTATCTGCTTCATGTCAGTATGAGATTCGCTGCAGCAGAATAACGCTACATACATAGATAGCAAGGCCAGTAGCGTCGTTTGACAGTGCAGAGCAAACTTGTGTCTGGTCGAAGAGGTCATCATTGGATGCTTGCATCTGGACCGATATGGTGGTATCGGTCACGGAGATATTGGGGTTTATGCCGACAAACAGATCACCCAGGACAATATTCATGCTACTCGGGTACGATGCATTCGATGTGATGCTGAATCGACCGTCAGGTGATACGGTATTTAGAAGCCTAGGAAAGAGAGTCATGTTTGTTCCCCCAGTGATTGAACGTAAACGCACTGTCCAACCGTAGAATGTTGCGCATCGTCGAGTTTTCCGATAGTTGCCCACCCGTTGCAACTTCCATTTGCAAGGTAGGTTGAGAGGTTGTTGATATTTGTGACGTAGTGTGTTGTTGTAGTGATCTTCTCTAGCCAAGGAACAGCATAGTTAGAGGTGTAAGAGAATGATTTAGCGTTTTCCTGGGAGGTCTGAGTAGTTTGAGAAGACAGGTAGCGCATACAATAGATATACTGACCTTAACGATGAGGGGTATACCAATGACGATTGAAAGGATAATATACATACCCAAAGCGGCTATGCCAGCCCTCCAGGACCTGGAGTCGACAAAGCGCCGCTTTGGAGGACGTTTGTAAAAGGTGACCAAGGAGTCGTTGTTGAGATCATTGAAGGCCAAGGCCTGAGAGGTTTCATAGTCAGGCAGAGGACTGAATGGACGACGGCCTGCCGCGCGCTCTGGATAACGAAGAGCGGGAGTTGTGACGGGAGGATCCTTTGAATTCAGGAGGTCGTCTTCGTCCTGTATTATCATCCCTTCGAATTCACATATGGGCCGTTAACGAAGGTGAAAGCGACGAAAAGAACAACGATGCGAAAGGTAGTGGTAACTCACTCGGGCGTGGGAGTTGACGGCACTAGGACTTTCTTATTACGTAATAGCACCGCCCATCTCAGGCACAGAACTAATATCGCGCGAATCGCGACGCCGACATCACTGGATTTTTGATGGGCTAATGGATATGTCGTGCTCGAGTTGGAGTATACGTCAAACCCGAAGACGTAGCCTAGTAGATATGGCGACGCCATCTTAGACGACCCGGCTTGAGTCACCTAACAAGATGCAGATTTTCTGTTGATCAAGGTAATTGAAGGCGGGACACTTTGGCACGTTTTCGAAGCCCAGACGCCCACTACAGAGAACCTTGTAAATCACACACTACAGCGCCCTGCTGTTGCTTTTGTATTGCCTATTGCACAACACCGATGTGCATCGATATATATATACCAGCCACGTCACAAGTCGCACACCGGCATATAAAATGAAAAGTTAAGATCATATTTGGAACGCAACGGTACGATACACTCGCTCGTACTAATGAAGAATGTAAAACGTTGGAGGCCAGTTGAAGACCGAGAAGTCGAGACAAAACATGATTCGGTTGTTGAAACCAGGTCTACTCAATGGTAATAAGGAAAAGATGGTAGACATTTACCAGATACGAGTCTCCAAGAGCAGATCACTGTTACCCTCGAGCCCAATGCAGGCCTTCAAGAAACTCTCGAGCGCGTTACGCTGTCTGCCGAGGCTGTTGACAACATCAGTGCCTGGGAGCGTGCATTAGCGTGATGATCGACTATAAACGGAACCTATGCCCACCAGGCTTAACAAGAGGCGCCTTGCACATGTATGAGAGCAGCGACAAGACAGAGTGAAGGGGCGCAAAATCATTCTGACCCTCTCCGCGGTACTTGACGCGAGTAAGCAGCTCAGTAAGGATAGTCAAGTCGAGAATCAAAGGCGTCGCAAGTAAAGAGTCCTGCAACAGCAATAAGTATTTGGTGACATAAAAAAAAAACGCGCTTCATACCTCACACTCGTTGAAGATGTTGATGGTTTGTCTCCCGCCACAGAAGATCTCAGAGTAGTACTCGTCGATTGCTCTCTTCGAGTCACCAACTGCAGGCACGTACTTAATCACAACAATGTGATCAGGGTGCTCGCCTTTGGCCGCTTTGCCCGTTGCACCCACGGCAGGAGGTTTGTAGAGTAAACGGTTGGCATCCACCATATCATCCACAACACTGCTCTTGCTGATTTCCTTACTCTTGAACTGAGGCTCCGCGCTCAAATTATGCCCATCATTGTTGCCAAGATGGTTGTATGACGCGATAGAGAGCGGTTTGATACCAGCGTTCACGAGGAACTCCGCAAGCACGGATTTCAGCTTCGTTTGACCAGACTTCAGGTCATCACCGCCAATGAAAGACTTCTCACGCTCAGCCAAGGCAATAACACCAGGCACAAACGTGTTCTGAGGAGCGCCGTTAACGAATGGCTCGCCTTCGAGAATGGCAGCAACAGCGAAAAGCGTAGAGGGAGACACCTCCGAGTGCGAAGTCTTAATCGCAGCAAGCACATTGTCGGCCGTGTCATTGACGCCAGGGATGATGTCACTGTAGCGTTCCGTGTTCGCAGTCCAGAATACGACTACACGGTCAAGCTGGTTCTCGGCTTTGAAGCGGCGAATGTCAGCACGAATGTGCTCGAGATGAGCCTGCTTGTCGGTGCCAGGGACGACATTGTCCGCACGCGCTTCCTGGTTGGCAGCAATGAAGTCGGGATAGTAGATGGAAGGAAGGGGACGACCGAGCAGAGCCATATGCGGCTTGACCTGGCGCTGAAGATCATAATCGAGCACCTTAGCACGTTCCATCGCCTTGTCCATGGGCAGGCCGGAAATGTCCCAGCCACCAAGAACAAGGTCGTTGGGGTGTACCATGGGAAGCACGTCGGAGACGGGGACGTGGACTTCCTTACCGGTGCTCGGCTCAGTGCCAATGCGAACGGTGGATGCACGGAGGACAGAGCCAATGTAGTTAGGCTGCTGAATTCCCTCCTTGGTGTGCCAAGCGATCTGGTGCCTGTTCGCGATGATGGTCGCGCAGAGAGTGGAGCCATTGTTGCCACCCAAACCAATCATCATAAGTCTGTTGCGCGTCCACGTCAGATGATAGCATATTTGTAATTCAATAAATGATATACCCAGTCTTGCCAACCTTGCGGGTGGTTTGGAACTCATAAGGCTTGACAGTAGGCAAAACAGTGAACTGGCCATCTGAGACTACGACATCAGCACCACGGTTGAGGTACTTTGCGGTGATATGGTCGTTGGTGTAGATAGTATTTTCGGACTGAACAGTGATGTAGTCGGGGCGACGAACGGCGGTCGGATGAATTGGGACGATGGACTCCAATTCAGAATCGGGGGTATTGTAACCCGAAGAGTTTGTGGCGGGAAGTTGAGTAGACATTGTGGTGAGTATATATACGAGTGAGATTGGGCCAAAAACGATGAAGACGAAGTCAATGAGCAGCTAAAAAGCCTGCACAGGAATGCTTGGAGCCTCGGTGGGGGTTGTGGGGACTACCGAGTTGGTTCGAGTACATGCAAAGAGCTCGGAAAACTCTTGAGTATGAAGGTGTCTGACACCAGAAGCTACGATGAAGACAACTATGTGGATGACTAGAGCAGAGAAGCTGGGGAAAAAGTCAGTTGATACTTGGGGTTTATATAGGCAAAAATGGGGTTAGGTCACGATTATATGAGCACAACGGTTGGAATATGGCCGTTAAAGAAAAAGAGGGTCAGGGACGAGTAAGGCTGGCAGACATCAAATTTATTGTAGTTAAACCTCATTGATCCCGAATGACAGCATGCACATTTACGCGTTATCTTGAAATGGGAATAGCAGGATCTTAGCTTGTACGTTTTATCTTCGCCGCATCACGGCGAAGGACACCCAACAACATGTGTTTTGGAGTCGAAGTTGTTCTAGCACAACAGCCTGTATTATGGTTTTAGTAATTCAGTACTCGTTCTTTACCAACGTTCTGCTCGGATTATCGTTATAACGTTACGGACACGCACGCGTAAACCCTCGGAGCGTAAATTCGGTACTTCGGAGACTGGAGGGACTACTAGTGTAGTCCTCGTAGCACCAAGGATCAGTAGGCAAATTTATTTTCACTTGTTTCAGTGCACGCTAAGGGCTGCAAGTTATAAGGGTGATCATCACATAGAAATATCGTCATGTACATGTGTCACCATCGCCCATATACGGTCGTCCAACGTTCGATGTTATATAACTCAGTGAATCATTTCAAAGTTCAGCATTCATTTATTCGCGAAGATCATTTCCACTCCTTGACCAGACTAGCGATCTCGACTTCCACTTTGAGCGCTCAACGCACAGGCGAAGTATCAACGAGCTCGATTGAGCCTTCTGCAGGTGTCTGTTCCCCGCGCAGGGTCACTGGTGAAGCTCGTATTGGCGCGTGAAACCGCTGCGATCCTCCTCATCTCGCCAGGGTTGTTATACTGTACGTTCAGGGCGCAGATGCGAGTCCTTGGCATCGCACGGTAACTCCATCCTGACATGTCCCCCAATTCCCTTGGTCCGCCTGCAAGGGTGGGCATCTTGTCTCTGCAATGATCAATACTGATAACACACTGACTATTGATCCACAAGTGTCAATGAAGCCCCTCTATTAGCTAGTAATCTGAGATGGGGTGCTGCATGCCACAGAATCACTCACTGATATAAGCATCCGCGCCTGCATTCGATTCGCAAGGTCTTATTGGCATGATTGATGGCTCATCTGTCGATATTGAAATACTTCCGGACATTGAGCACGATTCCACGCCAGTGGATGCAGTTACCACGAGTGGTGGCTGCTAAGTATCGATATCAAAGGGGAGTTAGCCTGGTGGGAACCATGAAGACAATAGGAAGTGTTATCTCCAACCAAATGAAAGCGGAGCAATACGTGATATTGCTTATCACAAAGATATTTCATCTCGTAAATGATTCTGTATCAGATTAAACAAATGAGTCCGAAATGGTTCATAGCTCTGTCCGCAACGGAAACATGGCATTATGTAACTGCTGCCATACCTGCAAAAATATGCTAAAGCAAGACAGGGTGTGTTTTTTGCACCTCCATACTAATCGTTGGAGGTAGCGCTGCATCGTTTCCAGGGATATTGTGTTTGAGGGTGAAGGAGAGGGTGAATGAGGAGTATGCGATTTTCTAGGAGTTGATTCATGTGGAGGTGACTTCCGTGGCTGAGGCAGCCTGTGAGTGCCGCAATAAGAACATAACGAAGAACATACATTGCCAACAACAGCCCTTTCAGCCTCTTCAATTAGGTGGTTGGCATCGGATTCGGCAGTCTTCTTCCACATATCTCGGAAGATTTCCACGGCCTGCAAGCTCTCGCTGAAGCGATGTAGAGTATTAATAAGGGCGACGACTTCCGACCGCTGTAGATGATGATGATTTTTATGCGGACTGATTTGAAGAAGGTTAGTTCATGCAAGGGTTATGCGTCAACTACCTACTCAAGAGCAGTCTCATCCATCTCAAAGAGAATTTTGAGCGCGGTTGCGAGTCCGATAGTTTGTACTTTGCCCCATAAACGGCACTTGTCACATCCAACGCAGTCCATGATCCTCGAAACATTTCGGAAGTGCATTTTGAACTCTTCTTTCAAGATCTAGAAAGACGGATAAGATTTCAGTGCATGGATATTACCTTGAGATATTGCTCACGTTCGCGTTTTCGCCTCTGAACAATACCCGTTCGTCAAACTTACCGACATGCTCTGCAATATCGATGACTTTGCTAAGAGTCCCAAGTGTTTTGGCTTCCTCCTGGATGTCTTCCGGGAGCACGTGGTCGTGAGACGTGGGCATAGACATTGAACAATAGTCATAGTCACGTAGGTACGGACCAATGCGTGATACAGCGCGTAGGAGGAGCACAGTGTTGAAGTAAATATATTGAAGTCTCTCAGGGTGAGAGGCGATGCGGGTGACGAAGCATTCGAGATTAGGGCCCTGTCACATATGATGAGCTAGGGGTGAAATTCAACTGGACTGCATACCATCTCTCCGGTTGTTTGATTAAGGTATTCCAGGCAGATATGAGTTGAGATAGATGCATGCAACCCAGATATAATCTTGTAATACACTCTCTTCTCAAGACATTCGCCATCTGCGTTTTCTCCGTTAATAGGCTCTCGTAAGACATCGGTAAGGGTATCAGGAAGTGTGACTTGTGCGGGAGAACGAGTAGTCAACAAGTTCAGCTCTGAAAGGCCGAAGCAATTTTCCTCGTATATCGATTTCCAGACCCGATGCGCAGAAGGACCTGAGTAACCCGTATAACGCTCGGGGACTAGCGTCAGGTCGACGTATTCACCCTCTACAAAAGAATCATCATCACACAAAAATCAGAATATGGTGAAATACGCACCTGTCATATCATCAAGAAAACAAAAATCAGAATCGCGATAATAGCATCCAGGTAGAAGGACACGCTGTACAAATTATGAAAACGTCGTCTCACAGAATACACAAGACCTACCTCTTCCAAAGGTGGCAATTCTATCTTACTCAGAGCAGCCGCTCTCCACCGCTCTGGTATCTCACTCTATAACAGGACTTCAGCTGAGTGAACTTAAATGAGATGAGACGACAAATTGGGTATACCTCATCTACTGTAGTGATACCACATTCCCTATTCATACAGAACCCATTCTCTTGCCAGAAAGGGCATTCACGATAGAGGTCCGCCTGATAAACGATTGAGTGATGCTCGAAGCTGTCCGAGTCTAGAACGTACCTGGAAATACTTGAAGAATGGCATCTGCACTAACTCGCTGAGCACACTATATAGTTCCCCATTCACACTCTCTATCGTCTCGTAATCACATAAGGTAGTTTCTATCGGACCAGTTGTCTACAGAGACACGTGGATGAATGATATGTCCAGTCGTACACATAAGTACTACATACCGAATGCTGACAAAGTGGTTCTCCACGAACAGACTCGTGTTCAAGAACATTTTGAACTGGATTGTGTCGTATAAGGCTGTCTCCAAGAAATGAACTTGGGCTGACGCCTACAGCGGCCAACGCGGAGAATGCGAGAGCCAGATATGCTCTACGCCAGAGACAGAGCATGTGAAGAGTTGGGAGTTTGTATAGTGGTGGGAAAGATTCCTGGGAGGCTAGTAAAGAATGTGTATACGCTTTGGAATTTGTAAATTGCCTTCGTCGTTAACTGGGACTCTGAAAGTGATGCCTTCATATATCTAATAAGTAATCGCAGGTTCCACGTCGGATATCCCTAAAAGTCACGTGAACAGGAAAGACATACAGAGTGATGCTGTGCATGTGACTTGTTACCGGTTTACTATTCGACTCGTATGTAAAGGCTGGACTCTGCAAACCGTGTCGGAGAAGCACGAAGCTCTTTCTATATATTATCGTCTTCATTGTCCTGCTTTACATGTCTCCATTGTACAATTCGTCGAGCTCACGTTCTTTGCGCACATCATCCTCTGCCATTTCTTTAACACTTGTGCCTGTGAATGTCCTCCAACCCATCTGCGCGCTTTCGCTTCCTACAGCCTACGGACATTAGCGCTCAGCGCGACGGACTTCGATTGGAGTCACCGCCACAACACTTATAACAATCCTCTACACCTACACCAGCCCTGCATCTTGCGGAACCAGTACTGTGTCCATTTTTCTTCATGGAGATCATGAAAATTGGGACCCGCGGCTCCCTTTGCTCCTAGGAAGCAAACCAGACGCTATCGTCGGTCTGAATACTGGGCTTACTAATTCCCCAGCGTGGCAGTTCGTTACCTTGTGCTGTCACACTGATAATACGCTTTTTGCCGTCACCGAATACACAGAACAATACGCCGAACTTCAAAGAGATGCAATTCCCAGATCATTGCCCGTGCCCTCCCTCGCTTACACTCAGCAGGTATGAATGGATCGGAGATTTACAATCTTACGCGGCCCAGAGGAATACCCCATCGCATTTAATCCATTCCAGCATCCTGGACAGAGAAACTTGGGCTCAGTGCGCTTGCCGAACGTATCGAACGGGTTGACAATGAGAGTGGTTGGCTGACGACGAGCAGGAGACAATCCACTCCGTATCCGCTGGTGTCCCTGTACCAGTTCCAGACATGAGCAAGCTGCTCCAGAAGACGGACCAGTTTTCGCTAAACCGTTTGGACCGAGTATCTTGGCATCTATACACATATATATATCTACTTGAGATGCGTCAAATGACGAACACTACATCGAGTAGGCAATACTTTCCATCACACATCCAGAGGATCTGTAGTGCCTTTACAGGACCCTGACTATTTCCACTATATGCACGTAGTTTTTCCAATTGGAACTCAGATTTTTGCATTGTATTCCAGCAAGTGCAGCACTCCCAAATTCAAGAGAATTCTCCTTGAGGGAAGAAGCTGGACGGCAATCACTATACACTCCGAGCTTGATTGCAGAAGAAAACTACGTTTCAGACGGTTCCAATACGTGTGCTTTATGTCTGAGTCATTGACCTGATATGCTCATGCATCTTCGTTACAGCCTCCAACTTCCCTTCCTCAAACTGTTTGTGCTGTTCGATGACCATCCGCGCTGGAATGTATGGGTCATCCCGAACAAGGCCCTCCATCGTCACCTTCGTGTATTCTTCGAGTGAAAGCCAGAAATTGGATAGACGTTGCGTTGTGCCTTCGACTAACGCGCAGGTCAAGGGAGAGTAGATACGGAAAACTGGAAGGGAACTCACAATCGTGCAACTCCGACTCGACGAGTCTTTAACAGGCAATGAGATCCACGATAACGGAACAAATAGTGTCACCCACGGAGGAATAATCTCGACTACGTGAACATTCTTCTCCTTAAGCTGAGCAGCGCGCCTAGTCTTGCAATTCCACAAGAAGCGCATACTGTAACGTTCGCTCACGGCATCCTCACAGAATGGAAGATGAGGGCAGGACTGTGAGGATCTGGAAAAAGCAGGGCTATGCCAAAGAGAATGTGGAGGGTGAAGGGGACCGTGACGATGAACTGGTATGGGTTCTGGGCGCAGCTTTCCGGCATGTTCGGATGTCGAGTGCTCCGAGTCAGCGCTTGACGTTGCACGCGCAGGCCGCAAATGGGTGATGGAAATCAGTGCCTTGAGAGAAGTCAGCACTATCAGCGAAGGCAATGATAGCAAAGCATACGACGATATGTATGGAAGAGTTGACAGCTTGTTGACAGATGAGGTCGGTGGAAGTGTCCTGTTTGCTTTAGCACAGCATGTGGAGGCAATATTTGGTGGGCAAGTAGTGTATCTATCTGGCTCATGTGGTCGTCACATCAGTGGCAGAGTACTGAAGGGGCAGAATTCATCAATCACAGCACAGAAGGACATAAATATCTCGTATAAAGATTTAATTTGCTCACCCGGTGCGGTAACGTGCATCATTCTACAGAAATCAGAAGCAAATGGCCATTCTGATTCGGACCATTTATGGGGACGAGTTGCACTGAAAGCAACCAATACTGGAAGCTAAAATATACAGCCAATCCGGCAGTTAGATGTATGGGCTCGAGAATGTCGTCGTCAACGGTGCACGAAGCAGTACAAAATTGCCGCCCCGGTCATCGGGACCAGGTTGGGTTTCGAACTCCGTCAGGGCCTAATTACCGTACATACCCTACCGTGATAGTACGTATACTTAGACTAGTACTTACTAGCAAGCTAAGGATGAAGATAAGGGCGTGACACTACTCTTAATTTGTCACTCTGAGCTCTTGGTGCTCGATTCCATGCAAAATGTTCAAGCTCAAATTGAGCTCAAGTCAAGTCTCAATTCAATTCCTCGTTCATCGGTATCATTTTCTGTCAAATGAAAGCGGATCTAATACCAGTAGGATGAGCGCTGCCATATGCTTGGGACAGCTCCTGGAACGTTCAACTTCATTATGGAGAAGGTCCTGCAGACGCGTGTGCATAAATACCTCGCAGTCGATGTTTGTACAGCTTTGAATTGTATACCCACACTCCCATTAAGATGTCGCTGTCCCACTGGCAAGTCACTGTGACATGCGGCGGAATTGGAATCCTCTCGGTACTTGCTCTCTGGAAGACGTTTGGGGGCTCATCAAGAAAGTACAGCGTCGACCTCGATGGCCCCAAGGAGGCCCACTGGCTGACAGGTTCTTGACTATGGTTATACTCGTCTTATCATGTGGCTGACTTGGGGATGCCAGGAAACGTCCGGAAATTGTTCGAATGTGGCCTTGACTATTGCGTGAAATTGGCTGAACAATATGGTGGTGCGCTCAAGCTATCAAGTCTATACGGAGTAAGTTCAGATGTGAAGCGCTGTTACTCTGCAACATCCTTGTGAATGCTGCTCTCCGCAGGAAGTAGTGTATCTATCTGATCCACTGGCATTGTATCATGTGATCATAAAAGATCAGCATAGCTTTGAAGAACCTGATGTATTTATCATGTCAGTATTCTATTGCTCTTTCACGGCCGAATATATTGACTTCGCGTTGTAAAGGAACAACAAGGCAATGTTCGGAGATGGTCTAATATCCACTATCGGTGCGAGATCATATTACGACAGGGATCCATGAGAGGTGTCTGATAACATGTATAGGGGAGCAGCATCGAAAACAGCGCAAGCTACTCAACCCTGTCTTCTCGACCTCGAACATGCGAGAATTACTACCTACATTGCAACCCATTGCGCACAAGCTGACCTCTATTGTCGCATCTAAACTTCCGGACAATGGGTGTAAGTCCGTTCACATGCAAAACTACACATCGACATGGGCGGTTTTATTTAACTCTTGAAACAGCATACAAAGAGATAGATGTACTCCCTTTGCTATCTCGCAGTGCACTTGATGGCGTTTGTCAGGCGATTCTTGGTTATCCAAGCAATACTCTAGATACGGGAAACGACGAATATACTGAAGCACTCCGGAAGATAAGGTATGTGGTATGAAATACAGCAATCTTCTCACGGCGGTAGTGATTTTTGACTTGGTGTTGTAGCCCCATGATAACAAAGTTCTTGTATTTCCGGCCGATTGTGCCTATGGTTATGCGCAACTTCTCATCATACTGGATAGGGAAGCTTGTGAATTTGGTCACGGCCCCCTGGATTCCCACTGACAAGATGAAAGATGTGCGAGAGATGCGACGAATCATTGAACTCATGGACAGTGGTAGCAAGAAAGCTTTTGCGGGGAAAAAGGCAGCACTAGAGACACCAGTTACTTTAACCCCCGCTAAGGTGCAGCCTGAAGTTGATGATCTCAAATCGGGTAGGAGGAAAGATATGATGGACATCATGCGTTAGTTCCAAGATGTTCCGATCCGTATGTTACTAAGGCATACACAGTCAACGTAAACTCTGCGTCTTCCAGTTCAGAGCAACTCACCGATGCCGAGCTATTGGGACAAATGAAGTAAGCCACCCGCTCATTATAAACATGAAAATGCTCCAACTCATCTAATTGTAGCGTTATGGTATTTGCTGGCCTAGATACGACTACCTCCGCTCTGTCTCGTTGCATTTACCTACTTGCCAAGAACCCGCTCGCCCAAGCTCGATTGAGAAGTGAAATTCGTGATGCCATCAAGTCTGCGTCTCACGCACAGGAAGGTTCCTCGTTTTCCGAGCACGACAATCCACTTCTTCACTTGTCATACGATGCGCTCATAAATCTCCCATTCCTCGACGCAGTTGTCAGAGAGACATTGCGGCTTTATCCTTCTCTACCGCACATGGGCCGAAAGTATGTCGTTCATTATCACCAGAACTATTAGCTGAGTTTGTATATCAACAGAGTGGTCAAGGCAACTACTCTTCCTCTTCAATTTCCTGTTCGCTCGTCATCCGGAGCAGAAATATCTTCCATTGCGCTACATGAGGATGTGTTCGTTATCATCTCTATTTTAGCTGCAAACCGCAATCGAACTTTGTGGGGTGATGATGCGAATGAGTGGAAGCCTGAGCGATGGCTTTCTTCCCCGGGGAGAAAGGATGGGCCAGGCACGGATATACCCTCCGATAGTGCCGACGTACCGTTATTGAAGTTATCCGCACCTATCCTTGGGGTTAAAGATGGCATCAAGTATCCTGGTGTTTATTCCAACATGTCAGTCTTTACCTGTTAGGTCATAGCATAGTGCGTTCGCTGACCATACGCAGGATGACTTTCCTCGGCGGCAGTCGTTCCTGCATGTAAGTCAAACCCATGACATCCATCTGCGTACTAACGTCGTATTTACAGCGGGTTCAAGTTCGCCGAAATGGAAATGAGTAAGCTCTTACATATTGCGTATGGCTGTCGAGTCTAACCAATCTTGACTCACCAGAGCAAATCATTGCTGCGGTCGTGCTTCGTCTGCATTTTGTGCTCCCAACTGATCCGGATGCCAACGGACATATCAAAGAAATTGAGTGGAAGTTGAAGGCGTTTCATACACCTGTCGTTAAGCCACCAGCTGGAGATGGGGTATCTCCTGCGGTTCCTCTCAATTTTCGACTGGTGCAAGAGGAAGACTTTAAATGGTAGGATTGTATTTATCTTCGTGGTGTGGATGCTCTGTGGTTTGGTATATGTTCTGACGCTCTGTATAATATTTATTCTCAAAAATTGTGCATGCTTACTGGTTACTAGTTGGTTTAACTCTACCGCTACTACGGTATATACCTTTAAAATTGATATCAATGTGTACACAAAGGGGATCGAGTTATGAACGTCTTCATCGTGCTATTCGCATACGAGCCTGCAGTGTGAGGTCACAACCGATCCCGTAAGTTTAACAAAATTAGTATACGTGATGTGATGTTTCGCACGAATATAACCTCCTATTAGGCGAAAACCCATTCGGGCTTCGACACGTTGTCCGTCGTTTTCCGGTTTACCAACACATTTCCCTACTTGTTTCCTACTCTCTTAATTTTTTGGATTTTTGTCTACGCGTTGAGTTTAGTTCAACGCAGGTATTTCTCGTCATAGGTTCTGTGCTTTGGACACCCGTAAGCCTCGAAACATGCAACTCACCGCAGCTGAACTCCAGGTCAGTCAGTTTAATCCATGTGTACCAACGTATTGGCCTGATGGATATTATTTGTAATTTTAGAAGAGACACGAACTCGAAGGAGCTCCTGACCCGTTCCCCTCTCTTGGGGAGGCGGCATCCAAGCCCAAACGTGTCGTTCAGGTCCCTACTGATGCAGACTCGCAGGCGGATTTCCCGACTCTCGCCACCTCCGCGCCTGCTGCTGCTGCACCTGGAAAGTCTGCCTGGGGTTCTGATGCTGGCCCTCGCATCAAGGCTACTGTCAAATCCACACCACTCATCACAGATTATTTCACGGTCACTCAAGCCGAGCTTCCCGCCAAGGATGGTAAACAAACTTCGGTTGGTGAAGCCATGAAGCAGGTCATGGCAAAGTACAGGGTTAGAATAGAGGCATCGACAAATCAGAGTCGGCAGACTACCTTTCACATGAAGGGTGAGACTCAAAAGGACCTCGACAAGGCTAAGCGTCACTTGCTAGCTGCTTTGAGCCCTGTGGTACATCACAATAATCTTGAGCTACCTCTTCCTGCATCCTAATCGTTTTATTAGGTTACTTTGATTTTGAATGCCCCCGCGTCTACTATTGCAGCTATAATCGGGCCGAAGGGTAAGGCTTTACACTCGCTAGCATTTCATGTATTTACTGTTCATAATTATAGGCGCGACTCTCAAGAAGGTTCGCGACGCTACAGGTGTCAAGGTTGACATTCCTCCCAAGGACGGTACCCCCAACGGAAATGCAAGCGAAACAAACGGAACTACTACCCCCCTCCCAGGCGACGAGGAAGAGGAGGTTATGGTACCCGTCACTATCATCGGCCCGCGACCGCTTGCATTGGAAGCTCAGGAAATGCTCAATGAGATCATCGCTTCTCGACCCTCGCAACGTACTCAAAAAGTTCGAGATATTCCGGCTCACATTCTACCTTTCATCCTTACTTGTCGCACCCACTTTATGGAGGAATCTCACGGTTATCATGTCGATCTCGCTTTGAATAAACCTGAGCGGGAGATCACTGTCAGTGGAGATCGCGAGGGCGTCGTTCGTGTCGCCGAGACCATTAAAGCTACCATCGAAGTGTTCAAGACAAGCATAACCAACCTCAAGATTTCTTTGCCCAAGCGCCAGCATCGTCTCCTTACTGGTAAAGCGGTCGACGATATTTTGGCGCAGAGCAAATGTGTGGTTGAAGTCGCTTCTCCGGAGGATCCTAGCGACGAGGTCACAGTGTGGGGTTCGGCAGTTGATCTTCCTACTGGTTTGGGTGCCGTTATGACCAAGGCAAATTCGCAATTCATCCACGAGTTCCCTCTACCTGGTCCCGTGGCGGTTTCAAAGCAACTTCTCACGTATATGGCACGGATCGACTACGAGGTAACCTTGGCTAACGATCATCCTGATGTCTCGGTCTTTACACCGTCTCCTGCCACCATTGCCCAAGCATCAGTTCTCAATATCGACATCGTTGGCGAGAAATCCGCGGTGGACGCGGTGATTAAACAGATCTCTCAGTTCATTGGGAAAGTCTTCGGTGCGACGAGGGAAGTTTCGATTGATTGGCTCATCCACCGCGTTATCCAGGGTAAAAATGCCAAGAAGTGCGTTTAATTTGCGATATAGCTGAAGTACGAAGCTGATTCCATATGACTAGATTGAAGCAATTCCACGAGGCACACAATGTCCAAGTCTTCTTCCCTCCGGAGTCCGGCGAGCAATCCGAGGTCTTGTTGGTTTACGATCCCCTTTCTCCCTCGGCGTCGCCCTCGCCCGTGGAGAAAGGCAAGCATTTGGATTATGTTGTGGAAGAACTCCTCAAGATGGCCAAGGAATTTGCCGATGTGAAAAGCCAGAAAATCTCGGTCGAGAAGCGCTGGCACGAAACCGTCGTCGGTCAAGGAGGCACCACTTTGAATGCGTGAGTTCGCCTCACATGGGACGACTGTATTTACAAATGTGTTTCAGCATTATTGGTGAAGACACAACGCTCTCTATCAAGGTTGGCGCAGAAGTTGGCGACGCATCTGATGAGGATGTCATCCTTGTCCGAGGCGTCAGCATCGACGTCGATCGTGCCGTCAACGAGATTCTCAAGGTCGTCGAAGATGCCAAGAATGATGCCATTGTCAGCAGCTATGTGGGTATTAGATGTTGTAGTTATTGCTCTGGCTGATTCATTCTACACAGTCCATTGAATTCGACATTGATCGAGAGTATGTTGGCCGCGTCGTCGGCGCACAGGGTTCAGGTGTCAACAAACTTCGCGACTCTCTTGGTGTCAAGGTTGATTTCTCGGACGAAGACGAGAAGGAAAAAGAGGCAGGCAAAAAGAAGAAGGTCACTCATCAGAAATCCAGGGTCAAGGTAGTCGCTCCACGTGCCGTCTTTCCTCTCCCTATTTCTCACTGTATTTGCAAACAGATCACAGGTCGCAAGGAGAATGCAGAAGAAGCCAAAAAACGGATTTTATCGCAAGTTGAGAGGCTCGTAAGTCGTGGCATCATTCGACATTCCCGTTTCTGACACTCTCCCAGGCTGATGAGACTTCTGAAGTCTTGAAAATACCCAACCAGTATCACGCCCAGCTCATTGGTCAGAGTGGCAGGTATGCTATTCGGCTAGAGGAAAATTATGGTGTCAAGATCACATTCCCTCGTTCATCCGGCGAGAACGGGGAGGGCAAGACCAGGGAGCAACTCAAACCTGATGAGGTCCTCATTAAGGGTGGCAAGAGGGGCGTTGCTAGCGCAAAGTCTGAATTGCTTGACGCTCTGGAGTTTGAGAAGGAAAACAACAAGGTTCTCACATTCGATGTTCCCACTCGTTCTGTCTCTCGTATCCTTGGCAAAGGTGGTGCCAGCATCCTTGAGATCAAGGATGTCACCGGAGCTCAAATTGATGTCGATAAAACCAACGACGGGATCGGTTCTCTCACACAAATTACAGTTCGTGGTACAAAGGACGCAATTAATGCCGCGAAGACCGCCATCCTGGCTATAGCCGATCAAGTGGGCGAGGAAACCACGACATCCCTGGTCATTGAGCGCAAGTTCCACCGTAACATCATAGGTGCTGGTGGGCAGGGTTTGAAAGATCTCATCAGCAGGTGTGGTGGTCCGTCTGACACTAAACTCCAAGCTGGCCTTGTCCGTTTGTATGTTTGTTCAACTTATATATTGGCGTTTGCTAACATCCTCCCAGCCCTCGCCAAGATGAAGCCTCTGACGAGGTTCGCCTCCGTGGAGAGCCCAAGTTGGTTAACAAGGTCAAAGAGGAACTCGAGAAAATCGTGGCCACGTTACGTGACCGTGTTGTTTTGGCCGTGGAGGTCCCTGCGTCGCAGCACCGTAACTTGATCGGCAGAGGTGGCCAACATTTGAATGATCTTCAGAACCGCACTGGAGTTCAAGTACAGTTCCCTGGGTCACGCTCATACAATCAATTTGGTGACCCCGAAAATGCAAGTGAGATGGCAGACGTTGATCCGGCCAATATCGTCAAGATTTCTGGTGCCCGCAAAGCCTGCGAGGCGGCGGTGGAAGAGCTCAAGGTATACAACACCCCTTTCATAATTTTTTGCTTCTTATGTTCCTCGCAGACCAACGTGAAGCCTGCCGCTCCCGAGGTCATGACGGCGATTGTCTCAGTACCACTGAAGTATCATCACGCCATTTCACAGCAGGGCCACTTCTTCCGTACTTTGCGCAACTTCGGGGTTTCCGTCGAGCAATCTGGCAAACCTCAGAAGCCAGCAGTCCCTGCTGCTCCCCCTCAAAATGACTCTACGACTGCCCGCATTGATGATTCTGAGGATACGCCATCTATCGAAATCCACTGGCAGGTCGCCGAAAACTACTTGGATGCTGAGGAAGGTGACTCGGAGTGGACTTTGAAGGGCAACGATGCTGCTGGTCTGGAGCGGGCCCAGAGCCTTATCCAGGAGGCTATTGCGCAGGCTGCAGCCATGACCTGTGTGGGCTTTTTGACTCTCCCCGATCGCTCTGCATTCCGAGAATAGTGGGCTCAAAGGGGTCTAACGTCGCTCGCCTTCGAAACGAGACTGGAGCTGACATTACAGTTGGCAGGGAAAACAGTACTATAATCATTATTGGTAAGTCGGTTTTATCCATGCAAGATCACTGGTTTGACATCGTATTGTAGGGTCTGAATCTGCTGTCGAAGCTGCCAAAGAAGCTATCTTGAAGCAAACATCTTCTGGCCGTCCTCCACGCCACTGAGATGTCAATCATGTCCATTGATGTTGGGTTTTAGGTGTACATCATGCTGTTGTGTTTAAACCATTGACAAACCACACACTATCTTGTTATGATATTCTCTGCAATACAATGGGACGGATATTGGAATATTGAACCTCTCAAAGAGGGACACCGTCAACGTCATCGACATCATCTGCATCAATGGGCGATCCATCAATGTCTTCCATCGGCTCGCCGTCGACATCAGGGTCCTCGCCGTGATCAAGAGGAACGCCGTCAATGTCATCATCAAGGGGTGTACCATCCACATCCAACGGCTCTCCATCCACATCCATGTCTTCGATCGGTTCGCCATCGAGATCATTAGTATCGTCCGCGACATCAGGGGTTGTCTCGGTTATTTCCTGCGCAGGCTGGAAAGATTTCGCTTTGAACTTGGAAACATATGAAGATTGCGCCTCGGCTGCAGCAACGCTAGGCATCGTCTTCTGCCTTCGGCTTGTTCAAATCAGCCTGCGTGGTGCCATCCAGCCTAGCACGCAGTTCTGCAGTGAAGTCTGGAGCAAAGACTATCCAGTCTTCCCAAATGTCCACTACGGCTGTGATCTGCTTCTTGAATGTTTCCGCGGTGATCCGACCAGGAAAAGAATGATAAATGGTGGCGAAATGATCGAACACTATACCCAAGCGAGACTGGAATTCCTGCCGAAACTTCCATGCACTTGGTACTGGGGCTGCCGAGTTGTGTAAAATGTCGCAGATAAGATGCAGCCGAGCAATCTTGCGTGGCACAGGTGTACCATCCACCAAGAGTGAAGAGATGATGATATCCGATACCTAACATAGTTAGAACAGAGCACTTCTTCGGACTGCAAATTGGGACTATACCTCACGAGCAGCTTCCGCGTGCTCCAAACTGAATGTCATACAACGAGCGAGTTCGCCTCTCTTGCCAGAGACACCACGAAGCATTGCTTCGAATCGTTTGCGAGCTAGCTTGCCTAGAACAGTCTTGCGAGTTCGTTCTTGCTCCGACTCTTCCGCAGAATCAGTAGAGTAGGCTGAGTTATACCCCTGGCATGTGTTTAGTATGGTTCACTAAGAGAAAGCAACGCGCACACCTCGTCGTCAAATTCTGCGCCAGTAAAATCGTCTCGCTCAACTAGACCTTTGTAGAATGCGTGCCGTCGGTGCTTTTCGCAGTTTGTCAACGTCCTCACTAGAGTGATATCTTGACATACCTTGCGCTGCGTCATGAAAGAGTACCTGGGATTGTTCCTTTCCCATTCACGAAGATTTTCCTCGTACTCGGATCCATGGCCTTTGACCTCGGCGGCCACAGCACGAATGAACGTGTCGGTGACGGCAGATGCCTCATCTTCAGACTCGTGCCTCCTCGAAGGGCTGGGTGACCGTCTGTATGGACTGCGGCTGTCATAGCGTGAACGACTGTATGAGCGCCGTTGCCGCCGAGGTGAGCGACTGTCATTCAAAGAACGACTGCGGGAACGTCTAGAGGACCGATAGCGTCCCGTAGAGCGAGATCGGGAGTGACGCCTTGGCGAATGTGACTGACTCCTGCCCCTACGTTCGTGTCCTCGCGATCTTGATCTCGACCTGGATGTCCTGCTCGGTACTGTAGGGTACGTGAAAAAAAAGCTTAAGGCAATTGCTATGACCTCTACCGTAGAGAGCTTTCGCAGCCATAGGGACAGCTTTGCTCCATCCCACACGAAGAATCGAACCTCCCCAATCAAGGCCGTCGACTTCCCTCAGAGCAGCTTCTGCATCTTTGCGCTTCATAAAGGATACGAACCCACTCAATCCGGAATTTCTATTGCGGCGCGAAGCAGTCATGTCACCACCCGGACCAGCAACAATATCTCCTCGTGGCCACATAATTTTTACGGAGCCAACAGGACCGTGACGCGCAAAAAAGGTGCCAAGAGATTGCTCGGTGACATTGGAGGGTAAATTGGCCACAAAAAGGTTGGAAGTCTGCGAAAGACATCATCGGAAGACGAACAAACGAAAAGGTGTTCGCACTCACCTCAGGATCACCGCGGTCCTTGCTGCCACTCTGCCCTTCATAAGCTGCAATACAATACATTTGAGCTGAAGGACAATAAAAGCAAATGAAAACTCACCTGCTAATGCAGTCACTGACCGCCCATGGGAGGAACGGGAATACCTGGCCTCTCGCATTGCCTGTTCTCTGAAGGAATGATGAAGTAACGCGCACATGACAGTAAGAACTTGAGTACCTCTTAATCTCTTCGAGAAATGAATCCATGGCTCGTTTGCCTTTCGGCTTCGGTGCACCACCTGGTGCGGTAGACTGGTCAAGACTATAAGCACAAGTAGTTGCTCGCATGAAGCGTTTCACATACTTCATCTTCATTAGATCGAACCGGCCTGCTGCGCGACGAGGATTCCGCGACACCCTTGACTGGTGGTTGATAAGACACTTTCGTGCCATCCGATGCGCGAACAAATCCTGAGCCAGTCTTCCGCTTGTCCGCACTTTCCCCTTCAAACGCATCAATGAAATCAGCATATGCCTTGGCAGCACTCTCTTCCTCCTCTCGTTTTTTGGCGTCCGCAGCTTCCTTCTCCTTTTCTCGGCGAGACTTGCGAACAGTGCCTTGCGCGTACTGTGACAACTTCGTGTCATCGAGAGTCTTTTGCTAATGTACGAAGCGATTGGTAAGTGTTTCAAGGACATAAATAATGTCTATTCGTCGCACTGGGAACGAAGACTCTTCGTCGTCATCGAAGAACGCAGCCAGTCTTGATTTCGTCTTGTCCATTGCACTTCAGAAATCTCAAAGTCAAGTGAAAGAGTATGTTAAGCACTAGTTTGAAGCTCCAAAAAGGCGACTGGTAACTACAAGTAACAAGATTCCCACGCGCCCGCACCCATTACATCGTGACTCTAATCCATGTCCATAAATCCCTGTAAGATTCGCCACGAAAATCTACATCATCAAGCTCGCCAGACCTCCTTGCGCATATGCCATCGGCTTCATTGGCGGATGAGGTGTCGCTTCGAATTGGAAGTACTTTTGCTCTCCTTCTGCATCTATTCGTATCTAGCAAGATGTGAGTATTTGAAGCCTTGGATGAACAGTGTATGGACATACAAACGCTCCCTTATTACCCACTTGGTCCACATAATTTGGGGCTGAAAATACGGTTGTGCAGAGGCCATCATGTTCTACGGCGTACCCATCTGCCAACCCAAATTGGAGTCAGGTTCCTTAGTAAAGTGACGAAGAACACTTACCCTGGCGAACTTCGTGGCTGCGAATGATACAAGTAATGCCATTCAATGAACACCACTTCTTCGTGATGTCAGGACCGAAAGCAATGCCGACACCCTGGAAGGGAAGTTTTGAGCCTCACGATGATTGGGCAGCTAACCGACACATACACGTTTGCTCGGGCCGCGACCAGGAAGTGTTTGAGGGTCAGTCCAGAGAAGCTGAAATGGAAATAAGTGCCTGTAAGCATGAGTACAGCATAAATGCACACATCAGCTGAGAGCGTGTCAGTAATGACAGTTGGAAGGGTGGGAGGGTACGCACACATTAAACCGTCTTGACCTGGCTGCCGTCCAATTCGAGGAATTTTGCGAACTTCATCTAGGGTAACACCATCTTTACTGAATAGCCCGCCATGCACGACAAAGTATCTCTTGAGCCCTTTTGGTGATAGTATCGTCGTAGTGCTTGTTTTGGTGGGTGCTTTGGTGGCGCTCACAAGTGTTGCTAATGGTACTGAAGAGCTAGCGATCAATCGACTGAACTTAGCAGATCCATAAATACTCACAAGTGGTGAAAACGTGAGCGAACAACTGTTGAAGAAGCTGTGAGTGCTTTGAACAGAAGGAGACCCGAGGGAATGGACTTTATATGTTTGCTCTCCGTGTTTATGCTTTGCTTCGCCTTCAAAACCATACGTTCGGTTCATGTCTTTTGCTTCGTGATTACCTCTATTGATGAACATGCGTGTGGGGTACAACCCTTGCACATAATTTCAGTATCAAGGTCCTTCGTATAGTCCAAACACTCACATTTGTACGCAAAAGCGGTAAGAATGACCTCAACGGACCACGATCCCCGATCAACAAGATCGCCATTCATAAGAAGACAATGATTCTCGGTGGGAGTACCCGTCAACGAGTATAGGTTCAATAAGTCGTAGAATTGGCCTAGAATCGACACAGTAAGCACAACTCTATATCAAGCGCTACAGCGCTTAGACTGACCGTGAACATCCCCAATGACGTCGCATGTCACGCCTTCTTGTAGTTCCAAGTCGACCAGACTTTCCTCTTTCACAAAATGCGAGTATGCTCCAAGAATAACCTCCCACGCGTATCGCCTTGGAAGATTTTTGCCTGCCTTGAACCACTCGATCATTCCTTTGATAAACTCCTCCGTCATCACATATTTCCCGTCATCCCCAGTACTCAATTGTGGACCAGCATAGGCTTTTTCAACCTCACAGCCGCCTGAAAATAATGAAAACACATGATTCATGGAGAATCGGACAGCTGACCTTCCGCAATGATTTCGTGACATCTTTCTACTGGATCTTTCTCCCCTTCTACCTCAATCGCCTACCCGCAAGATCAGCCGCAAGATTAACATGAAGCGTCAAACACACCTTCTCAAATTCTATTCTGCGCACGAGCTTTTGAGTAGCTGTGAGCTGTGACTGGACGACTGTATTTCTAGGCTCTAGCGCGACAACTCTCTTGAAGTCCGCCACCGCTAGTTGAGGTTTCACAATCTGTAGATAGCACGTCGCGCGACTGATACGAGCGCTTAACTTCGGTTGTTTGCACCCGCAACCTATCACATACCGATAAAAGGCCTTAGCATACTTGGGATCGACTTCGATGGCTTTTGCTACAGCCGCGTGAGATGCTAAAACACCTAGACTGACATATCCAGCGACTTACAAGCATCCAAGAGCGCGAACCCGTATTCCTCTAGTTTTGTTCGAGCTGCAGCGCGATTGCACCAATACGTCGCATCTAACGGGTTCAGTTCTATGGCTTGGGTGTAGAGTCTAACGGCCTCCACGAAATTATGACCTGTTGAGCAGATCGCGACGACTTGAACATTATCACGAATGCAACGCCAATTCAACACGCACTTGCGAACGCTTGATTTGCCTCTGTCTTGATCTTAGCGGCCTTCGCCCGATCCTCGTCGGTTACATCTCCTAGACTCAAAGTTTGAATTTCTGGGGAGGGAAGAGAAGATGGCACGGTCGATGCAGGCGCAGAAGACGATGTTGACGATGAATCATCCATGTTATGAAAGACGCTCACTAGCTAAGAAGTGTACGTCGCGATCTGCAAGTACTGGCCAGTTCATTAATCACCCCGACCTGAAATTTTCTGAGAAAGGAAATTCGCATCGGTGGCTTTACATTAACTATCTTGAGCTTTGGCTAGAGATTCGCGAATAAAAAGCTTCGCATTAACCAGAAAAAATAAGGGAGATCACGGGGAAGCGGTGACAACGCCACGATAAAGCGGGTATGGGTGTATGCGGTAATAAGTGGTATAAGATTTAAACTCTTGTTTGATGTTAATAAATGGTGTCCATGATAATGTTCCAGAGAAAACAAAAATAGTCCCCATGGAACGTTGCTTAGTTACAGACATTCAAGTTGAAATACTCGCCAAGAGGAGGGTTGTGCTCATATGCGTTGATGTTCTGGCACCAACCGTTCAAGAACTGGTGCAAGCTATTTTGATATATAAAATTAAATCACACAACACGGAGATTAATAAAGGCTTACTAGTCGAGATTGTTTTGCTCCCTGCAGCTACCACCATGGGCAGCAGCAGTTGCATTCGCCTATACGCATACAGTCAGCACCGGTATTTCTCAAGTATGGCAACAAAATAAATACATAAGTCATTCCCCGGAACCAGCCGTTATAATGACCAATTGAGGAGAGAAGGTCGCCATCATTTTCGTCAAGCAGTTGCGAGAAGAACATAGCGCCAGCACCAATATTGAAATCCTGGGGAGAAATATGGACGTGATCAACATGACATGTCTGACACGATAACGGCATGGCTTACAACGTCCATGCAATCACCATTGGGAGCACCAACGCATTTGTCGCCGGTGAGCTGCATCAAACCTTGCTCACCAGCTCCACCAACGGTGCTCGGTATACATGAACTCTCCTGCATGGCAAAAGACGCAAGGAGAATAGCAGGAACTGTCACGGAACGTCAAATGGAAATGTAGCAATAGTTGGAAAATGGCACCGACTTCCATACTGGCTACCATATTGCTCGAATGTTGCGACAAAGTCCTGGCAGTTTGCGAATGCCGAATCTTTTTGGTGCGCGACCGCCGACAGGTCAACAGTGACGATACCCTTAATGTTAATCAATGGTGGGTTCCATCCGGTCCCGTTGATGCCACAGGTCAGGAAATTGATATGACCATTAGGGCCGCTCAATGCAGTGATTTTCTCTGGTAAAGATGCATGTGCATCAGCAAGTATACTCCCTTCGCTTACAATACAGGAAAGTCGTACCGGTTGCACCACTAGATCCACAACCTTTGGAGGAGATGACGTTGACGAGTCCATTAATTGGTCTACCTCCAGAGTTGTTGCTGGGTCCATTGCCTGATGTCGAGGGCTGACGAGCTGATGAAGTTGCAGGAGGTGTCGGTGCTGATGTTAGTGACGACGCGGAAGGCAGAGCCTTGGTTGATGTAGTTGATGCTGTGCTCGAAGCTGAAGCTGGTGACGATGCTGCAGGCAGAGCCGTAGTTGATGTTGGAGTTAATGCTGAAGCTGGTGACGATGATGCAGGCACAGTCAGGGTCGATGTGCTGGTTAACACTATAGTTAATTCAGAAGCCGAAGCTAAGGGTGAACCTGCAAACGATGCAGAAGGTGATGGTGCAGGACTTCCCGAGCTAACCTACAGTCACCAGTGCACAGTTACACAAGAGCATAGAAACCACGATAAGCTTCTTCGCGGCTATCATCCGAATTTGAAACACGACTGACCGGTCTCCCTTTACAATTCCTCCGCAGCAGTTTGGGTACGCCATCGCCACCCTTGTTTCGAGCGGAAATAGCGGCATGTCTCCCCGGCGCAGCCCGCTGCGCAGGAAGCTTTTCAAAGCTGTGGCCGGCTTGGACGACGACTTGAACGGCGACAGTGGTGAACAAAGCAAGAAACGACACGATAAGCTTCATCGTAACCAGAAGATATTGACAAACGAGCGGACTGGTCGGACGATAAGCAGAGAGAGGAGGTAGAGCTCAAAAGATGAACAAAGATAAAGAACAGTTGGACCAACTTCAAGGCAAAATAGCGACTGCGTTGTTGGGACCTTTGGGTCACGTAGCATTCAAGCAAAATGTTAGCGTGCTTCAAGCGTAGGTCCACATGTGAGCGGGGGTGGCCGTCATCGTCATCGTCGTCCGGAGTGAAAATTGACGGCTCTACAATGTCTGCATCCACCCCGCTACAGCTGTATCCGTGTCAGCCTGACATGAATCCTCCCGGTTCCAACAAGAACTCACATTTCAAGCTTCAAGTCTGAGACCGGTACCACAGGTCTCAAGCCCACACTATCTCGGGAGACTTGAAAGTGGCTCTAAGACAACATTGACTCGGATATGATGACAATGCGCTCTGCCTAGATGTAAATTAGACCATCCATTATGTTAAATTATGCAATGGAAGCGGCAAGGGGTCCATGCAAGACAAGTCGAAGCTGCCGAGCCGGAACATGGTGCCGTTTCACTGGCGAGTATGTAGACACCTATGACTTTGTTACTTTGTTTTTGTTGTGTAGGTCAGGTCTCCGGACCGTCAGGTTACCAAGGGTGGTCGCGTGTAGCGGTTATTCGATTGTGATTTACCAAACGGTCACCAAAGACGAGGGATTTTGCTAGTTGTCACGATACTACATCACGGCGAATCGCTCTCTCAAGTGAATGCTTCTTAGATACGGTTTTCGGCATAGTACGTATGATACGAGTTGAGCGTTTTCTTGCGCCACGTTCTCACCTGTTCCAACAAATTCGACCCGTCGCAGTTGTTTGTTCGGGTGCCTATATATGGTAAGCCTTCTACGTACCACTAAGTCACTGCCACTCTATTTGTCCCTCACACGCATCGGATCCGAGCCAGTCTGACTCGTCCTGGGGCCTAGGCGCATACACCTTATTTCCTATCTGCATGCTGCACAAAACAGTTTTCTGTCGCCGTTTTTGCAATCTTCTTCTCCTAATGTGCCTGAGAGATTACAACTTTGAACGGATCCGTACATCCATGTCCGTGTACCTCGATTATAACTCTCAGGCTGAGAGTTCCTGGCACCATGGACTGTCTTTCATGCGGGCTCACGCGGTACCGGGTACCTGCATAGGTTTGGCACAGGTGATGACCATCTATGGCAGGACAGTTCAAGTTATTCCACAGCGCCCTGAGCCCGAACGGCTCCCGAGTTGGGTCATTTTCTGTTCGGATGTTTGAAGTGTGAGTCACAATGCTCGAGCGCACCACACTTTTACCCGCTTTTGACACAGGTGGTGCAAATGCTCCATGCGCTCCGCTCCGCTGCTTGGGACCTCGGAAAGTTCCTGACAGGTCAGCTACCATTCCAGGCAACTTTTAACCTCGGACGCAGAGACTTGGCGCAAATTCCAACGCAACACCGTAGCTGAGGGGTATTTAAATGGTCAGCGCCGAGAGTGCACGGAGTACTTTTGCTGAATGGCAGTTGCCGAGCGCCAACGTTTGAAAATCAAGATATGGCGCCAGGAAGTTTGTCGTACGAGTATCCTACATACGTATTACAATTCGATAGGAATAGTAGGTCAACGTCAAGAAGAACCAGGCCCTGGAACATCAATTTTTTCAGATTCGAATTCGTTGGGTAAACAACGAGCCTTCCGTGCAAGCTCCGAATTCCGGATCATCCAGTTCAAGGAGGCAAAAAAATTTCGGTCTCGATCCCTGCCCCGGCAGTAGTGTAATTCTATGGAGCCACAAGGACCTGCCACACGTTTGAAATTGTGAATATCGACGCAAGCCGTTAGTCCGACGTTCACGCCGGCCATTATGGATGTTTTTTTCCGTGAAGATGGGAAGCTGCGCTCTTCGTTGGTGAGGGTGTGAATATGATGATGTCGTGAGGCGTCAACGAGTTGCCTCTGAGGTCACGTTTTACACATTAATAGGATATGTGGTACCTGTTTGATCAATTGCGAGGGATGCGCAACGATAGGAATTGTCTAAGGTCGTAATGATCACGTATACATACAGCTATCCAAGTCAACTGAGACCACATAGTACTTGAAGCCCCAGCACAGCACCGCGATGGTCGCGGGTTCCGGACGAGAGGTCGACTACGATATGGTCGGAAAATAATCAAGGTTTATAATTGTTGGCACGCCCCCTCCACGTGCAAACCACACTGCTAGTACTACTAGGTCATGTATGTACCAATTTAAACGCTCATGATACGTTAGTTGAGTCAAAAAACACATGGCGGACGGATGAAGGATTACGTCGAGATCTGCTCAGACTTCCGGACGGCAAATAGACATTCACGGAAGGATGATTTGAGGGGAAGTGACTCGGACGGGCTCCTCGGAGAATATCCCCGATCGGATGTCACAGGCCATCAGGCTGGCAGGCGTGATAATTGCGTGGTCTCAGAGTCAAGGAGAGTCACTAGGTCAGAAATTAGAATTAAGAATGGACAAAAAGACACATAGGGGACTGCAGGCTAGCTACTGGAGATCCGATAGAGGAGACGAATAGGTGTTTCACCCTTATTAAGGATAACCCTGTGATGCATCAGTTGAGTGTGAATTCTTTGACGTGGCATAACAAAACGAGTGGGGTGGGAGGACAAGGCAGACAGAGGAAGAACAATAAATCTTACAAGGCAGCGCATGAATTTCACTTACGCCCAAGGAGCTATGTACCGCCTGTGCGCAGTAGCAGAAAGGAACACTGCCATCGGTGCGCGGGAACCAATCCCGATTCCCGAAGGTGGGACCGTGGGAATAGTACAGATAGTACAGGGAAGTCAGTGATGTGCACACAGCTAGGCAAAAGTTCTCGGTGACCTTCTGAAGTTCTAGGACCTATTGCAAAGCCACAGGTTGGGAGAACAGCAAGTCAATTTGATATGTGGGTCACTGTGGGTATAGTTAGTATGAGTCAGGTCAAGTCGGACCCCGGATTATAGGTGATCAGGGTCCTCAAGCACCCAGTGACTCCTTCAGTTTATATAACGCCCTGCCTGCCAGAGAACCTGAAGGTACCGCCTGCCCTACAAGTCCTTTAGCTAGGCTTTATCTGCTCTCCTTGCTTCCAGATCCTCCCCACTCAGCATATTTCTGTGTTATTATAGCCTTTTCGACAAGGCTATATAACTATTAGGATAGTCTAAAGTCTTAGACTTTAGATAGTCCTCCTCAAAGGAGTCACGATGTGCTCCCCAGTAATTCCCCGTTTCTTTAACACAATCTCCGCACCCGTCTACAAGCCAGCCTCCAAATTTACGTTCAGCTCCAAAGTAACCAAAGTAAACTCCATTAATGCTGCCGTCAAGTCTTTCTAGATAATCCGCTCAAGCTCGTCTATCTCGTCTTAATATTTACTCTCGTCTCTCCACGCCTTATTTTTCTCAATCTGCTCATCTCTATGGCTCGTGCCGCTGCTCACTCTCTGGCCCATCGGGGGCCACCAACAACAACATCACATTCGCACACTCGGGTTCGCTGGCAACCCTACTATGCCACCCTTTCATCAGTTTCCTCACGCCAATCTCCTTCATATCTCGTCACTCCCGCCTCATCTGTATCATCCATCACACCTTCACCTCTATCAGCATCAGTCTATGAACAAGAACGACAGCGAAATCCTCAATTTCACCCCCGAGAATATCAGCTCCGCGACTCCCAGAAATCGAAATATGTCACTGGTTTAGTCGGTAAGTTCAAACCTCACTAGCCACTTTTGGCCTCTAATCTCAAATTCGGGATCTGTATCCGCCACTAGATCAAGCTGTAGGATCAATATGCGAAATATGGAACCCTCAGGATATACCTTTTGTCTTTTTGACATCATCTCGTCCGACCGTGGCTACCGCTTCTACCGACTCCGTTCTTGTATCCGTCCCCAGTATTCCACTCCACGGGCGTAATACTCAGCTGCCCTCTCCCATATCTCCAACGACACAGTCTTCTCCCACGCCCGCTCCATGTATCCCAAATCCGTACTCCATTCAATCCCCAGAGACACTCCTGACGCCCGATTCGAGAGATCAGGCACCGCGTTGTGACATTGCCCCCATGAAAGGGTTTGTTCATGAGGTTCTTCGTCGTTCTCGCACGTCAGGCACCGTTCTACAGACAGCCCTTTGTTACTTGGAAGCTATCCGCGCCAAGGTCCCAGAGCTGGTCTCGCAGGAGAAGGGTTACCCTGGGTCCACTTGCGAAAAGGAATCGGTTGAACGGATCGTCAAAAGTGAGGTCAGCGCATTTGGCGCTGGCCTTGATGGTCCTACTTCTTCTTCGGAAACATCGGCACGCAATGGCTTGCTAGATACTATTCGCATCAATCCTGTTACACTTGAGGCCGATTCTGTATTTGCAGAGCCGGTATTCGACGCAGAGAAGGTGTCTTCCCACAAGCCTAAGCAGAGTAGTGGCTGTTTAACGCCGCTTCCTCCACTTCCCTCGCCGCTTCTGTGTCCTCGCCGCACTTTCCTCGCGTCACTCATTCTTGCATCGAAATTCATGCAAGATCGTTGTTACTCGAATCGTGCATGGGCTAAACTTTCGGGCCTTCCGCCACGGGAGATTGGCCGTTGCGAACGTGCTCTGGGTGAGGCGCTTGAGTGGCGCCTCTGGGTTGGCAAGCTGCCTACAGCGCCAGTTGCTACTGGACGCGCGCTCACAAAGTGCAAAAGTGAAAGCAACATTTTGCTTAGGAGCAGTCCGAGAACGCAATCGGTTATGGAGACTAGCCCCGTTGTATCATCACCGATATCAGTGGGCTCACCTCTGGTGACAAGGCCTCGTGTGGGTCTCAGGCGGCACGCCACGCTACCCGCACACACCTATCGCGAGGACTCATGTTCGGCGACGATTTCGTCTGCCGTTGAGACTTCGCGGTGGATGTCAATCGAATCGAGTCTGGGAATGGATAACAGTCCGAACGACTCCGAGATCAGTCCACCGACGCCTGGTCTCAGCTACTCGCCTACGCCCACAGAGTCATCGCTTGGGGATCGCACTATTCAGATGTCAAGTTTCATGGACATGTCAACGCCGCCGCCGCCATCCTGTCAGTTCGCCGCCTTTTCGAGTGCGCAGAACGACAAGATGTTGCAGCCGGTACCGATTCCGTTCATGTACTCGATGCCGAACGATGTGTGTCGGAATCACCATGAGGATCAGCCATATTTTGCCGCGGGTCTTTCAGTATCGCACACCGAATCCTGGCCATCGGTATATGCTTTTTGACTACTATCGCCCATGGACACCCACGTGTTTGCTGTGCTAACTAGTTTGATCAATTATGCCTATGCGTCTCTATTTTTCTGTCTTGTTCATCTTCCTTCTGTACATATAGTTTATTTGTTGCCTGTCCGAGTATGTGCTTATGTCTTGTTGTTTTGGGAGTGCAGCGGCATCTGCTTCACCATGAACACTTTGGGTCCTCCTGTCTTCTTGTGTACTAGTATATAATCATACCCTATAGACTTGCTTTGAGCATCAACAGGCGCGAGTAGAGGCTGCGGGACCAGTCCAATTTTTTTTTCATTAGACTGAGCCTTCTAGAGTCATTAACCTTAGGTTGGATATGTCTCGTCATCTTGCTTCATGTACCAGGCAGATATTAATGTGACGGAGACCGTCTATAGTAGCTACTTTACCCATCCGGCGATAAGACAGCAGGGACAACCTTACTCGCGGGTGAACGCCCTCTGAGGGCGACGAGCAATCAAATCAATCACACGTAACTATTGCAGGGAGAGATTAGTACAAAACACGCTCCGCGGACGTCACAACGACATATCGTACAAAATAACCATCACACCCTTCTTTCTTTCCCTGATATCTCCGAAATTCACCGATGAGAGGAACGTTGTGGGGCCTCGTGAAGCTCGGAGTGGTACTCAAAGAACTCCAAGGGATAGCTATCAGGATGAATGGCACGCCAAGAATGAGGATGACCGTCCTCGTCAAAGGATGCTGTGAGGTGATGGATAGCATGTAGTTTCCATCCGGAAACTCCCTGACGATTAACATGAGAGGCGTAATGAATCAGCGCGGACGGAATGAAATGCTCACCTCGTGGTGGATCCTGGGCCACAGCAACCCATAAGTCAATATTTACAACACCGTAAAGAAAAAAAACCCCAAGACCTCGCAGTAGAAATTCGAATGGAAGAACCCGCACCTGACGTGAACATATCCCTCGCCGAGCTTATCATTAACAGCAGGAAGCCTCAACTTCCCAAAGATAACGTGTCCGTAGCTCGCCTGTCCGTTTCGGATTTGTACGAGATCATCTCGAGAGAAGCTCGTGAGTTCATCGTCGCTCAGACCCGCTGCTCTGGCCCACATTGAAGACTCATGGTGAATTTTCCAAGAGCGCCGTGACTTCTTGATCGACTCTTTGATCGATTCGGCTACTTTTTCATCGAATGCATCTTTTGCGTCCTCGCCAGGGACGTGCGCGTCGTCTAGAACGATTTGTTCTTCTGAAGCTGAAAAATATATGGAAAGATCATTCAATAGTTAATATTGAGAGAATATTCGGTTGAAATACCCATGAATGATCACAGGAAACGGTCGATGGAACGGAAAAGGGGGCATTCGCTTGGACTCGAACCGAGTTGGTGATGGGGCGCAGGATTCCCACGAGGCGGAGGTGGGGTACATGTTCGGCCGGGCTCGCCGCATTAATCAAGATGCCGATGCGATGTTATGCCAAAGGGGCGCTTGGATCTAGTAGTGTGGGCAGTTCTGACGAACGTTGGATTGTTCGGGGATATTAGGTACAATGGTCTGTTCGTCGTGTCTTAAAAATATCAGGATTGTCGGGTGAAAGACGGGGATTGCTCCCAAGAGCGTTCTAGTCAACATTTCAAGGTTTCATTGCATCATTCTGTACTTCAAATAACTGTTATCGCGAGAAAGTTGAAGTTTTCCCCGCACTCATCGTGGAGGCCAGCCGAAAGATAGTCGCTTGACAGAAGAAGTTTAGTGCCACGAACTGTCAAAGGTATTGGCTGCATGCTGTGTTTTATCGCATGTGACCTCGATATCTATTCAAGTCTTATCAGATTCATTGCAGTGCGCCACAAGGCAACATACTGGCGCAACTCTGCTAGGCCATGTCGCACCCGCGGAGTACCCCCCCCCCTCCCCTGCAAAGTTATCTGGTTACCTCCCACAGCTTATTGTGTGGAGGATTTCAGCTCCTCAGGATGTTGAAGAAATCTAACTGAGAAGACTCGGAGTTCCTAAAATTATACCATGTATCCAACAGATCTCCAATATTGCGGGGATAATCACTCTTCTAGGAACGGGGGACCATCCTCCGATAAGTGATTCGAACCTTCCCCTACAAGATTGTCAATGATTCGAATCTCACGCGCTCTCCTGTGAAAACGACGTACCATTGCCCAGTAGATGCTTTTGAGTTTGATGCTAACTTCAGAGTCTCACTGTCAAGATCGTGTTGTTTCATAATTGGAGAGAACTCGAAAATAGCCATTTTCACTGAGAACTCGACAGTCCTGTTCAGTTTTACAATAAAGATTGAGGCAAATATTGGGTTTAACAAGGCACCTTGTGACTACATTAGAGAGCGACACAAATAATCACATTTTCTGGAATACCTTCGCCTATCATAATGATATAGCAGTCCCAACGCGTGACTGAGAGTGAACTCGGAAGGCACGTCCGTGTAAAGTCAAATATCGCTAGACTCATCGCCAGTAGACTGTCTCTTGCCATACGTATGCAGCGTAGTCCATAGCAACCTCACCTTACGGAAGGCGATAGCATTTGAGTTGAGCACCGTCGATCGTGTCTTCTCTATGTGGTAATACAAATGAAGGGGAGGGTGTGAGTCGTATGGAGTGAGTGTGAGCTTGAATCTTAGCGACAAAAGCCGCCCGTGCGACGAGTACTCGCGACAGCTTCTTTCCTTAGACGAATTGTGACATGGATGCAGGGAACTGAAAAAACCCTATACGACAATTTCTTTTATTTGACCAGCTTCTTGGGATGACCGCGACGTAACAGAAACCCATACTTGGCGCCTGTATGGGCGCTAGCCAGCCGCTAAATCAGACGTCACAATCTCGTATGTAAGTTCGTCTGAATGACTCGGGCAAACGGCTAGTTTGTTCTAATAGTTAGAAAGCAGTGGCATGGTGAAGCACATACACATATTCATATTATTTGTTCTCCCACCAGATAGTGCGAAGCACACGTTGAAGTCCTCGGTTGAGTATCCTCGATATCTTTAAACTTGAGAAGGAGTACCCTCTCGGTCGAACGAATCTGCCGCAAAGTAGAGGGATATCGCTAAACAAAAGGGCTGTTCTTCTACAGGAAATGAGGGAAGTTCCTGACTGAAACAAGTGCGGTTGGCAGTGGAAGCAATTGGTGGGTGAAGGAAGCGAGTCAAAGGCTCGAATGAGAGCATCGAACCAGGACCCCATGCTGTTCTCTGGGAATACTGCGCTGCCGACGGAGATCTTTCTTGGTGAATTGAGACCGTGCGGCGACTGACATGAATGCCGTTTTTTCGGAGGGTCCCATTTCCATTCAGAGAAGTATTCGACGTAGGACAACACATATGCCGTTGACGGTCGTGGCCCTGCAAAACATGAGTGTAGGCTTCTGATAAGTCTGGTTACAAGTTTCCAAAATCGGTACGTGCCGTATGACAAGTCTCGCGGCAGTAGCCTCAAGAATCGCTGAGATAAAATAACTTCGTTATGAGTCGACGTAAAGGACCAAGGGTTGAACTTCTAGTTCTGCAACCTGATGTCAAGACTGGCAGGGACGCCAATGAGTTATTCATGCACGAGGAGTCAGCCCGGGCTTGAGCGGTATGGCGCTTTTGGGAAAAGACCTTGCAAGTGATACTAACAGTTCTGAGGAAAATCAAATACTAGGAAGCGACGGTGTGAGTTTGAAGCGGATGTTTAAGGTACTCCCACCAGACGTCAAGACATGCTGTAGATTCCTGATGCATTTATCACGTTCTGGTGAGATGGTAGTGAGTGCCAAGTGTATGACGGTAGGCATACAAAGATAACGAGGATCTACCTGAGAGTTTTTGAACTGGATATTATGATGCGTGAGTGAGTATTAGTACGAGATAAGATAAAGAGATATCAAACGCTATTAAAGGCCCATCACACGACATCTTGTTCGCTTATAAGTAACAAAGTTTGAAAATTGAGTTCTGGAGACTGAAGCTCGGCGAGTCGAAAAAGTAGTACTCAGTACTGCACCGTGAAAGACAAATTAAGGCTCCAGTAAAGTTTTGAACTCCGCCAGGACCAGGACCAAGACCGACCACCGCCACTTTGCAACAAACCATTGTGGCGAACATGGGATCGCCATGTCTCCTTTCCTTCAGCGCTTATACATAGTTGAGTTAAAGGTATGTAATACTATGACGGTACTTAGACTTCAAGGTACGAATCTTCGTCCCCATGCAAACTCAAATGATGATGTTATACAGAAGAAGCGGATGTGAGGCAAGGTTAACTCATATTCACTTTGAAGCTTTCCGCGAACGCGAAGAAGATATTGCGTTAAAAGTGACCACATTCAACAAATGTTACTGTCGAGCCCAAGTTGTATCAGGTAGTCATCCGGTCACCGCCGTCCTGATGGTGCAATCCGCTTTTGGATCAGTGTGCCAAGCAATGAACTTGACACTTCAAAATGTCCCACCTTATCCGCGACCTCTTTACCCCCTGTCAAAATTTTACAATTAGTACTCTACATTCAACGTCGTCAGTCAAATGGCGCTACTCAACCGTAGAATTCAGTAACGACAAATTGCTCAAACTTCCTCGCCGTCGGCATGCAACGTCTTGGCAAATCAAGAAGGGGACTGTTCCTGTCAGATCGCCAGGACCCATCTTTCACACTCAACGACGCTGACGTGACCGCGGAGTTGCAGATAGATATCAGTGCTGGTGTGAAAGACGTTGCCAGCTCTCCCAGACTCAGCGCCAATGGTAACGGTTGCACGCATCATTGCTACGGAGAGCGTGCGGAAAAGCCCTCAGGTAAAGAATGATCCGCAGTCACTACTGTCATCTCATATCGTGTGACAGAAACTGTGTACATTTGATCCTTTCAGAACTCTTCCACACTCCGAGCGTCGACGTCCGACGCTTATGTAAATAGTGGATCACATTCCCAGCTCATCCAGGACCCATCAAAGAGACTGTGCTGGTTGTTTGCACAGGCATTGTTGTGGGTTCTCGTGGACACGGGCCAATTGTATCTTTATCACGAAAACGTTCGAATGATTGTCATGTGTGTATACCCAAAGGCCATCAAACCGCTTCGATGGGCGCGACCTTCTTTCGTTAGCTCGCTCCCCCACGCCTGTTGTCACCGCCGGGATCTCAAACTTGATGTTCGACGTGAGTCTTTATCGTTGATCAGGTGGCTAATAATACTCGATATTCTAATCGATCAAAGTTGAGAGCCTGGGAGACAGAATCTCTGCGGAACGCCGAGTCTTTTTGAGCGGACTCTAAGTGACAGTGTGGGCAATAGGAGCATAGAAATGGCTGTCAATTGTACGTGATCTGTATATCTATGAGAAGGGAGAGTGCAAGACTGTACCTTGCCTGAGAATCTTTAGCGACCTGGCCACTCAGTGCTGTTCTTTGGCAACTGTCATTCCACGTCATGACTGGTGCGGAGACTTGGAGGCGCAGTAACAGCACCTTCGACTTCAGTTTCTCGGTACCTTATTTTGAGACCAAATCGGTATTCAGCCTCGTTTTGATGCTGATGCCAAGTTTTTTAATTGGATAGTCGTAGGCTCCAGCGCCTTTATTATTATTATTATCAGCCTAGAAGATCATGCAATCATACATGGTTTTCCATTGGTTTTCAGTGAGTCCGGAATTGAGCGGCGTTTGGTTCATTGATCGAGTATCGTATGCATCCAGGTGATATATGACATCCTGAAGCACATGTATTAACTACCGTTCTATGGATGACGGTCAATCATGCCATGTGTTGTTGAAACGTGTTATAGGTAGCGATCGGATACGCCGTCACGTTTTCTGAGCGTTTGGTTTTATTGAGTAATAGAGCCACAGGCTGCCCTTTACGGGCCGTAAGAAAGTGTCAAGATAAGTGTCACAGTGCGCAGTTTGGCACCTTGCCTGCTTAACATTGTGCAAGAAAACAAACGGGAGAGGGAGCGCTCGGTGTTCTGCAGTGATCATCGGAGACATGGTTCAAAGCCGCGGGAGCGGTGGAGATTAGAAACTAGACGGGAAATGCTAGAATAGACAACACATGTACGTGAAGGGTCAAAAACGTCGACTTACGGGGACCTGGCAGACGTTTACAGTATAAGGTGTGGAATCTTACATACAGTTATAGGTCATAGAAAGCAGTTGGACGGGTTGTCATTCACATGTAGGAATTCCTCATTACGGTATAGTGGGGGGAAGTTGTACGGAGACTAGAGTGTGAGTGTAAAGAAATGAAGTGAGTAAAGAGTGAGTGAATACGAATGGCATAGACCCCATCACCACGCGATGTGTCACTCGAAAGGATCGACCACATGTCAGGACAGTCCGGAATGTTGATGGCCGACGAATTACCTAAATTAGAGTAGCGCATCAGAAGTGAAAATACAATTAAGGAAATTGGATCGTCAAATTTTGGTGTAAAAATGACCGGTACCTCTAAGGTTTAGGGCCTGAATTGAATTCTTTTCTTTCGCCTGAAAGACATTAATATTCTTTCAATGAAACAACCCTTTCATCTAGGAGATCGCTCGTGCTGCTCCTCGTTTTTTTTCAGATTTTTCCCAACACGCAAAGAAACATGATGCGCCAATGATGTGTGGAAATTGATTAAAAAAATCCCCACCTTCCCTATACGAAATTTGTTATGGCAAGTCTTAAAATGCACTTACGACGCATCCACGACCCTTAGATCAGAATTTTAGTGATTTAGACCGATTTCCCGGGTCCGTGACAATGGTGTCCCCGTCCATTTTCCACCCTTCTAACCTTCTCTGCTTCTTACTTCTAACAAGATTTAGTATAAAACGATGAAGGATCTTCCTCACGAAAATCTACCTCCCATACTTCCTATTCATCGTATGGCAGAAAGCATGGCATAGTCAGTCAATGTCCTTATGTTTGCTATCATTCTCATTGAACATCTTTTCTACAGCTCTTCCGCCCCTAACGCTTACCTTCCCCCAGCACCCTATTATCCACCTTCCGCTCACTCTCCTGGGCATGCTCATCTCATAGCGCCCCAGCAACGCCAAGAGCCACAACAAAGGAAGCGTCCCAAGTATACAAGAAGCAAGACTGGTTGTATGACATGTCGAGTCAAAAAAATAAAGGTATGCCACTCCATACTTCAACTCAAACACGTTATTCATCCTCCAATTCAGTGTGACGAGGCAAAACCTAACTGCATGCGATGCACTCATGGGCAGCGAGACGTGCGCATCGTCATGTATCATTCAAAAAAAATTAACTCAACGCTTGTCCAGTGCACATGGCCAGAAGGCGTTCCCACCCGCAAGAAATCAACATCTCGGAAAGATAGTGTCGACGGCCGCCCATCCACTGCCGATTCATCAGGACTGTCGGAAACTTCAACACCTCCTACTCGGGACAGCACGCCTGCAAAAGCTCGTGTATCTAGCGATTACAACCAACCTCCAATGTCCCGTCGACACAGGCATGTGCATCTTCCATTATACGTATATTTACTGACCAAAAACCCGTGTTTCAGTGATCTTTTTGCTCCAGTACCTCAAGTGAAATACGAGGAAGACCCTCATCTCAGGCTCGGGCCAGAGCCCGATGCTGCGCGACGTCAGATGTGAGTCCTGAAGTTCTTTTTAATTTCGCTCTGTTCTAACAAATATGCAGAGCTCCACAAGGTTACCCCGTGCATCCAAATCAGAATTCCAATGTTTTATCAATGATATCCGAGATGCAGCCATACCCTCCTCACCGATACGACTCTGCTTACGCTACTCCAGCTACTCATTTACATTCACCAGCTCCCTCACGACACGTTCCCCCTCCTCAATCTCAACACCATGTTAATATGCGATCTATGAACCACCAACCACCCCCTCAGCACTGGAGCCAGCCTCAAATGATGCAGAGTGTAAACCCCATGGATCCTTTTGTACGTATTCCTTGGGTTGTTGCCATTCTTGTACTGAATGTTATCTCGTTCAGTTCCCACACCCCCAGGAGAGGCATTTAGTGGCACATTCGTCTAATGATCATCACCCTAGATACCCATAAGATTCATGTTTCTCTTTGATTTTTCTTAAAGATCCGTCATGACATTTAATATTTGAGCATCATTTTGGCCATCCCCTCTAAGAATCCAGTTGTCGCTTCCAAATTTTGCTTGGTCTGGATCGGCCTCCAGGATCTGATCTTGAGTGATGCGCTGTTCGGTGTTCTTGGTGTGATGCGGCGAGGAGTCGAGGACTTGCCTAAATTAGCGCGCTCATTTCCATGAATTCGAAGCTGATAGAAACCTGCATAACCCCGGTGCAGTGGCCAGAACTTGATTGGCAGTCTCCAAGCTGTGTCGTTGATAGACGTGAGTGATGCACCGTTAAAATCACTAAATCGTTCGATCGTCTTATGTCATTATCTCGCTTTCCGAGGGCCAAAGCCGAGTATATATACACATTTCGCTAAGAACCCTCGACGCGCCTTTGTCAAAGGACTGATTCTGTCAGGTTCAATGGTCGGAACTGAACGCAACACCTGCTGCTGCAGTTTTTAGCAGTGTATTATTATGTTACAGGTAAGCCCCGCGGCAGGCCAGGATTCAACCCTTCCGCAGCCTGCATAGCCAGCAGTAGAGAAATGACCATCTTGCATGCTTCCTCAGATTGAGTGGTAATATGCCACTCCAATAATCTGCACAGCGTCGTGGAGATTCCAGGCGCAAACTCGATAAATCACGGATCCTTACATCCTCCGAACATGTATCGATTGGGGTATCTCGCGTGTTTACAGCCCGAGTACTATGTTCTCGGTCGTCGCCCACGTTTGAGGGCCATTGTAATTTACCTTTTGCACAGCTAATCTCTCGTTCATTTCTCGCGCCCTACCTAGTACGTGGATCCCACAAGTTCATGAGAGCACTAAATCTTTGCGCGGGATGAATTACCTCATTTACCAGAACGTTGGAGGGAACTCGTATTCTCTCTCGTATTCTACAGCGGGCCCAGAGGCAATAGTGCGTATCCAGTACTTTTCAAATACATGGGAACGTCCTCGTGTAACTAATTCCGAACCTGCATCGCGGCGTTTTAGAAGAGTTTCCGACCGATTGGCGCCGGTGCAGTTCTGCTACGACCTATCACGGGAATGTGCAAGAGCCACTGGAAACAATCGACGGTCTCTGTCACAAGGATAGACAAACATACAGGTATGGTAAATGTATGGTCGACCTTTGATAACAAATGATTGCAGGACCCACTGTGGGTACCATCGATTTATCGAGCTAGCATAAAGCTCGCGTAAGTGAAGGGCATGCTGCAACTTACTTTCAGATGAATATGTCCTTCAGGTGAGTGCATGAATTATCAAAAGGATGCTATAATGAATTTTGGTATCGCTCTGGAAGCGATTAGATCAAGGTTTGCTTGGAGCGAACTGACGTATCATGATAGCCCTGAAAACTGAACGTGCTTGAGCTTGTTTAGTCACATCAAGCCACAAAATTCTTGCTACAGGGGAATACCTGAACGTTGGTGCGTTTATTCGCACTGTCCAGCTGTCTCCCTGCGAACCACATTGCTGGTCAGATGGCTGTAATATGATGACGAAATTATGCACGCTGGCTTGTGAGTCGCGTCAGAACACCTGATGGGTGGTGAGTACAGCCCTGAGGTTCGTGAACTTGATATTCATTCTTCAGGGTTTATGGTCATATTAAGTGAGCAAATCGTGTGTCATATTGACGTCTTTAACAGTGTTTCAAGTAGCGTGTTTTCTATCACATCGTGGCTAGGGTGCTTTACAAGTTGCCCGCTGTACCTGCAACCGTATTCGACCGTATTCGAAGCATAACGACCCTGAAAATCTATGTGGTAAATTGCAAAATGATCAGGGTGCTCCCTGAACTCGAGGAAGTTGAAAATGGAAATCAAAGCCGCTATTATATCTGATCCGGGCCCACAAGAAAGTTTCACGATAAAGCAATGGGTGGCGAATGTTCTACAGAATTTAGCTTGCCCATGCCTGATCGGGGTGAAAAAAAGGCGCAATCTGCGCCAGTCTGAAAATGCATGCGAGCGCGCGTCGGGCAACGTGCCCAATTCTGGAAATTTACCCGCTTTACACTGTAACGCCACGTTCCTGACTATAAGTGCTTCAACAACGCGTTTTGGGGTGCACTTGTCGTGAAAAGCAAATCGGGCGAGCAAGATGGACATATCGATATCAATATGATGCCTTTCGCAGCTAGCTCATCAGATGCATCGACTTCGGCTACTAATATCAGAAAATTCCAACATAGGTTACATAGCCAAGTGGCTGGCGTTACTGCGTACCTACAGAATGTTATGTTCTTCTGACCCGCCCACACGGAGTGGCACATTATTATGGTGGAAGATTATTGTGCCCTCCTCCTTGCTGTCGTGTGACTGGTTGGTGTATCTGGATGCGTGCGTTCTAGTCTGATGGTCATTCGAGGCTTTGTATGGGTCCAGCAGGCGCAGTACAGTCAAGCTGAGCATGAGGCTGCGTCGCACGAGCTGAGAGGTGCATCTTTACTAATAAGGTTTTCCGAAGGGTTCGGCGTGCTAATGTCGAAGGAGTCTATAAACCTGTATGCTGGCTGTGAAGGATACAATAAAACTTGAGCGCTTGTGCCATGGTTCTCAAACCAACCACTTAGTACTTATGGCGATGTGGTCAACAAAAGGGCCACAGTGTGATGTTTCAAAGTCTAAGTGTCCAAATTAGGATGAATCAGTCGGACCAGTTTAACTAGTCTCCGACGACTTGACCGGTACCCTCAGCTACTCTCTTTCTACACGACCATGAGTTCCCACGATAACGAGGAACTTATTGAACTTCATCAGGATAAGCACGATGTCATCCCTAATGGCACAGCTCTAGCTGTTACTGTCAACGAGGCAGCGGCGTCAGCAGCAGACGGCGAGGGCGACAACAACACTGAGATGGAAATTTCCGGCTTCAGGTTCATTCTGTCTCAATGTTGTCGTAAACCAGCCCCTCTGATTGGTCTCCTCGTTCCTTAGGGATTTCGTATTGAGCCCTGAACTCCTGCAAGAGGTCATAGACAAGGGCTTGGACTTTGAGGTTCCGACCGTAGGTAAGTATGCTTCGGTATGATGTTCTGAACCCACTTATTCGACAGCCCAACATGAATGCAGAGCTCGGGCTTTTCTAAGAAGGCACGGTCTCGGTCAGTCAGGACTCGGTAAGACGGCAATTTTGCATTTTAATTACTAAGATAACATGTGGAATAGAGCACTGAGAAGTTGTCAGAGTGACTTGGGAAAGGCTTCTCTGATGGTCACCTTGTGGTCACCAACTCTTCAGGTACATTGCAAAGACTTGCATATCTAGTGCTCCGTCGAATTGGTACAACGTTGCTTGCATTGTTGATGTATCAACTTCTTTGAATGAGACAAAGTTGGCCTGCGGAACTCTCAACCATCGTGGTGCTCCACGCGGGCAAAGAAAATGACGGATCAGAATGTTGAGCCATAGTAAGTATCGGCCCCGTATATGAAAACAGATCCTAGTACAGAAGGAATTATCCCTTCTGTTCAGTCTGTCAATCGGAGACTTCTTACCACCGCCCATCAGTAGACTCCAGACTTATTCCCAGCATCCCTGGGTCGATATATTGTCTTAGTCTTCTTCACCATTGCTTGGAATTCTAACTCGGAGCGGGGTACTCGGAGTGCAGGGTTAGAATGAGGTTTGCGTGCAGCGGCTGTGCAGCATGTGGCTTCTCTTCTCCTGCTACCACACAGCATCCAGGGTACACCCCAGCAAGATCTGGCGCCATGTCTGCGGTCTGCCACCTTTAGGATTTTCTTTTGTGCCATAAACTCCGGTGAGCTCTGATGGCTCAGATCCTTGTGTGCATCTGCATGCAATGAAACAGGTCCGGCGGGGAAGCCGGCCACGAGTAGAGACCACTGCTCTCTTGGCTCTACTCGTGCTCGTATAGGAAGTCACTGTCGTGAACCCTCGTTGGGTTTCTCACCAGAGAACCTGATGAGTGGAGGCCATAACGCCTTCTACCAGTGACGAGCGAGAGTACCGTCCTTGTCAACACCTGCTTGTCGTGTGCACGTGAATTCCCGCACTTTCATAGGACGCGGATGCCCGCACTGATGCAGATGTCCGCACCGACATGGATGCCTGCATTGACGCGGATGCCTGTGTTGACAGAAATGCCCGCGCTCATGCTCGGACGCTTTCCTACGACTTCTGTTGCAAACTGCTCCCTCATCTAGCCTCGCCTCGATGCGTCGCTTTGCGGCTACTACGATGGAATTCGATGTTCACTTCGCTGCTTCATAGTCACTCTTACTTATGTGGGAATCGCAGCTCACCTTGGCTCACTTTTGCACAGGTCGGGGCCGCCATCGAGACCAGATTGCCCCTGTCAGGCTTCCGCCCGAAAAACAACTATTTCCTTGTAGTCAAGCGTGCACATTTTTTTTCACTACTCACACGAGTGCACAACAGCGTCCTCCAAATTAAAATTCCAAAACATGCATATCGTAACTGCTGTGGTCTAGCGACCATTGCAATATGCTCCCGACTGCCTCCAAGTCTGGGGAATCAGTTGATGATATACTCGTCGCTTGTCAAAGAGAATCGCATACTTCACTGGCAGCACAACAGTCTCTACCAGCGACGAGATGACTGCGGACGTTTGATATAAAGTGTTTTTCTGCGATGTTCCATCGGGGAACCACGCGTAGAGTTTCGCAGGACACGGACATCATAGGCTCTGCAATAGGTCATGTAGACCATCGGGATGGCTTAATATTGGGAAAGTGGCATCCGAGAGCTGATGGAGGCTTTGCAAGCACAATATGTCATTGATAATTCTCTTCGTCGAGAAACTGTTTTCAAATGTTTATGTGTCATCTACGTGAAAGCGGATTCACTCACATTGTCGATGTGAGCGTCATTCGGGTCTGCGCTCGAAATGAAACTCGAGTTTAGTGTAGAAGCCTTGAGAACCTTGTCACAGAAGGAAGTCATGCAATCCCTGAGGCCTGAAGTTGGGGAAGATTCAGCAGATGGCTGCAAATAGTATGAAAAGGGGCCTACGTGGCAGTGCTCGACAAACAGACGGAACGCCCCTTCCGTGAGCCCTGTACGATTCCTGGAGAGGTATTATAGATACCACAAGATGAGGAGAAAGAGCAAGTGCCTCGGCCCATTATATCGCAGGAAGAGATCTTGACCAACACTCCACCTCCACACAACCTCATTACTTTATAGTGCGTCAGGGATGGCCTGTATAGATTCTTGATCGAGGAAAACGCGACTATAATCTGACTGGTATATTTGGGTCTGCATTCCAGCTCACCTCCTTCTTCACCTTCAAGACGAGCGTGATGTTCGCTTTGAGGGATCGAATCTTGTGTCCCCTGAATTATCAGTTTTCCTCTCTGCGGTCTGCGGGTGGGGTTACGTTGCCGAAGATGGTTTCAAAACGCTTGCTTTGAGCTATGAAGGTGGGCAGTTTCTTGGTGCACTTTCGGTCGCTGAGTGAATCCTTGAGAGTGCATGCACATGTGCGTGAAGGTGCTTGTTCAAAAGACCGGTTTTGAGTTGGGACGTGTGTGACTCGGAGTTGTGTCGACGGGTCAGTTCGTTGATGATACTAGCGAAGGGTTTTGATGGAGTAGAGGGTTCTACGCTTCGGAACTTTGAATAACAGGGGAATGTACGCGTCAGTTCTCGCGCTTCGTTCTTGATAACGTTGTTGAAGAGTTGTTTGAGTGCAGATTTCTGATGGGAAGTATTGCGAAAGCGCGCCCCTTCGTTAGGAGTGATCTTGGTAGGTCATGTGTGTCGCTGAAGACTCTCCTCGCGCTACTCTCTTTGCCTGTGATTCGAATGTGCCCTGCTGACCATCTGATCATCATCTTTCTCCCGTCCACTTCTGGTAGGATTGCCTGCAGATCGTCTCAACGAGGTAATGACCGGGTTTTGACTGAAAGGTTGTCGTAGACCCGATAGCAGCTTGGTTATCCCCCAGGGTCATGGTACATGGCTTCCTCTCCTCTCGCCTCTTTTACCGACTGTACTGTAGGATAAATGCATCAACGAAAGCATGCACTTCCTGTCAAATGCAGTGGACAAAGCGTTGGTTGATTCTGGTAAGACGCAACGGCCGCGCACATTAACTCAAGGACCTCGATTGCAACTGATACACATACCTGAGGATTCCGTCCTTCTTCAAACAAAAAGTGGAATTGACGATAAGCTGATTACTTGTCACATTTGTCTGGCTGTCTTGACAGACTGACATATCAAGATGACGAGCGCGTCAATGAGCACCTTTAGGCAGACATCAAACCGAACGGCACGGTTCCAAATGAGTCCAAACTTTGAAACAAACCAGCAGAAACAATGGCGCTCGCAGAACCGATCCCGAAAGAGATACGAAAGATGGATTAGATTGTCCACAGATTAGGGAAAGCTCTGGGGATTGATGAGGCGGAACAGATTATCAGGACCGGAATTGTTCAATATAAGCCTGATCTGAATCGTAGCTTCAATAGCATAATCTTGCTAATGAAAAAGACCCGTCTCCGAGTCGCTGGCACCGCTCCTCGCTAATGCCGATCTGTTAGGTTTGGTGTCGATTTTAGGTGAAGGGACGATGTGCCCACTGCCCACCTGGAACCTAGTCATTTGATGGTTTGCGAACAAAGGAATGTGAACTTGAAGGTCTAATGCACTAAAACATGTAGCCTAAGTGTTCGCAACCAGCGCACTCGGCTGACAGATGGAATGATTACTTTCAGAAACAACGATTTGCATGTGTGTCCAAAGTGAAGGGCGTGCTTACGAAGGAGACGAGGTTTGGGAGCTTCGAGATTCGACGAGCTTTCCCCCACTAGCCTATTAACGTGGGAGTCGGGAACCAGGAGTACTAGTCATAGTCCAGCTAATATGCAGCACGTCAAACAAGCTATGATGTGCACATGAATTAATAACACAGATATACAACATCAGTCAAGCATGTAATCGGCGTCCGTTCCTTTCTGTGCTGTGCGATGGTATAGTAGCCGTATGATGGAAAGATGTACAGAGAGCAGTGCAAGTGGTGTGTACAAAATAGGCACAGTGACAAAGGGGATGCGATGAAGAAACAAGATATATCAGGATGACAACGAAACATTTTGAGTGAAAATAAGGAATCTATGGTGTTCTGTCGACAGCACCGCGGCTTGAAGGCGGCCTCGAATTGCTTGTATATCAGGATCAGTACTCATCGGTACCTAGGTCAAACAATCTTACGTTTCTCTAGATGGTTTAGGCCAGTCCCAAACTTGACTGATCCAGCGAGCCATAGGCACCTCTCGCTTCATGATGGTGGTTATCCAAGGATGAGACAACATTCCTCCCGGTGTAGGACGAGTTTGATGGTCAATAATCAAACTGCGGCAAACGTTGACACGACGATACGCAACAGGAGACTGGACAAGAGCTTACGTCTTTCGAATAAAATCTTTCATCTCATCACTCCATACAATGTTGTCACCTTCCTCATCGGTCAGTTGAGGTGGCTAGAGAATAATTCTCATGTAAGCAAGATTTAACAACAGGCTCCAAGTACCTACCTGTCCCTGGGTAATATAGACAATCAGTTCAATGGAAGTAAGGTCTTCGGGAAATGGGTATCGATTCTGTACAAGTTCCAAAAGGGTGATTCCAGTGGACCACACATCAGCTCGGATGCTATATTCCTTTCCGCTGATGCGCTCCGGCTATAGTGACCATCAGTGGTGATGGATGTATGATCGAGGAACGGACGTACAGCCATGTAGAAACTAGTGCCAGTGAAGGTTCCGGCCATAGAGCGGACAAGCTCTCCGGAGACACCGAAATCACAAAGACGAACGACACCTTCACCAGTTAGCAGGATATTGGATGGTTTGATGTCCCGATGAATGGTTTTGAGTGAATGAAGATAATTCAGGCCTTGCAGAACCTGGTGAATGAATGAATATGGCTCAAATAAAAGAAGCTTCAATAATTACCCCTTCGGCTATACGTCCAGCGACTTTTTCGCTGATCCGCGCATTCTTCTCTTTGATTCGCTTTCCAACGGCTTCCAAGCTGCGGCCAGCGCAATATTCCATCATAACTTTGACTTCACTAGACGATGGTGACATATAGGCGCCATGAAAACGAATTATGTTGTGGTGTTTGGACGTCGCAGAGATTGACAGCTCGCGTTCGAGCTGTCTTAAAGGCGCCTCGCGAGTAGTAATTGTCTTGCGGGCCAAGATGAAGTTGTTACGCCGATCTCTGACTTTATGGACAGCTCCACCCTGACCTTCGCCAAGTCGTGAGAGGACTTCTAAAACACTGTCCGACCATTTATTAGAACCATAATTGGTTGATGTCTCTTCCGTAGGTGTATAGGTGTAGGACTCGATGGTGGTCTTGTCAAATTCAGCAATTAGCTGAGCAATGCTGTTATCGCTACTGTCGATAGGCTCGGGAGGACGTGGTGTTTGCACAGTCAAGTACGGCCGAACTGTTACGCCGCCTGGGTTCTCACCATCCAATCCAGGTGGAATGTGTGCAGGACCTTCATAATAACCTGCACTGCTGGTACCACTATCCAGTGCGAGTGGTAGATGAAGCTTAGGTCTTTGGTTAGGCCTCGGGCCTGAACTGAGAGCTCCAGGAATCTGAGGACGCGATGGACCTGGAGAAGAGCCCAATGGGGGAGATGATGAAGCAGATGAAGGGTGTAAAGCTGGCTGATCATGAGATATTTTGCGAATTGCCAATGGACGAGTCTCTGTTAGGATGAGCGGTGGTAGTGGCGATTGTGACCGGGGAAGGGTACGTGGTCCGATAGGACGAGAATGCGTCTGATGCATTTCTGAGTGACGACAATACGACGCGCTAACAAAGCGTAGTGACTCAGACAAGAGGAACAAAATGCCCATCCACAACCGTTTAATCCTCCATATGTTGTACAGGAAATACGTTAAACATGGCACTGTAGCCAAGTGGTTACGGCGTCACGTTTAGGTCAAGTGCCAATCCGTGATGGGAAACCTCGCGAGTTCGAATCTCGTCAGTGTCATGTTTTTATCATTTTTATCCTCGCTTATGCTTGTGGGTAACTTTTATCGATCAATCGCATGTGGACACATCACATGTGGATGCCATTGTCATCGTCCACAGCGACGACGGTATAAGATCTCACAACCTTTTTTTTAAAAAACTGTCTCGCCATCAGTAGTAACAATGGCTAACCAAGGCACAGCCTTATGCACCCCCCTGCCATCTCCCTCCAAACCTCGCTGTCGTCCAGCACCTCTACGACTACAAAGCCTTGGAGTTGATCCGAGTCTTCTAGTCGGCAAGGTACTAAGGAAACTGAGCCGCTCTCCAAAACATCCTACTTTAACCCTGGATTTCTCGGACAACACTACATTTCAAATTCTTGTTGATGGTTATGACCCTGTTCATAGGTGTGTATTCACCTCCGCTCGTGTCAAAAAAAATCCTCAACAATGTGCCTGGCAGAGGTCTTCCAAAGGAACTTGAGATGGACTCGTCCCTAGAGCAGCTTCTCACAACAGGGCAAGCGCACGTACAGTGGACGATCAAAGATTGTGCTCTCATAACCTTGACAGACAAGGCATTCGAGTCGAGAGAGAGGGAACAACGGTGGGACCAGAATCACACCGGAGTCGCATTTCGCTTCGTTGAAGACCAGATGTGGCATTGCGTATGGGCCACTCTGACGGATCATGACCGCGGCATATGCGTCTTTCGCAGCTACGACGACGTTTATATTGATCAACTACATCGTTTTCCTCGAAAACGTCGTGCGAACGTACCCGACTCTCCTATAGATCTTCGCTGATCCATATCACTGTCACATTGATCAAGTCCCCCTTAGCATGAGGTGTCTTATTTAAAAGATATTTACCTTCTGTCCACACATAAATCTTCAAGTTGCATCTGTACCACTACTGTATCTCATACACACCATCGGACTAGCGCACCGTGCAATTTCAAGGATGTTGATCATCTCATGGCCTCCGGGGAATTTTGCTTCTATAGCGCAGAACTGCTGGAAGTAGTCGCCAGTGTATACCAGATCGAAACGTCAACGAAAGAAGGCAAGCGTGATACCAAGTCGCCGGGTGACCATTTCCAGTCCACATTCGATCGGCGATCCACGCATCTAGCTATAAATTGTATTGCGCGCTCATGATCACACCATACCATTCCCGGTGTCTGCTGTGTTATGAAGACTGACAAATTCCGACGTTGCGTGCGATAGAAATGACATTCTAGATCTCTGCAAATTGCGATAGGCTGCGTGAACAATTTTTGCTATCAGAACAGTACCCGTTTGAAAAATCATACCTAAAAGGCTCTCTGATCTGCACTCATTGGCAGCAAGGGGGGTACCAAATTCAGTTGGCAACAGAAGGACATGTTCCGTCCATGCAAAGAACCGCACAATTGGACTAGAAGAAAATCGTCCGAACAACTGTGTTATCAGTGACGGACTAGTGCTTCCAGTTATCTCTAGCGTTCAGAGATAAGTAAAATCACCTGCCATCAGGGCCCAAATGAGGCAGTGTACGAAGACAAATGCCGGATCCTCTCAGAAATGGGGGCTAGTGGCCAGGCGCCACAAAGCACAATGTGCGGAAGTCGCTGACTTGAAAAAAAGGGACTCCGTCATGAAAATTCCTGCGGTCGGCAAGGAAAACTCGTTGCGAGATGGATAATAAAGCGATGCGGGGGGCGGATGGACGCAAAGTTCTAGCCCTGATGTTCGGAGCATGTCATCCTATAATGAGCGGCGTACATGCTGCAGCTGATAAGCCGGCGGCAATCTGCCTGTTTTATAATATAAGTTATGTCTGGGCTCAGTGGACGTAAGGCATGAGAGCGAGACCGGAGAGATGGATCGCTACGATCAATTGACTCGACAGACAGAATGACGGAACAGAAAGGGAGCTTGAAATCGACATAATGACAGGGAGACAAGATACAGCGTTATGGAGTTTCAGTAATCCCGAGGGTCATGGACTCATGGAGCTATAATTTGTATGGGTCATAGCCAAACGTAGAAGTATCTGACCGTGCACTGTTTTGACTGCGCTTCTCTAATCTGGCAAGAATACGCAGTTGATCCAATCCCATGGCAACGTTGCACTTGCCGTTAAGATGAAGGCATTGCAAAAACATGAGTGGGGTGAGATACAATGGGGCGCAGAATATGGGTTGTCAAGTCAGTTCAAAATATTTAGTTAATAATATGTACGTACGGAATACTTGACTGAAGGTATCTGAGCGCAAACATATACGGGCAGAAGTCCGCCGTGCTTATTTTGACATGATCATGATGAGACCCTGGCTTGGTGAGCCCTGGCGTGTTCGTAAATGTCCGGTGTCAATCAAGCAAGTGAGACGACAATTGGTTTATGATAGATAGCTCATCGGCAATTTGTATGTACACCAAGAATGCTTGCGTGACTCTCAGTCCTGAAACGTGTTATGGGACCACAAGGGCACAGAGCAAATTTGAGTTAAGTATAACCTTGTTTGAGATACTAGAAGGTTATGGATGAATCCCAGATGAGGAATCTTCCCACGGATGAGTTACTTTCGTCCCAACCACTTGCGGCCTTCTTCCGGACAACTTGCCCAACCAAAGTAATCTGCCGTCTTCATGTCAAATCCACCCGCTTCGTTTTCGTCTTCACGTGTCACTTTTGCGAGCCTGACTTATAGGAACCTTGGGACAGTCAAGAAACTCAATTCAGTCTTGTTTCCCATCAAGTACAGCGACAAGTTCTACCAGGATATCATAGCTCCCGAGGTCGAAGACTTCTGTCAGCTCAGTCCGTGTTATTCTTGCAAAGGTTCACAAACTAGCCTAACTTCTTTAAGTCTATTATAACGATGTCCCTGTGGGCAATATCTGCTGCAGATTAGAGAACAACAAAGATCTGTATCTCATGACTATGGGCGTTCTGGCAGTAAGTTATCCCGCTGTCAGTCGTGGCAAATGTGCAGACCCTTCCAGCCATATCGCTCCAAACAGCTTGGTTCTCAGGCCCTGAAACGCGTCATCAAGGCTGCTGCTTCTCATTCCAAACCCAAAATCAGACGTATATATCTTCACGTACAAGTCTCAAACACTGACGCCAAGAGGTTCTACGAGAGACATGGTTTCAAAGAAGCAGGCATCAAAGAGGATTACTACAAGAAGATTATGCCACGCGGCGCGTGGATATTAGAGAGGATCATTGATTCTGAAGACAAACAGGACCAGGAGAAGCCTGAATTGTGAAATTGCAACCACTGCTGCCACATCTGACCACGCTGTGAATGGTAACTTTCATTTAATGGACACATAAATATGTTAACGTGTTACATTGCAGTTTCACTATGCCAATCATTCCTTCCGGTACAAACTTACCTCAATGTTGAATATGATATTAGTATGTGGAGTAAATTGCAATCGAGCGATTGATGATTCTATATTATCAAGTTAGCTTTGCAAGTCACAACACAGCACAAAGCAAGTTACTAACAAACAACGCCATTTCAATTTGCATCTTCGTCATATCCACAATGCTTCACAAGCTGATCAAATGAATGAGATCATGATCTTCCGGGGGGTCAAATTCAATGGTACCTGGTGCCTTTTTAGTGCATCTTTCCTCGTGAATGTCTTTCCACAGCCTCCATTGCACAAAAATGGTTTCTCTCCCGAGTGTGTATCTCTGTGCCGTTTCAAATCATGCTGCCGGTTAAACGACAGCGCGCACATGTCGCAGGAGAATGGACGTGTGGGGGATGCTGGGTACTGCACTGCAGGCGCTATCGGACCATCAATGACGTACGGATGCGTGACGTTCGGTATTGTATGGCTGCGCGAAGGTCCCGCTGGCTGATATATCTGACCCGGTGAATGTGCCGGCTGGCGCATAGGGTAATCTTGTGGTGGATACATATGTTGCTGTTGACTGTATGGACTGACAGCAGCATTTGGGGGGTAGGGTTGTGATGGTGCAGCGGCATGATTGTTTGTTGTGTAGTGTGTGCTTGATGGTGGCATGGTAGGCATTGCATATGGTGAAGATGGCGCAGGGTGCGTGGACATATAGTTGCTTTGTGCCGCTGGGAAGCTACGCTGAACTGGTTGATAGGAAGATGATTGATGAGGGGGCTGCTGTTGAGCATTGGGTAGCCATTGGCTGCCCCGCGGTGGCTGATTGGGGGGACGTGGTGGCTGATTGGGATGGAATGTGTAGTTGTGGCGGTCGCTCATGATGTTCGTGCTCGGCTGGGTAGAATTCAATCTGGGGTAAATGTTGTGACAAGGACAGGGTTGATATGCATTTCCAGAGCCGCCCATATTTGTGAGTGTACGGTAACATTGCCGCGTCTCCGTTGGTGACAGAGACCTAACGGCGTAATTGTGGTCCTCACAGATCTTGCTACGTCTGTTCAGTCAAGATTGACGCTCTTTACGTGCCTGGGTTACTGTCCTGAAGCGGCTCTCAGGCTCTAGAGATGCCTGAATGACGCCTGTCTAACCAAACTTAGATTTCATCCGGCTTTTCCAAGCTTTATTTGCGAGGAAATCCTGGAATCTGCAGGTTTAATCAGGTACGCTGTCTGATCCATGGAGCTGTGGGGTCGCCTGCCAGGGATGTACTAATAGCAGCAATTAAGGACCTCCTGAATGATCTTTCAACCTTATTTGCTCTTCGAAACCGGCGACTCATGGGAGACCCGGGTCTGCTTCCGTTCAGGCTGGTCTGGTCAATCAATCGCGCTTTCGGATTCGCTGATTTGAACATTATTCATCAGATGTCATTACATAGCCTTGTTCTAATCTCGACGATATTCCCAGCTCCTACCGATCGGACCGTGCTGTGCGAGGTCCACTCTTGTGATGGGCTAATGCTCTGTACTTTCGACGCCCCAATGCTATGAATTCAAGATAGACCCAGAAGCCTGGATTTTCAGCTCCGCGCGCGTTCACGGACCCTAAGTCTCATAGCACCATATTTGCACAAGGGTGTATTCTCACCTGCAGCCCGGGTTTGTCTGTCCAGAGAGATAATGTCCAGGCACCCGTTTGAAAGTAGACACGAGCAAGATGTAATAATTTGCTAATGGTTTCATCTCCCAACGACAAAGACCCTCCGAATTTAACGCAGGGATGGTGACATGGTGGCGCGAAAAGGTCGGACTATCCAGGGCCAACTATGTCCCATCATTTGTAGCCTGTCATGACTGCGAGCTAGCTCGGTTCACTCAGCTACCTCTGAATATATCCGAATACCATTCACAGGGTTCAAGACCCCACGACACCCCCGACACATTCGCTTCAAGGTATACTTGGTGGTTATCTGCAACTATATATGCCTATACCCCGACATCGAGTACTTCTTTCTTTCGCCCCATCATCCATCCAGCAGCAGCAACTCCACCGACATCTACCACCATGTCCGTCCCAACGAGCTTGACAGACATCTATAACCCTCCCTCCCACCTTGGCCGGAGAAGTTCCTCCTATCGCCTACCCATGCGTTACCACTTGTGATATATCATACCGCCGTGCATCATTCTTCTTCCATATGTATCTTTTATCCCATCTATTGCTTTTTATAATTGCTATACATAAGTCTGCTTATAAATCCAAGTTTATTCCTTGATGAAGAATGGGCGTGGTGCTTACAAACTGAGCAGCACTCGGTCAATGCTTAAGAGTTAACAATATCATTATATTATCTAACCATACGACACCGCAACATGTGATAGGTATGGGTTGTATAAATGAGATGAAGAGCGCAGCACCAGAATGCCAGCCAGGGAAAGAACAAGATATCACGGGCGGCCGCGTGAAGCGCCGAGAATGATAAGGCGTGGGAGGCGAAGTGAGCAACGGGAGACTGGTAGGTCGCAATAGCAGAACCAGGTTAGCGGTCGCACGAGAAAGATCGTGGTCGAATGTGCAATACCAGGACCGTGGAAGGCGAGGAAGGATCTGCGTTGGCGTGCCAGGATAGTGAGAGGTTGCATGACGTTGCCCTTGTAGCGTGGAGACTGTGGCAGGTCGTGGCGGCAACACCGAGTTATAACAAGGACAAGAAAAGTCCTGGTTGGATGTGTTGGTGTGTAGCGGTAGGTGGCAGGAAGCTGCCCTAGTTGCGTCGATGGCAGCGTCGCACCATACTGCAGAATGTTGCTGGTATGGCACTTAGATGTTGGAGCCACGAGCGACGGGAGGTCGTAGTTGACAACGGCAGGGATATGGTTTGAATGCACGTGCGCGTTTACACCGTGGCTATCATCGTGGTCGACGACGAGGAAAAATAAGAAGAAAAAGAGTAGAGTATTCGGCCTACGTAGCCGCCAACGTCCTTGGGGTCCATCTCAGGGTCGACTGCTCGCACTTTGTGACGGTAATCGGCCATCAATGAGCTAGTGGACGCCGTCATAACAGGGTGCTCGACACTTTGACCCTGTACGTAGTAGTACGTACCTCCTAAGGAGATACTTGGTGGTCTGATCAAAACTTGAAAGATGGAGTAACTGTCCTTATGTGACTGTTCACGAAAGAAAGACCGATGATCGCCGTGTAGTTTAATGACATGGGTGGGTAATGCAGAAGGGCCTGCCGCCCATCACAAAATGCAGGGAGAACTGAAAATGACAGGAGGATACATAAGTGTAATCATATTTGAACAAATTCGACGTCGGAAATTAAATTACTTGTCGGACGTCAATCGAACGTCATGCATGCTCAACTTGAAACTTGCACAGCTACAGCCGCAATGTCTAAACGCGCCCAACCTTCGCCATCAACGTCCCAGCCCTTGAAGCGAGCAAAATTCGCTTCAGATCAGTCATCATTGAAGACTTTTTTCGGTTCCTCTCAAAGGCCTATCCTTCCGCCTAATCCTGGGGTAGAGAAGGGAAGGAATAATGCAGTACGGAAACAACTGAACACAAAGAAGATTGCTACACCAGATATCATTGACCTAACTTCAGATTCCGAACCTACGTTCAGAGATTGTGGACCTGAAAATGGTCTTTCTCAGGTTCAGGTTCAAGCTACCGCAGCTCCTCAAGTCGGCGATGTTGGTGGTTCGTCAGGGGCTATCCTACCTAGTAGATCTAATAGGCCTCCAAGGCGCCTTCCCATGAAAAATGACATCGCACCCTTGCCAAATTATCAGCCACTAGGAGTCGACCCTTGTGTTTATGATGTCCAGGAAAGTCCCTGGCCAGCCAATGAGCCAGCACCATATTCATTCCTCGTTCATGCTCTCGCCACGCTATCGGGAACACGATCTAGGACAATCATTCTCAACACCCTTGCCAACACGCTAAGGACTTTACTCAATTGGCATCGGCCATCCCTACTACCATCGCTATACCTCCTTTCCAATTGCCTGTCTCCTCCGTACTCTCCGGTCGAGCTAGGCATTGGCTCCTCGGTTATATCCAAGGCAATTCAAGATATCTCCGGCCTGACCTCCTTTGCGCTAAGACGGCTCTACAATTCATTCGGCGACCCCGGTGATGTTGCATTTGAAGCAAAGTCAAATGTTCGCACCTTGGTGCCTCACCCTCCACTAATGATCGTGGCTGTGTACGATTACTTATTGAAAATTGCCAACTCTAAGGGACAAGGCGCAGCCAAACAGAAGCAAGCCATCGTTGAGAAACTCCTTGTGGCGGCTAAAGGAGAAGAGTCGCGCTACCTTGTCCGTACCTTATCGTCGAATCTACGCGTCGGAGCGGTCAGGACCTCCGTCCTGACTGCACTAGCAAGAGCGTCGGTTTTGACATCGCAAACTAGTTTGGGAGGTCCCGATCGCGATCATTCGCTGTACCATGCCACCTCACAATCAATTTCCTCGGTTCAACGTGAGAAACTTAATGAGAAATTCATCCAGGCTGAAGCGTTGGTTAAAAAAGTGTTCGTTCAACATCCGAATTATGAGGATATCATAGCTGGTCTCTTCAAGGGTGGTTTGGATAGTCTTGACCTACATGTCCCTTTGACTGTCGGTAGGCGTTTCGCTCCCCTACTCTATGAACGACCTCATAAATCATTGATAGGAATCCCCTTGCATCCGACTCTGGGCTCTCCCACTCGGTCATTGGATGAGATATACGAGCGTTTGGAGGATCTCCCCTTTGCGGCAGAATTCAAGTATGATGGTCAACGCGCTCAGATTCATGGGGTACGAGGAGTGAATAGCGGCAATCCGTCTGTTCATATCTTCTCCCGTCATCTAGAAGATATGACCACTAAGGTGAGCTGTGCACTCTCGTAGGCGCGGGGCTACCATCTTATCGGCAAAAACTAGTATCCCGACATCGTTCACCTTGTTAAATGCATTTTCCAACAGCAGCCGCAGCTGCAATCTTTTATTATCGACTCTGAGATTGTTGCCATAGATCCATCTGACGGCGGCCTGAAGTCCTTCCAAGAGCTCTCGAACAGGGCAAGGAAGGGCGTGGAAATGAGCGATATCAAAGTTTCTGTTTGTGTGTATGCCTTCGATCTGATGTATATAGATGGTGAGGTGCGTACGTCTGATTGTGTGGCGACGATGTCAGTCGATGGTTATTTATGTCCCTCGACAGGTCTTGCTTGCACAGCCCTTTCGAGAGAGGCGCTCGCTGCTGAGGTCTCACTTTCCACCTTTCTTACCAAGCGACAAGGGAGCACGTCTTGACCACGTTGAAAGCTGTGAGAGCGATGCTGGCAAAGATGCTATTGAGGAGTTTTGGCAGAAAGCTATAGAGAGCCGCTCAGAGGGCCTCATGATCAAGGTGAGACAGCGTCTGGACTCTGATCGGCTGATCGGCATCACTAATGCTTACCTAGCTGTTAAGTAGTGACACTATACAAGATCGGATGCGAAAAGGAAACGGAAAATGGAAACCTTTGTCCGCGACTTACGAACCCGGTGTGTAATATTGAGCCGTTCCTTTATGCTGTGCTCTTAGTGAATCTGGACAGATAAACGAACATCTGCCTGGTTGAAGCTGAAAAAGGACTACGTCGTGGGTCTCGGGGATACCCTCGATATGGTTCCTATTGGAGCATGGCATGGGAACGGAAGGAAAGCAGGGTGGTGGAGTCCAGTTTTGCTTGCTGTTCGGGATCCCAGGAATGATTGCCTTGTTGCCGTTTGCAAGTGTATGTCCGGTAGGTGATATACATTGTAATTCATAATGATATGTTGAGATATCATTTGCTGCAGGATTTTCTGACTCGTTTTACAAAGTTTGTCATACAGTACGCCTTCGCAGGCTAACTTGCTTATCGCCACCTTCGTATCAGGAGATGGTTGCGTATTACTCAGAGGGGTCCGATAATTGTTCCAGGCAACCCCTCTGGGAAACTGATACAGGAGGTGCCAACATTATTTTTCGCACTAGTGTTCTTAGCTGATTGTTTTTTCAGGCTTCAGGCCCGACGTTTACTTCAGGCCCCATAAGGTGTGGGAGATACGAGGGGCAGAGTGAGTCTGCTACAAGCTGTCAGTGTTACAGACGAATATCTACTCACGCCCTATTTTTCCAGTATCACTTTGAGCCCTGTATCTCTAGCAGCATTGGGCTTGGTTTCCTCCTCGAGAGGCCTCAGTCTGAGGTTCCCGCGATTTATCAAGACTCGAGATGATAAATTGCCAGAGCAAGCCAGCACTACAGATTTTCTGGCTCAGATATGGAAAGACCAACAGGGGCAATCCAAGGCCACTGCGGGGGACGCTGATGATGGCGATTTAGTCGATATAGAGTCAGATTCAGAGGGAGTCGCCGGAGGAGCAGACGAGTCGGATGGTTGACTCCGAACCTTAAAGGTTTAGGTTAACATTCACTTATTGGTCAGGCTTTTGGGTAATCCCGCTTGCACGACTTCACACCACACTCATCACCGAGAGAGTATATACGGGGCAAACCCCAAACATCGTACAGTACTAATACTGTCCAACATTGGAACAATCAAAAACAAATCCAGAAGAAAGTAACCTTGGCACCATGCCAGCATATGCTAAATATTTATTCTGAACATACCATCTCCAACACGCAATTCAGTCGAAAGGTGGTTCGCCCGTCAATATGCTACGTTAGACGATACCAGGTTACAGTGCTTGAATAAATTAATTTATTACCGAACTTCCCAGAATTTCGGCATATTTTCGGTGAAATATATTTGCATTTGGTTTGTGTGATGTGTATCTTCCCCAACACGCCAACGGTTTGGATTGAGTCTGAGATTTGACCAGTCGACCGGAGACTACATGTCGCACAAGTGCTTCTAGGCTAACAGGTCTTCTCAGTAGTTTTCCATTGGTTCTCCAATGTTGAACTCTGTCAAGCGGCGTTCCGTGTCTCGTAAGGCCACAGACCTCAAAGTTCACTAACGTTACGAGGGTGATAATCATTGACAGGTCATCGTTCACGTCCTTGTATATGGTATATGCTTTTGCGGCAGCGAAGCCGTTCGGACGCGCATCAGTAAGCTGCCAAATCTACGTCACATCCTTTATCTCCTGCAGGATGACAGTACTTATCTACTAACGGGGTTGCGTTCCCACTTGGAGTAGGCGCGTTCTGGAAACGACATGGAAGTCAACGCTTTCCTCCGAATCAAAGCTTCTCTCCAGAATTGAACAGCAAAGGTGAATTATACTAATAAAAATAAAATGCATTCTAGCCGCTCGTGGCTAGCATGCTCATGTCTAACTACCATGTTCTGTGTTGTCACGTGGGCTGGTAAATTCTCTTCCTCCACGCCTTTACGTTTGACTCCACGTACTACGCCAATGCGAGGCATCGTCGACCCGTGGATCGGCCAGCACCGTGGCGTGTCCGTAGTCGGTGCAATCGCTAGAAGATATTGTTACTCACAATACATCTGTATATTATCCATCATAGGTGTGACTTGGAGCTTTGTCAAAAATCTGACACGCCCGCTCCGTCTAATCATCCCTGCTAGTAGTATACATCCACTGCATTGCCAAAACCTTACGCCCAAAGAACTTTTATTTTCTGACCCCAAATCTTCGCTAACCTCATCTGGAAGCGATATTCCACTATCTCCGCGTTGATGTCATATTCTCCTCGGGTATTTACAAACTTTTTTACAACAGATCGCTGAAATTCCTTGCAAGGCTGACTTCCGTGTGTGCCACAGCTGTCGATTGCGACCCTTTGCAGGGACGATGCATTCGCATTGGATCTAACCAACCACCATTTCCGAATTTGGCACCTACTTTTCGACATCCCGCAAATCTGGATGCACCCATGTCTACTCGCGACATCTTACGTACTAGCTGTTCCAACCCTGCCGCACGCGAACGGTTCCTCCGCTACATTACTATCATCCCCTATCTCCATTGCCACCTCATAACGCGTTGGCCTAGAATTGTCCACTGGGCTGGACGCCAGACTTCTCATACTATCTCTTAAGTTCATGCTGTGACTCAACCCTCGGACCGGAACTTCGACGTCGCGTGCTTTCGCGTGATACTACTTCACGTCTATTCATTACATAGCCACACCACACCCTTTCGGGTTATCATTTCATTCACACAATACTCAGCACAAATGCTTCGCATACGATAATATCCTTACGCTTCCTAATGTTGTCCTAACGCGTCGAAATATCTCGCATGGACACGTTATATTTCACATCGATATGCGTAAGGGTCTATTATTCGAACCGCCCTTGATCTACAAACACCCAAGCAGAAAATTCGGTTGCAGATCACCACAAGTGCAGGTACATGGTGATAGAGGACATTATGCACTTTATTTAAGCTTGTCAAGATTAGAGCAGAAATTAAGGGAGTATTGCACCCATCTCATCAGTCTGAGGCCGCCGACCGCAGGGTATGTTGACTTCGTCCATCTGGCTAGAATCTGGACGCATACATAGCATTGACCATCCTCATGAGGGGTATGAATAATCTAGTCACCGGCTTGGGTGAGTAATGTTCCATCATACAGCAAAAAGAACTCAACAGATAACACGGTCCGTGGAGGACGGTCCCACAAGACATTACCTTATGCCTTACTCGCATTAATTCATGGCCCAGACTCTCACAAGACTAATTAGAGCATCTCTGTCTTGCTGAGCATAGCTCTCTCCACCAAACACCGAATTGACTTGGTCTTCGAGACGCCCATCTGTTGCTAATTGCTGCCATTCCACATCCCGTTGTTCCGCGATCTGCTGCAGGTAGGCATACGAAATGAGAAGCTCCTTTTTCACAGTTATAATTGCAGGAGAAGTACGTCCGTTAGGCCCCGTAAGAAGGTGGACGATATCACCGCTAGGAGGCATAGAAATTTTACTCGCGGAAAAGGAGGCTGACGAGTCATTTGCACTGGTGAATGACAGATTCTGCTCTCTCGCAGCGGCAGCGCCTCGCGCTGCTCTCACAGCTCGCGCTTGTGGCTTGGGGCGACGGCTGGATGGGTTTCTCCCACCCGATTCATCGGAAAGGAATTTGCGGCAGAGCGCCAGTTTAAACAGTTGCGCTGAACGTGACAGATGAAAGCCAGACATGAAAGTCTGGACGATCTCTGGGGTGGCCGAGTATAATCGTGACGTGACTTGTTCAAGAAACATGTTGAAATCAAATTCTGCTGTTAGACAAATCCCGATGAGCTGCGGAGAACGTCAGGTGAATAGCTTGTAATAAGCAAAGCATAATTCACCAAAGCCATCAGTTCAAGACCCAGCTGTCGTCGCTGCGGTTGACCTTGCGAAACACAATAGAACACGATATCCAAGGGTGCATCAGCTTCCCACCGAAGACCAGTACCACTTCTCGGCGAGGGAATCTGCAGCAACAATAATGGTGAATGCTTCACTGTACATCACCTTAGTCAAAAGGTCGCAAATAAGGAATGACCTCCCACCTGAACCATCTCCAGATGCCAAAGATTCGTCCCGCTGAAAAAGCTCGACCAGCCACTGCAAGACTAACCAGGCATGCTCTGCAACAGGAGCAAGAACCGAATCGCTGTATTTCTCCTCTATATACTCTTCAGTATTAGCGATGAGTTTTCCGCGTCTCTTCTTCCCTGCTAGTAGGGACGGCTGAGAGATTTTTATTCGCGGTACGAAACCCTCCTTGAGTATTGCCCAGCAGTGCTTCGCGTCCTTAATGCACAAGGACTCCTTTGCTACAACAGAGTCGTGATCATCACTTTCGAATGGTAATTCGTCGCTCTTGCCCGGTTGTGGCAAAGCCTGGAAAAGAGATGTAGGTGTATTTGTTCTAACGAAAGATAATAGCAAGCGTTGCGCGGCTTCTGATGCATTGACTGAAGGAGCAAAGGTCATTTTTGGTGCCTGGTGCTTTGTTTTTGTGGGGGAGCCTTTTGATGGCGAAGCAGGATTGAGATCGCGCTCTTCCACATGATCAAGGGATGGTGGCGGGGGATACAACGCGATGTAGAAGAGCTGACGTACGAGAGACCTAGGAACTACTTTCAATGCACCTCGAGAAAAGAAAACCCAGATGACCTTACACCGGTGGCTTAAAGCTTTCGGACCTTAGCTGTTCGAGCACTGCGATGCCAGACTCGTATTGACCCTCCTCAAAACACGTTTCTACTAGACCACGCTGATTACGGGTCATCTCACATTCTTGAGGATTTTGATGTGAGGAGTCTGATACCATGGCGAGGTGAATCAACCAAAGTACTTGTTCGTAGTGAAGTGAATACGTTTAACGTGTATGGCACTACTAGTATACACAACGGTAACGTGACGTTCCAGTTTACACCGATGAGGCCTTGATTTTTCTGCCAACGGAACGGACAACTGACAACACACGAATACGTCCACAATGGGCTATGGAATGCGTCAGTGCTATGTAACAGTAAGGCACAGAGTCATAGCCTTCGAAACGAACGCTATGTGGAAAAATGAATACTAGATATCATTTCTGTCGCGAGGAATGTAGTCAAAAGGAATGCGGTGATTCATGCATGTCCAATTGTGTTCTAGGGATACTCGTTATATGCACTGTTAGTTATGTTAGACTCGATGACTCACTGAATCATTACACCTGTTTTTTGATCATCACCGTTATCACTGCTTGAGTCGGGCTCAATCTTTAGACCTTTCGGGACCGGTCGCCACTGCCGACTCATGCGTAGTATGTGCCTAGTATCCGTAAGGTATTTCTTGCCTGAGAAAGCTAATGGGGGATCTGGTCGTCACTTCGACTCATCGGTTCTCTGATGGCCCAGTCGTTCAATGGCTGTGAAATCATCGTTGAACAGTTAGACTAATTTGATAAGCTGACAGTCGCTGACAGATTTTTTAGCTCGTGTAGTGCAGTCCGTGATCATTATGCAAGAGAGGAACAGTTAGCAATGGCAAGCTATGGCAGACGCGCTTTCGTGAAGACCAAGAGTAAGCCTCATCAAGGATAAGTCAACAGTGGCGAAGTAACATTTCACACACTCACAGACTAGCTTGCTGACTAACAATGACTGACCAACAATTACCAATTTGAACACGCTGCGCATTTTTATCGTTCCGCCTTTTTGTGAAGGCTTGCTCCGAGTCTGGTGGTAAGTGCCCGTTAGCATCAGCGCAGCTCTGATTGCAATCTCAGCATGGTAGCCAGCAGGTTTATGCTCTGGGCAACACGCAGCCTTCGCATTGCTCTGCGGCAGAGCTTGAATCTTTCTCGTGCCATGGCGTCAGACACAATATTGGGATCTCCAGGTCCGGTGGAAATCGCCATGCGACAAAAAGTAAGGCAGCAAGCTAGCAGCGCAGGTCGATCCGTCTCCTGAGCAATCATTCATAGCTCGTGACCTTGCTCCAACCGTCTAAACTAATCATTACCAACGAATCGCAGTTGCATAGACATCACGCCGCAATGCGCTCTCAAGGTGGCGGGAATGGAGAAACACGTAAGCATACTCTACTACCCCAAAGACGCTGTTCATTGACGACCCGGGCGTAGATTTTGCCGTGCAGGTAATCTCAGATGCTTTCAAAGGGAAGGTGCGTGTGCTATCGAATCTCGGGTATATCTGTTTTATTCCTTCACAGAACACGGTGCAACGCCATCGCCTGATATACTCTGCCCTTTCTGAAGAATTTTCTCAAGGGTTGCACGCACTCTCGCTAAATACTAAGACATCGGAGGAGGCGCAGAGATGCCAAGCTGAAAACTGACAGGGGAGAGAATAAATACAACATTATTCGACTGATCGTGTATACGGAGAAGCGAGGCGAATTATGGTGAGCTCTCTGACCCGAACCGTCGACATGAGCGGCGGCTGCTCATAAATAACGTGCGAGCTTCACAGTGAGATGCGAAGCATGCTTGGGGATGCATGGCCCAGATTGGTTGCAGTGCACTGCCTCCCGCTGTTGAAATTGAAGTTGACGATTTGTAGCCATTTTGAGATCCAACGTTACCGAAATGTTACCGCCGAGGATTCAATCACTGACATTCAGCAAGAAGCAATAGATCTCTAAGCAGGGGTGTGTTTAGAGGAACACGGGTGGGCCCAATAGAATGATCCGCTGTAGTTGATCTGAGATGCGGCAAGTGACGGTATATATATATTCAAGATATACTAACAGCACATCCCCCGTGGATGATGCGCGGCATTCGCGCCCCTTAGTGTGTGACATTGCGGTGCTCTATCTCCAACCCTGGCACCGTCCAAACGGCTCTTTTGAGTCCATCATGAGACTCCCACAAATGTGTTGTGAATGAGTGCGCAGCAGGTCTAAAGCGACAATCACCACGGTTGCCTACCTTAAATATGGTAACCGAGTGGTAACCATGTCTTTGAATGTCAGGTTTGTCCTCGAGGTGCTGTCCTGCAGTATAATGGAATAGACCCGGTCACGTTTCTTCATGCAAGTTACTTTCCAGCCTTCCGAACCCGCCGCATCACGATCGGCGTGCAACGGTATCCTGCCGTTACCGCGGTCTACTAGAGGCGATCCGACCATATAAGATTCCCCGACATCCACTACAATTCAACTCGTCCTCTTGTATACTTTTCCCCTTGTATCTCATACCATAAAATGTCTAGCCGCTCATTCCCGGAGAGTGATGCTCATCGAGAAGCAGCTCGGCCAACCCTCCCTTCTGTTCGCGAACTTTTCCCAGGTTAGTAGAGCTTCTCTAGCTGCCCATATCCGTGCATTCTATTTACCTTTAACCTTCAGAATTATCTCGTACTCCAAGACCTTCCGTAATACCTCCTCCTTCCTGGGTGGGGTCAAGTCACGACCCATACTGCGCACCACATATGGGTCAGTCAGATGTCCTATCTGGACCAGGCTTGCAGGTTAGCCGTCGTCTAATGACTAGATCAAACCTTGATAGTGATCACTTTCCCAGAGAAACCCTTCGATACCCTACCACCCTATTTCTTCCCGTAGTTCACGACACGAAACGCACCCAACACACCTCCATCCATCTCATGAACATCCACCGCACTCAATGTATCATTCTCAGCATCCACCAAATCAATTTTCTCGGTCATCCACTAATAGTGGCCAGGGACGGCCAGCCTACGATTACACGAGTCACCCAGGGCCCAGCTCATATCTGGATTATTCAAGGCATCAGTATGCCGGGCAATCCATGATGGAGCCCCCTGGATCAGCATCTTATATTCCACGCTACCCTGATGTAAGGGGTCAGCATTACCGTAGAGACTCTCAAGAGACTACATCTAGTATGGACGATTCCAGTCCTCATGCTAATGCCGGGCCTTCATCACTCAAATACGAGTGCGACTACTGTGGTAAAGGCTTCAATCGTCCCAGTAGTTTAAAGGTGTGTACTTCAATATCCTGCATCGTTCCTAAGCTAATGAATGCCGCCAACCCGAAGATCCACCTGAATAGTCATACTGGCGAAAAGCGTGAGTGTCCATCCACAATGTTCCTCGTCGTCATACTGATTATCCATCTAGCCTTTACGTGCACCTTTGAGGGTTGTGGTCGTAGTTTCAGCGTGCTCAGCAACATGCGTCGGCATGCTCGCGTGCATGCCGATGCCTCAGGACGCTATCATGAGGACAGCGACGAGTCAAACGACGCACATTCACGTTCCGGGCGTTAGAGCGACATGTGTTGTCCTCACGGATGTATACTAGGCACATGCAATCACTCCTATTCGGGTCTCATGATCTTCGTTGGATTTTTCACGGACATTGCATCAGTCTTTCATGATGGGCGGCACATATTTATGGCAATTTACGAGCATTTATTTAATCGCATGCACTTGCTGATGAGCATCATACTCATTACTCATATATCTATTCTATACAGTCATCGTCGCTAGTGTACTCGGGTGTATCCATTCCTTTTTAATTAATAGTGGTTTTCGGTGTTGAAATTCAATTTGTTCCAGTTCGACTCGTGGCAGGACATGATTGACTCACTCCACCCGTTGACGGGAGCGGTAGATCCGGTGGCAGCGGCGGCGTACAGCAAGGAAACAAGGGTATAATATAGTCATCAAGTATAGTGGAGTAGCATCGTGAAGTCAGTGCATGTCATAGTCATGTCCGCAGATCCTAGTAATCAAGTACAGTAAGTAATCACGTTATGGAGTGAAAGCATGTCTGTGCGTCATGTCCGTAGACTAGTGTCGTCATATCCTCGACTATGCCGCATGGCACAGTCGCGGCACCATCTCAGCCACACACAGCCAGGGTCACAGAACACGCATCACACTAAAGCGATATAGCCCGGCCTGTGCCAGCCTCGTGTCCGCTGCGAAACCTTGGACGACCTCGTTCGCCCCGTTCTTTGTCTGGAATGTCCGCTAGTCCATCAAATGCACGATCAGCACGAGCGTAACTGATCGCTCGAGGGCTCTTGTGCGTGAACCCCGCAAATGCGAGGGCCTTGCGGACGTTTAGAATCTCTTCCCCGTGGACCCTGTCCCTAAGTAGGGGGTCTTTCGTCACATCTGCTGGCGCTCCGTTCGCGGGAGCCAGTGGCTAGGCACAACCTGAACACCCGGCATATCGAAAAACCTCGAAGCACTCACCACCGGTGGAATGTCGGAGTCAAAGTGTTGTGTATCTTCTGGACTCTGCAGATCCGGGCGGTATGGTGCAGGATAGCGGTGTATATTTTCCCAGTCTATTCCTCGGAACCAGCGATGCGCCTTCAAGTTTAGACGTCAGTAGCTGCGAACGCAAGCTCTAGTGACGCGGACCTTGATTGCATCTACACCATCAACACTGCCGACTGTTGACCCTGGCAGGATGAAGCCGCTGCGTCGTGCGTGAACGGCGAGGGAATCTGGGCGCGATACAGACGTTGGAGCCTGACTTCCAAGGCGATCCTCGGGCTCGCAAAGGAGCTGCTGCATCAGATTCACGCCCTCACCCGAGACACGAGGGCGAGATGGGAACTTGAGGGATTGCTTCCAGTTCAGAATCTTCTGACGGGTGACATGCCTCTGCCCCCCGCAGTCAGCCACAGATGAACTGGGGTGCGAAAAGTGGGTGCCAAAATATGTGTGCTTACGGAGTTGCTAACGAACGGGGGATATCTGGACGATTTCCATTCTTCAACACGAGGTATACCGGATATACAAAGCCCCGAAGCTTACCCATACAGGCATTCAAACATGATAACGCCTAAGCTCCACCAGTCACAGGAAAACGAATAGCCATGACCTCTGATGACTTCTGGCGACACTATTGAAAGCGTAAGCATGGCAACATGGGGTAATAATATGAACAAAGGTGACCACATACTGTAAGAATTCGTCCCGCAACTGTGGATCCGAAGAAGGGGGTTCAGAATCACGCTACAGACTGCGAAGTCATTGCTTACACAGAGTATGCTAGCTACGGCGCGAACAGACAGGGTGAGGCACAAGGTGGAAATATACATTTTAATTTAGTGGTGGATCATACCTTCCTACGATTTTTCTCTCGCCAAGTGAATATGCCACTTTGGCCGTTGCCGTCGCCCATCAGTAATTCGACATCCTTGCGGTCCATTCGTTTGGTTCTGGTTCCATCCCCGATGCCGTTGCCGTCCTCAAGGTCTATCCCATGTTTGTGCAACAACTGATTCCGCTGCTGTTCATAATCTGCGGTCGCCGAATCAGTTTCACATTCCGTATACTTAGACTGTTCCGCACTGACAGGACGTATCATGGGCCCAGTGCAGATCAGTCCTGTGGAGTCACATCTACATATTTAGCACATAGAAAACGGAGACGGGAAAGTGGACCAGTTCCGCTAATGACTCACGCAAGCCCAAAGTCACTCAGACGAATGTGTCCTTGCGGATCAAACAGGAAGTTCTGTCAGAAACACATGGATAGCCGTGTTATCAATCTAGAGCGGGCCTTAATCTCTGTATTTTTTTCAGACTCACGTCAGGTTTAATGTCACGATGAATGAAACCATGTTTATGACAAGTTTCAATGGCTAAAACCATCTGGGGTAAATGTGCCTGTCGTTAAACAAAGTGTAGTACGAGAAAAAGAAGATGCCAACCTCAGCGACATAGAAACGAGCAAAGTCTTCTTCGAAAACGTCTCTCTCGATCAAAAGATTCAGGAGATCTCCACCGCCCATAAATTCCAATACCTATTATTATGTGTTTTAGATATGAAATCGAAATGAAATCAGTGACTCATGTGCTCGTCTGAATTTTAGGAAGATGGCGGTAATCGGGGTTAGAGCTACTGACCAAGTACAGATTATCGCGGTCCTGAAAACTGTAGTGCAGCTTCACAATCCACTCCGCGCCACCTGGCGAAGCGACGAGCGAGGCAGATTTCAAGATATCACGTTCTGCACGGACGTGACCTTCTTGCCCTTTGCGAAGCATATCAGTCTTCCTTAGCTAGTGAAATGAATAATTAATAATGGAGACAATGCCATATGGGTAGATTAAAATGGAAAATAAGAACCTGTTTCATGGCAAACAACTGTCCCGTGGCTCGCTCCTTAACCAGAGACACGACCCCAAACGCACCTGATCGATAGTATTTTCTGTGAGAATGCTCTTTCAGGAACATAAGGGGCACCAACCGTGACCTATAGTTTTTAGTTTGATGAACGCTGTGGCATCGACTTTCTTTCGGCGTTCGCGAAGATATTCTGTTTCGTTTTGGCGCCACTGAGAACGTAAAGCTTCTTTCTGATCTTCACTCAAGCGCATGATAACCATATCGTTTTCCATGGCGATTCTTCGTTGTTCTCGAGAAGGTGGCTGCCGAAGAAGGGGAAAGTAAATGTTCTCAAAGTAGATCCGAGCAGACACCGCCTTCTCCAAGGTAGCCAATGATGGGGTAATTGGCCTTGGTGAAGGGCCAGGAAGGGTAAGGCCCAGATCGTCGTCGCACTCGCCAACTTCTGGATGGACCCTGAGACCTCCGTTCCATTTTACAATGGAATTTGTTGGGCGCCCTGGCAAGGCATCTGCGGGTGAAAAGTGGACATTTTCACGGGCAGCGGTTGTTATTGTAGACGAAGTAGCAGTGCTCATACCGTTCATGACTCTAAGGAGAGGTGGCTGGCCTGTGCTATCTTGAGACGGTTTAAGTGCATTGATAACCTCGTTAACCGCTCTGGCCTGGTTTGATTGCCTTACTCGAGACTTTATTGGATCCGCCCAACGTGGGTCTAAACTACGAGCTGAGGATATTGATAGCATAAGTGGATAATGCGCTGATGGCTGACCTCCAAGCTTTCCCAGACCATCTGGACCCCAGCGAGTCAATAGGGCTTCTGCCTGACCGGCGTCCGAAGCGTGGACAAGATGCCTAGTAGGAATACCCTTGTTGGGATGTAGTTAACGCTGAATACGAAAATATAACCTACACGAAATCCGTGGGCCTGGAGACCAAAGCTTTACTGACTCTTCTACCCTTCTTTAGGGGAGAAGATCCAGGCATGTGACGGTGTTTTTGATTGATGTCCTCATGACGTGCCAGCTCCCCGTGAGTGGATCCACCTGTACCCCAGAGAGAGGGGGTGGGGATCATTGCGAGTAGATCATAGAAGCCATTGTGTAGAACAGTACCTGGTGGTAGGATTGTAGATGGAGATTGGTCTTGGGACGAAAGGGGATAAGAGTTATCATAGTATTTAAAAGAATTCATGATGGACGATGGTGATGATGATGATGATGCTCTGGCACTTGAACTGAGCCTTGCAGTCACCACTAACTAATTCCGGTAATCATTGGACTAAATTTATGATCGGCCATATATTTGCAATATTGTGTAAATACTTTGAATACTTGTACTTTGTAAAACTCTGATTAAATGCGATTCATATAGTCAGTAACGTACAGTGTCTGGTAGTACCTGGCCTGGTAGTACGGCGGATTATTCTGCTCCGTAAGTACGTTACGGAGCTAGCCGTTTGTGGGAAAAGTGGAAAAACACTTACTAGGTGTCCGCACTAGAAATGGCCACGAGGCTCGAACCCGATCTGATGTCAACAATGCAATTTCCGCGTTGCACAGAGAAGAACACAGCTTTTCCAACGCGTCAGTGCTTCCCTTGAGCTGTATTACGGTCCGTCTCCTCGTTTGGTGTATTCGAAGCGGAAAATAATGAAAGACCGCGAAGATTGTCCCCTTACGAGCTCAAAAAAACAATAACAACGCACCTATAGGTTCGGATGATCATAGATCTTATACTCTCCCTCTTCGGGATACTAGTATAACTTAAATTCATTTATTAACGCCCAAAGTTAACTCACTCCCGACCTACTACTTCAAGTACCTCATTCCGCATCTTGTACTTAAAAAACACGCTTCATCCTACCACCCCCCTTGCCCAGTTTGCACAACTACGCCTCGTGTTCAGTTACCTTTGCCGGTGTTCATGTTTACCTCGTTCATTCAACGGCCCTGATCGGTTTATCCAAGTCACAGCCTTCCCGTGCCGCAGGCCTTTTCTTGCTCGTTCGTCGGGCAATTGGCATGCTCAGCGCGTGTTCCTTCATACTTATATCCACATCGATTTCCTTCTTTTCATTGAACCATAATTTTCCTTCACTTCCTCTTTTGCCTATCTGCTTAACTTACTATGACAAACCCGAGGGACGATCGTTTGTTCTCAAACCTTTCCAAGGCCCGCAAAAGCCCTCCTGGAGGGGATTCTCAAAATAGTGGTTTTTTTCAGACGGGACAGGGTGGGCGAACTGTGCTCCCTCCTCTTTCTTCAGCGTTTCCAACCTCACCCTCTTCAGGTCTGTTTTTCTATCTAGTGTACATGCAAATATGCTCAACTCAAGTATAGTTCCCAACTATCCTCCATATTCTCAGCAACGTTCATCTCCTGGAAAAAGTGATCATAGTTCTTCGAGCTATGGTCAATGGCCTTCTAGTATGTCTGACATCACTTATCCCGATCGCACACTCATCAATTTTACTTCAAGCGGTAACAGTTCCTCCCCCACAGCATTCCAGTTATTATGAACAACACTATGACCGATACCCTCAAACCCAATACCCAAGTTATCCACCGCGTAGTTCGCCGACGATCCCGGTCGATTCCCACGGCTCTCGCAAGCTGCCTCCATTAAATATGCCCGATAGATATCAGGGTAATTACGGGGCAGTCGCTCCTCTTGTCTCCAACTATGGTGATATTCGCTCGCCGACCGCAACCTATCCTACCGAGTATGCTCCTTATCCAAGTCAAAACTCATACTCATATCCCCCCGTCCCTGATCCACGTCATCATTCGAGTCAACTCCCATCGATGCACCACTCGCCGCAGATGTCAATGGGCATGTACCCATCCGAGCGCGGTATGCCTACGCAAGTCGAGGCTCATGGTCCTTCTCCCTATGCCCGAGGGTCAATCACCAACTCTGCACTAACACAAGAACCTGCTCAAATGATGGATAACGAGCAACCTGCCATCAAGAAAAAGCGTAAGAGAGCTGACGCAGCTCAGCTCAAAGTCCTGAATGAGACATACGCTCGCACTGCGTTTCCTTCTACTGAAGAACGCGCAGAGCTCGCAAAGAAATTAGACATGTCAGCCAGGAGCGTTCAGATCTGGTTGGTGTGTTGCACAAATCAAAGGATCAATGTTCATGCCTTTCCATAGGTTTCAAAATAAACGACAGTCAATGAGACAGACTACCCGCCAGTCGTCGACATCAGTGTCGACTCCGCATCAACCATTTAGCATGTCCTCTCAAACCGACGAAGTGTCGCATACTTCGTTTGGTGGCAGCAGTATCAGTCCTACGTCTGTTTCACATGCATCATACATTCCACGATCGAGTCAGGACGCCCGGTCAGTGGCGCAGGACAGTCGGTCACCTATCCCGCATCGGCGGGAAGAAGATCCCCGCAAATGGCAGCAGCCTGGTCGCTACTGAATATTTGATCGTTGTCTAAACACCATGCCTTCATTTCAGCTAGATTCATTCTCTCCTCATCACAACAGAAGCGTCGTCATGCTTTTGCATTAGGACCTCGATCATTCATTAACACCGTATTAACTTACTCGCCAGCCCCTTAATACCCATTCATATCTATATATCCATATCACTCCACGCAATCTGATGCCCTTTTCCAATCCGTCCACATGTACCTGCCTCCTTGATGCACTGTCGCCGTAGTTTTTATGTACTTATCACGTTCTTATCATCGCGCTCGAGATTCGTCTGATCGTCTGAAAACCCAACGTTGTTGTTCTTGCTCGATTTTGTCACGGATGTCCGCCCCGCGCGGTTAGAAGGCCGTGAATTACGCCACTAATCTTTTTAAGTATGCTCTTCGGTTGACGATTCTACTCATAATAAGTACGTGAGATACAACAAACGCTTGCCACAACAACATCGGCACGAATCCCATCGATAAGATGTCATGTGGCTGTTTGTACCGCGAGTTCACCGTCGCATCAGCGGCAACCTGCCGTCCAGCAAAGCCCCTTCGTCACGCCGCGTCGATCCTAGGGACTTTCCACGGTCAGGGTATCTCCTTGGCATATTCATATAGCAACAATTCAAGAACCGCGCGAGAAGGTATCTGTTTTTCTCGTCGATCAAGCGTTGCTCGGGCAGGGGCCCCTCCTTCTGATGATGGAAAGAAGAAAAAAACTTCTGACGGTCCGCGGCTGAAGCTTGAAGCGTTGAAACCGTGGCGCTATTTCAAGCCAGGGCATAGTATTCGAGATAAGCATGAAGCTCAAAGGTTGCAATTATGAATTTCATACCAAACGGGAACACCTTCGGAAACTGCCGCATAATGATTGTCACTCAATGTCTGAATCCGTTAATGTAATATTATTAGTTGGTCCCTCCTCGAACACATGTCCCGATCATCGGATTCACCTTACAACGATCATTCAAATCTTACACACCACAAGCAATCGACACGTTGAAATCAACCTGCGTGGCCACGGCCATCTGAACTACCCCGTTGCAAGAGGTAACAGACTCGGCTGTTTATCGCCTACACTACGTGGCACTGAAACTTCTCAAAAATCTGCTCAACGAACTCGCGGTAAAACGGAAAATCTATTACTTCACAGCATGGGAGGAAGGTAATCTAGAGATCTTGTCGAAAAGCATCCGCGGATCAGAATGAAATGGCCCCTGATGAATAGCACAAAATTCACATGGTCTCTCGGTCTCAAGGGTCAACATCACTGTCGGTGTCCTCAGGCCGTGGTCCACCGTGAGTGAGCCACGCGAGCTTCCTCAACCTCCGACGTTCTTCCTGAGCCTTCACTTGGTTGCGTGTCGGTTTCTTCTTCTTTTTGATGATCTTTGAACTGCCGGCATCTTCAGCCCCACTCCCTGCAGGAGTCACATGAGCAGAAACAGCCGGGCTCTGCACTCGCGAACGAGCTGGGGTGTTGGCACCGCTGCCCTTTGGAGACTTCAAGTCGGTGAAGGCATCCTCGACAACAGCGGCCTTTCCTTGATGTGTCATCCGTCCTGCTTCAATCTGCCAGATTTCAGGACCTGGAAAGCTGCGTTAGAAAGATATGCGGAATACAACATCGAAGACTGACACAAAGCCGATACAAACTCGTGATTATGTGAGATGATGACCTAAAGCACCGCATGTCAACTGGATTAGAATTTCGTACTGATTTCATGGTGCTCACCACAGCGCCACCCCATTCCCTGATAGCCACCGCAAGGCCGCCCAGCGCTTCACGATCTAGGAAATTACTTGGCTCATCAAGAACGCAAACCTACAAAGTAACTTCAGCACATCATCATGACAACCAGGCGTCTAACGAACCTGGGGATTATTCCAGAGGCAGGCCGCAATGACCAACTTGATTTTTTGCCCTGGCAACGCCGGAGATTAGTAGATAAAACAAACGCAACAATTGATTACAAACCTCCCGACAATCCCGAAATTTCATTATACTGCGCGATGTCCCCATCGAGACCGATGTCCTCGAGGTGTTTGCGTACAATTTGAGCAGATGTGTCACGAGTCCCTGCACCTTCTCTCGAGGATTCCAGATCGTCAAATTGCTGCACCAACTTTACGAAACCTTTGGCCATCAACTCATCACGAGGCACCCAGGTGTTGAACTTGTGGTCAAGACCACGCCATTTGACTTCATATTGGAATGTCTTTTTCAATTTTTGACGACCCATAATAAGCTGGATAATTTTAGGATGTGGATCAGATCGACGATGTAAAGTAATACTAACCTCCAATTTGCGCTTGGTGCCATTCCTGCCAACCCAATCTTGATCGAGGACTTCCTTCTCTTCGTCTGTCAGAACACGAGTGGCCTTTTCCAGTAATTCACCTGATATGGTTGGCAAATTATATTAATGAGACACTGGCAGGGTCACTTTAAGTTTAAATACGTACGATCGTGACCATCCTGGAAACGCCACTGGATATAGCCAATTGGTGTCTTTTCCAAGTGGTGTTCTAAAACGATGTTAGTTTGGTATATCTAACGCTGAATTTGTCGATAAGAGTGGACCTATATGATGGGTGGCGTGCTGTGAGACGTAACCAACACGAAGGGCCGGATGTTTGTATACAGTTCCCTCTTGAGGAATGGTCTCGCCCTGAAGTAAAAAGGTCATTAAGGGGACGCCATCGATCAGATCATCACTCTTGCCGTCAGAAGTTTGATCATCGTCGATTTCCCTGCGCCATTAGGGCCGATTACACCTACTCGGCTGGATGACAATGAAACACGCCCAATCAGACATGTGGAACACACAAACCCACCTGGAGAGTGATAATGCTTGCGAGGTGG